GGTAAAGAAAACGTGGTGTTTACTATTTCAGATAAACGTGAGTCACCTGTAGGAAAATGGATGCACCTTGAAACCATAAAGTGAAATAAATCAGAAACATGGGCCTACATATTACATGGCCCCCTCTCTCTCTTTTGCTATCGGAGATCAAACTCAGGAACTTGCGCCTGCCAGACAGGCGCTTATGCCACCGAGCTAAGTCCCCAGCCCGGCTTCTCTTACATAAGACACCCAAGGTACAAACACAGAGCAAGATGAAAGGCAGACGACAGGAAGCAGGCAGGCAGATCTTTCTAAAGAGGGATCAAGAGACGGGAAGAGGAAGAAGAAAGGGAGCCGGGTTCTGTCCATGCACCCCCACCCCCACCCCCACCCCCGGGCCCCGCGAGGCCCGGAAGCTCTGTGCACTGTGAAGTCTACTCACAAAAAATAAATCCAAAAAAGAAAGAAGAAGACAGACAAAGCCCTCCCTTTTCCATGGAGGAAAGTCCCTGCAAACAGAAACACAAAAAACCTCAAGTAAGAGATCGCTCCTCAGGCCCCAGCCCTCCTTCCATCCACGGCCTGGCTTCCCACGTCAGAGGGAACAGAGGGCACCCTTGTCCTTGTTCCTCTGCCACTGTCACGTCCCCGAGTGGCTCAGCACTGCCCTCTGAACCACACCCCATCTTCCCTTCACCCCTTCTCCCCACCAAGAACCTCTCTGCCTTTCTCCTCGCAGAGCTGCTCCTCTCTCTGCCCCCATCCCATCCTCACGCCCCCAAGGCCTCATGCAGAAAGGCCTTCCAGGTAGGAAGGCAGGGGCTGAAGTGCCTGTGAGATTTCTAAGGGGCTGGAGATTTAGCTCAGCAGCACAAGTGCCTGCCTTGCAAGCAGGCAGTCATGAGTCTGATCCCCAGTCATGAGTTCGATCCCCGGTATGGATAAAAAGTTAAAAAAAAAAAATCGGAGATAGAGATTTCTACATCCAGCAGTTTCTAGGCTGTGCAGCAGGTGAGTTTGGGCTGGAGGTGGAGACTCCACACTCAGGGCTTTGTGTTGTGTTTTTAAGCACTGCGCATGTGGAGCGGATAATGCGCAGGGAAGAGAAGGCGCCAAGCCCCTTGTCAAGCTCCGATTTCCCAAGTTCTGGGAGGCAGCCTTGTGCGGCCTCCTGTGACCAGCCTTGCACGTTGTCATGACAGCTTCAGAGGTATCGGACCTGTGCAGTCACACAGGGCCCCCCAAGCTTAGAAGGGACTGAGCTTGACCTAATGCTTTGTCATTGCCACTGTGAAAGTCCTGATGTTTTAATAAGCAGCCCCACATTTTCACTTGCCCTGGACCTTGTAACTTACATAATAAGTTCTGTTTCACCTATAACGTACACTCACCCTTCTTTCTGTTTATCATTTGGTGAGATTTAGTTATTTATTTATCTAGGAACTGCACCTAGGGTCTTTGCACCGAGCTACACCTGAGTCTTCCTTTTCCCCTCTTTTTATTTTTATTTTTTGTCTTTTTTGAGACGGTGTCTCGCTATGCAGTTCAGGCTGGTCTTGAGCTCACTTTGTAGCCCAGGCTGGTCTTGAACTTGCAACAGTCCTCCTGCCTCAGCCTCCCGAGTGCTGGGCTTACAGGCCTGAGCCACCACGCCTAGCTCCCCCTTTTTATTTATGAGAAGGTTCTTGCTAAGCCATTAAGTTGCCCAGGCTGAGCTAAAACATGATCCTCTTACCTCAGCCTCCCAAGATGGCATTGGTGATTTTATTTTATTTTCTTTCTTTTTCCTTTTCTGTTTTTCTGAGACAGGGTGTTGGCATGTAGTGCAGGGTGGCCTTGAACTCATGAAGTAGCCCAGGTTGGCCTCAAACTCTTGGTGACCTTCCTGCCTCAGTCTACCGAGTGCTGTGATTACAGGTGTGCACCATTGAGCCCAGATGACATCCATGATTCTTAAAACAATGTGTGTGTATAAAACTCCCCAGGGAGAACACATAGCAGCCACCAGTGCTGTCGACAACCTGTCTGCTTCCTCTGTATCTGGAGGCATGCAGGATATACGGCAGAATTGAACTTTCTGTGCTGGGCCCTAGTCTAGTAGTTGGGTAGGACCAGTGACTAATTCTGGCCAGTGAGTACGTCATTTGTAGGTCACAGCATATAATTCCTGCCATGACCCCTCCAGGGTCCCATCAAGAGTCCAAGGCAGTGGCTGTTCTCTCAGGCTTCCTGTCTGATGACTACAGGGAACACAGCTTTCTGGGTGACACACAGTGGCCACCCAGTGTGGGTGAGGAATAAATCACCATTGTTTTAGGCTAGGAGATTCTGAAGGCGCTTTGTTATTGTGGCTTAATCCGTCCTGTCCTGACTGACAGAAAGGGAATGAGCAAGCTGTGGAAACTGATAGCTACTTGGGGGAGAAAGCCATAGAGGCCAAAATGAGAAGCCAGGAGAACTTGAGACCCTCGGGAGTCACAGCTGTGGCCTTTCGGGTCCAGCTCCTTTTCCTGAGCATGCTGTTTTCAAGGTTCATCTGTGTTGAACAGGTCAGTACTTCATTCTTTTTTATGGCTGAATAATATTTCACTGTGTGGGTAGACTACCTTTTGTAGATCCATTCATTGGTGGATGGACATTGGACTTCTCTGCCAGTTCACTGCTACATCTACCAGTTCTCGTGCCCTTGAAAATGAATGGATGGATGGACAGATAAATGAGGTCACAGAGCTGTTACAGCAGAAAACCAGGCACAGCCCTCCAGATCCCAGATTCTGATCATTGGATTCTACTGCTGCAGCGGGAGCCCTTTTCCTCTCAACTCTTTATGAGGGAAGATGACTGCGTTACTGATGATTCCCGCCCCTGCAAGAGAGCAGTGGCATACTGGAGTGGAGTGGCAGAGGACAGGGCCATTTACCAAGGTGTGGGCAGGGGGAGAAGCACAGGGGGAGGGGTTGTGCACTAACAAAAGTGCCACCATTCTGTTCTGTATGTGTCGTTACCCTGGTAACCCTGTACTGTGTCTCAACCTTTGTCCCCCTATGTGAAGGACAGTTGTTCCTGGGATTAGCCGACCACAAATTGTCAAGTTCCTGTAAAAGAGAAACTAGCTGACCACCAGCTGCAAAACCTCCCATAAAGGCAACTGATTAAGCAAAGAACTCTGACCCCCAAGCCAAATAACAGAACAAAAGCCTTCTCCACCCTTATCCCCTCCCACTCCTGCTTTGTGGTTTTTTCTTTTAGAAGAAGCCTCCCAAAAATCTAACCTAGTTGCACGGTTTTGCAAATTCCAGCTACTGTGCCGCTGGTGCTAGCTTAAATAAAGCCCTTTTTTTTTTCCTTTACAGACGTCTTGCCCCGTTTTTTGGACAACATTTTGGGGTTTCATTTTTGAGGTAAAACAACAGGAGAGTGAGCCAGCAGGGGCTGGCACCAGGAAACCTTCCCAGCTGGGCCAGCAGGAGGAAGTGGTGCCCAGAAGCCTGACCACTGTGCAGCTGGGCAGGGAGGGGCCTGGAGAGCCACAGCCAGGAACTGCCCTGCAGTCTTCTGAACCAGAACCCAGGGCAGATCGGGCCAGTGCAGCTGAGACGGGGCAGAAAGCACAGCTAGCTCAGACTGGAAAAGTAAAAACCTGTCCGGCCACTTACTCTGCTGGAATAACAGAAACAACAAAGCCGAGTGCAGAGATCTCAGGGAACGCTTTCCCTGCAGCTATGAAGCACAAATGTGCTGCCCTATTTGCCAGTGACTGCTGCTTTCTTCCTCCCTCAGAAACACCTGAAATCACAGGCTATCCAGAAATTTGCTGCCTGCAACTGTACGAGGAGGAGACCGGTGTTCCACTCTACCTACAAGGTAGCAGTCACCTTGACCCAGAGAACAGCCTTGATGTGTGCTTTGACCACTGAGCTTTGGAGGAGAGTTGCTGGGTGCACTGCTTGACAATGATTTTTAACTTTATTGCTTCAAAGCATATCAAACCCCAGAACCACGCTGCAAGCCAGATTCGAAGTTGGGCGCTTAACATGCCTGCTTTCCTCTGAGGCATCCAACATCCTTTCACTGATATCAGGCCTGTTTCGGCTTCCTCAGAAACCTGCAATTACCCCACCTTCTCTCTCATTTGGTGATGTCCTGGGCTTCTCTGGAGGGGCCTCTCCTTCACCACAGGTCAAGAAACCTACTTTTGGCCAGGTGTGGTGGCACACTCCTATATCCCAGCACTCAGGAGACTGAGGCAGGAAGATTTCTGTCAGTGCAAGGCCAGCATGAACTACATAGTAAGACCCTGTCTCAAAAAGAAAAAAGAGAAAGAAAGAAAGAAAGAAAGAAAGAAAGAAGAAACCCAGTTTTGGCAAGCATAGTAATGCATGCCTGTAATACCAGCTACGTGGGAGGCTGAGGCAGGAGGATCACACACGTTCCAGCCCAGCCTGGGAAACTCTGTGAGACCCTCTCAAAATACAGATTTGAAAGGGGGTAGTTGGCAACGCCCAGTGGTAGAGTGCCTGCCTGGCTCTATTCAGTCCCCAGCACCACTCAGAGAGGAGGGAGAAGAGGAAGAAAAGGAGGAGGAAGCAGAAAGCGGAAGGGGGAGAGCAAAGGAAAGTTTTATTGTAGGTTTATCAGACTGCAGCTTTGTTTCCGGTGATCCAGGGTCGCCTTGCCAATCTCCCGCAGCACCGTGCAGGGCAGAGCGTGAATCTAGCGGGTCTGGTGGGAAGGCTCCGGCATTGCAATACTGGCCTTCCCCAGCCCACGGGTGGGGTGGAGGGCAGGGAAGGAGGGCGCACTTCATTCAGGCCGTCCGCCCGGGCTGAATAAAGGACATAAAAATGAATCAGCCTCAGAGGGGAGCCGGAGGCCACAGAAAGAAGGAAGCACCACAAGGTCTGGAGCCATCTGACGGGCTGCCCCTTTCTCCCAGGCCAACGGGGCTCAAAAAAAGCAAAAGAAAGTGTGTGTGGGGGGTGGGGGTGGGGGGGGGAATTCTGGAAATGCCCGCGCTATGAACAGCATCTTTGTGTAGCCTCCGGCTGCCGGCTGGGGTGGGGTCACGGGCAGCCAGGCCTGCGGGCCTGGGTGCTTCTTGTTTACCCCAGGCACAGCTGGGGTGGCTGCCAGGGCCCGCCCTCACCCGCCCTGTGCTCCTCCTTGGAGGACTCCAAGCTGAAGGTTCCTGCTAAGAGTTCGGAGGTTTCGTTTGGCTGGTCCTTAAGGCCTCTGGTGCACATGAGCCGGGCAGGAACCTCTGTGTCATGCCAGGCTGCTCCTGCTGGGACGATGTTTTCCAGTACGAGACAAACAAAGTCACCCTCATCCAGAGTAGGAACTATGGTACCCTGAAGTGGGTCCTGCACCTGATCGTCTTTTCCTACATTAGGTAAGTGGGGCGCGCGCCGTAGCACAGGAAACCTGGGGCACAGCTGCAGTCCACATCCTGAACGTCCTGAGGGTTTCGGTGCTAAGAAGGCAGCAGGTGAGGAAGCCGGCACCAGGCATGCGAGGGGCTGGCAGGTGGGTGGGAGGCCCAGGTCACCCGCTGTGTTCCCAGGAAGGAGCAGGGATTGCAGGGCACACCTGGTGCTGGCGTCTGAGTCATCGAGCTGAACAGGAGAACAGGACCAGGCTTGTAAATGTCACTTCATGTTCTTTACAAATGTCAGGAAGAGCCATGCTGGTTTTCTTCCCCTGACAGCTTTGGAGTGTAATTCATACTCCCCGCAATCGGCCCAGTTAAAGTGTGCGATTCCACAGAGTTTAGCTGTTCATAGTTCTGTCACTGGAGTGTCAGATCATTATCACCCCCCCCCCAAATCCCAGGCCCTCAGCCGTCACCCACCACCTCAACCTCCCCACCACCCCTCCGCTGCAGACCCCAATAATCCACTTTGTCTGAATGGATTCACTTGTTCTAGATACATCGTATAAACAGAATCATACACATGTGGTCCTTTGTGGCTCATTTTTTTCTTTTAGCGTGGATTAGGTCATACTTTTGTATGGATGAATAGTGGCCCACTGTATAAATAGACCACTTAAAAAATTTTGTTAGTTTTTGGAGACAGGGTCTCACTATGTAGTTAAGACTGCCCTCAAACTCTTGGTGATCCTCCTGCCTCAGCCTCCCAAGTGCTGGGATTTCAAGTGTGTGCCACCATGACCAGCTCAAAGCCACTTTTATTTGTCCATTCATCAAGAGATGGGCATGAGGGTTGTCTTTCTTTTCAACTATCATGAATAATACTGTTGTAAACATTTACATACAAGTTTTGTGGGATATGTGTTCTCATTTCTCTTGAGTACACACCTAGGAATAGAACTGCTGGGTCACCCAGTCACTATTTTCATTTGTGGGGGAGCTGCGGGCTGTTTTGCAGAGTAGATGCACCTTTGCACACTTCCGCCACCACCGTGCAAGGCTCTGGTCTCTCCACATCCTCCTGACACTTATCATTGTGATTTTTGCTGTGGGCAGCCTCGTGAGTATGAGGTGGCTTCTCACTGCGGTGCTGGTCTTTCCCTAGAGGCCAGTGTCCTTCCTCTGTCACTCCACGGCAGCGGGTGGAGAGATGGTGCTGAGAACTTGTTAGCGTCACTGTTTTATAATCCTGGCCAAGTCTCCCTGGCTGTGATACTTAACCTCTCTGAGCCTCAGATTTTCGTGTCTGTTTCTATGATTGTTGTGATAATTCATCAAGAAACTATAGCGAGCCTTTTTCCCAGCTCTTGTCTCAGTATGGGAAGTTTATATTTGTAATCCCATAGAAAAGTGATGGGAATTCCAGGGAGTTAATTCCAATCCAGTGCACCCCAAGGCAAGAATAAAGACACTAAGACAGATGTACAGTTACAGGGAGCTGCCGTGGCTTGGGGGCAAGTGACAGTGAGAAACAGTGACAGAGCTGGGCTGGGTGGGAGGCCTGAGATCACCTCCGCCTATGCAGAGGGCAAGAAATGCAGAGAGAGCATAACAGGGCTGAGGTACCGCCTAGCATTGGGCCTGTGCTTCAGCTCTGACGTACAATCTTTTCTGCTCTGGGAAGTCAGAGCCTCTTATCTCCAGGCTCGCTCCCAGCAGACAGTGTGGAGCATGGCTCTTCATCCGCCTGACTCAACCATGATTTTTGGGAGTCACTGGGTGGGGAAACAGTGACTGCAACCCAGTGTCAAAGATTACACATCAGTCAGCACTATTTTCATTGCTTAAAGCCAATTAAAGGGACAAAAATGGCCTAAGCAGCTCTGTACATATCAATACATGAAAATAGGGCCACCTTTATCCAAAATGGAGATAATTGGTGTTTTCTTGGCTTTTGTTTTTGTTTTTTTGGTCTTTTGAGACAGGGTCTCACTGTGTTGTGCAGGCTGGCTTGAGCTCACTTTGTAGCCCAGACTGGTCTTGAACTTGCAACAATTCTCCTGCCTCAGCCTCCCAAGTGCTGGGATTATAGCTATGTGCCACCATGCCTGGCTAATAATTGCTCTTCTGTCAAGGAGAGTTGTCCAGGTAATTCCCCACAGAAATAGTATAAAAATCCCTTTCATGGTAACTGGCACAGGGTAAGAGCTACATAGCTAGGGCTGGGGATTTAGCTCAGCGGCATAAGTGCCTGCCTTGCAAGAGCTACATAGCTGGTAGCTGTTTTTAAAAATCATCTTTGTGGCTATAACAGTTATTTTTTCTACACATTCTCTCCTTTTGAGTTGTAAAGTAGTCCTATCCAGGCTTGAATTTGAGAACTGGAAATGTGCATTAAAATAACTTTTACTTCTTTGAACCTTGGATTCCTCCTCTCTGAAATGGGATAATCCTGCTGGGACTATTCAATGAGGGAGCAGATATAACAGTTGCTATGGTTTGTGTCTGGATGTCCCCCAAAGCTCATGCAGTCGTGGGGGTGGGCTTCTAGAGTTTGTGATTGATTCATGGTCCAATGGTGGGATTGTATAGGTGTGAGTGACACACCCGCCCTCCGGTGGGTAGCCTGGGTGTAGTATAAGGGACAGAAAGAGGCTTTTCTCAGGGCTCCTTCCCTTTTGCTCGCTGTTTTTGCTGTTTTCTGCCGCATGAACTGTTGCCCTCTGTCATGTGCCACTCTGCCTTGGAGCCAGCTGAATATGGACTGAAACCTCCACAAACTGTGAGCCAAATAAACCTTTCCTTTCTTCATTTTGGATGTCAGGTATTCTGTCTCAGCAACCAGAGAAAAGTAACCAACACAAAGGTGTTACAGAAATAAGTGGCATATGGTAAACCCTCATTAAGTATTGGTTCTTATTAATAATGCTATTATTAGGATTATCATCATTGGATCTATATGTTTACTATTCAACAAATACTAAATATATACATATATAGTTATTCTAAAATTCGATTTGTTTAAAATAAGACTTAGGCCAGCTAGCATAGGGCAAATGGCAAAAGGCATAATTAGTAAATGCCCCCTATGTGGCAGTACATGACTAATAAGTGACAATTGCACACAGTAGGTGATATGATTCTAGCATCCTTGGGTCCAACACACAATTCCTCATTTATTTATTTACTTATTATTTGAAATAAATTCTATGTAGCCCAGGCTGTCCTTGAACTTGTGATGACCCTCCTGCCTCAGCCTCACAAGTACTAGGATTACAGGTGTGTGCCACTATACAATTTCTTATAAGGAGACTATGGTGTCTATAAGACCAGATAACTATGAGAACACTGTGTAACGATAACTACTTTTTCTTTCAGAAGGTGGAAACGTGCCTTAACATTGAACTTCCTCAAATTCAGTCGTTCAGGTTCCAATGGGGACATGGAAAAGTGTACATTTACTGGTGCAGTGATTCTACCATTGAGTGCCCTAGAATAAGCGTGAGATGGAATACTTAAGCCTGGAGTTCCCTCTGTTACTCTCTGTCCCTGTGTGCTTTTCAGAGAAAGTGTCTTTTTTGTTTGTTTGTTTTGTTTTGTTTTGTTTTTTTTGTTTTTTAAAGGACTGGAGAGCGCCCGCGGGTCTCGAACCACCGGACCAATCGGCCCGGGCGGTTGGGAAGCCAGACTGGAAGGAACCGCTGGGCTAAAGCCGGCCCTTGTTTTGGTTTTTGAGGCAGGGTCTCACTATGGCCTTGAACTCACTATATAGCCCAGGTTGACCTCGAACTCATGGCACTCTTCCTGCCTCAGCCTCCCAAATGCTGGGATTATAGGTATGCACCACCATGTCTAGCTTAGAGTGAGCATCTAGACACTTATTCCACACATTAATCTAGATACAAATTTTCCACCCCAAGGGACCCCTAGAATAAGCCAACTCCTCACCTTTACCTGGCGCAAATCTGGGAGAGCACTACAGGGTCTTGTTCCAGAGCTGGAGGGAGAATTGGATGTGGGGCCCTCTAGAAGGCCATCTTTGGGCTTATGCAATGTGAGCAATTTGAGGGCTCACCAAAGGTAATTTTGACTACGTATCTTAAGTGCTGACTTTAGAAGACAACTCTCAGGTAACAAGCTTCTTTTCTGTTTATCCTGTATTTTAAAATGAAAAATAGAAGACAAATAGCACTAGATTTGCTCTCTTCCTTTTCATTAGTGTAAGGGCCATTAACACCTCACTGGATGCAGTCTCATGGCGCATGGCTTGGGAGTGCTGCCTGGAGCTGCTCTGGGAGGCCCAGATGGAAAGGGACGTAGTCACCTGGGAAATGGGCAGATATCAGGAGTGGTGTGGACCACAAACAGAAGTCCAGATGGGCTCCATCCTCACCCAGGACACAGCAGTAGGTGATGCGCCCTGGCCACTGCTGTTCCTGCTTGGGCTGACGAGGAACTGGCTAAGGAAATAAGACAGGGCCTCAATAACTGAGCCTAGGGCATGAGGCCGTGGCCAGCTTAGGGAAAATGAGACAAGAGGCAGATCAGCTTCTCAGAGCCTCACAACCAAGCTCAGATCTGCAGGTAGAGACAGGGATTCAGCTACAACAGGCATCAAGGGGCTCCAGCTTTTGGGGCTGCAGGCTTGGGTGGACAGGATGCTGAACAGGAAGGTGTAAGAATTTGGGTGTGGTGGTGCATGCCTGTAACCCTAGCACTTGGAAGGTTGAGGCAGGAGGATCTTGGTGAGTTAGAGGACTATCTGCGCTACATAAGCAAGTTCAAGGCCAGCCTGAACAGCCGAAAAACAAATAAATAAGGAAGGAAGGAAAGAAGGAAGGAAAAAAAGAAAGAAAGAATGAATGAATGAATTTTGGGGTGGTGATGATAAAAGACAGAAATCTAATACAAGTTAACTACCAATCCACAAGGGAGAATTTACTGGATTGTCTGCCTGGCCAATGAAAGAGATGGGGCTGTCCTTAGAAATGGGTGAGTATAAGAGTTCAAACTCTGTTATCAGACACAGATCTCAGTCTGTATTCCCACTTTTTTTTTTTTTTTTTTTGATACAGGCTGGTCTCAAATTTGCAGCAATCCTCCTGCCTCAGCCTCCTGAATGCTGGGATTATAGGTATACAACATCACTATGCTCGGCCGTCTCCCCATTTCTTGGCTCTATTTGGTGCTACAGATGCTCCTTGACCTTCTGATGATGGGGTTATGTCCTCCCTTAACCTTCTGTATATCACAGTGTAGCCACACAGCACCTTTGGAGGTCAGTCATGGACCCTCATGTTCATGTGACTGGTGGGAGCGCAGATCCCTGGCACTGCCTGGCATTTCCAGATAGTATTGCAGCAGCACATATCACTAGTCCAGTGTGTGTGTGTGTGTGTGTGTGTGTGTGTGTGTGATCAAGATTCTAAATTGGAAGTACAGTTTCTAGTGAATGCCTATTGCTTTCACAGTGTCGTAAAACTGAAAAATCAAAAGTTAAATCATTATCAGTTGGAGACTGACTTTGTTGCGCATCTTCCAGAACAGGTTCTCACTTGCACAAGATGGAACACTCATACCCTCACATCCGCTTTCCTTAATTTCAGAGAAATGAACAAGTCTCTCCTGGTTACTCAGTCAAGGAGCCCAAGAAAGGCTCTGATTGGTCAGGTTTGAGCTGTCTACCATTCTTGAACCAATCACTATGGCAATCGGCTTGGTGTCATCTCATTGGCCAGCCCTGGGTCACGTGCTGGTCCCCGGAGCAGGAAGTAGGCAGACCTGGCAGAGTGGAGTGAGGCATGCTGTGGGTTTTTCTCAGGGAAGAATCCTGCTGTCATAACTTGGAAGAAGTGCGGCCGTTAGACAAAAACCAAGTATCTATGACAAGGTCTTTTCAAAAATCGAGATTCCAGGGACTGTAAAGGCCACTTCTGTTGTACTGATGTGTCTCAGCCTTGCAGCAGGCTGTGGAGACCTAGCCCCTGGTGACTGCCGTAGGGGCTGGGCCCTCCGTGTCCTTTCCTCGGCCCCTCCAGGAGCCTTGCTCCCCGCCAACGGATGCTGCGTGGACCTTGGGGGCTGCTGACTACCCGATCATCACTACCATCAGTTCGCTTGTGGCCTCCGCACTAAACCAAGCCTTCTGCGTCCTCACCACCTTGATGAGTTCTTTTTAGAGTTTATTCCAAGTGAGTTGGGAGCCGTGGGAGGCTCCGAAGCAGGGAGCTAAAGGTAATTGCATTCTCTTGGGAAGATTTCCCTCTTCGGGAGTCCAGTCCTTTCAGATGCTCGTCTAGCCCCGCAAGAAGACCAGGGAAGTTGAGAGAGGAGCAGGAGAGCGAGCCCCTGGAGGCTGCCCTGGAGAGGAGTGGTGTCCCTCCCGGCCCCTGCTGCCTGGCGCTGTGCTAGTGTGGCTGGCTGCTGTTTCCTCAGAGCTGGCCTCACCCATGAGATGGGTCCTCTCCTTGCAATGGAGGAGGCACCGGAGGACGCAGGGAGCAGATCCAGCCAGGACACAGCTCCTACGGCCCCTAGAGGAGCAGAGATACGAGGAGATCCATTATGGTCTCTTCCCGTCCTTGCCTCTGGTGTTGTGAGGGGCTTTGGGGCTCAGGACAGTCCCAGAAGAGCAACTGCAGGAGGAGAATCCAGCCACATGACACGAGGGACCCACTGCACAATAAACAAACAGAGGCCTGGAAGAAAAAAACACTGCAAGGATCGCAGGTTCTAGAACATTCTGAGATGGGGAGGGGTGGGAGCCAAGGCAGGGAAGAGTTGGGGTCCAATTCTCAGCAGCTCCAGAAAATTGACACAAGCGATAGAGCCATCTGAGTCACTTGTCCACGAAGGCAGCCAGCCGTGTGCAGACTGAAGGCCACGTGAGCACGAGAAAAAGGCACAGGGCCCTGCTGGAGCAACCTGGAAGAGGGATGGTGGCGCCGAGGCCGGACTGGGGTGGTGGGTCTGGGGAGATTCGCACAAAGCTGCGATATGCTTAGGAGGCAGGACCGATGGATTTGCAAGGGGGTGAAGAGTGATCCTCCTCTTCTCTGGTAGATAACAATGCTTTAGTGCCACAAACAAGACCTAGGAGAGGCAAGCTGTGGACTGACGCCCATAGTTAGGGGTGGCGAGCAAGCAACTAAACACCCAAGCCACTACCACCTGTGCCCACTATTGTTAATGTAGGACATCAAAACATTTGAGGAGCTGGAAACAGAGAGAGGTAGAGAGAGACAGAGAAAGAGAAAGGAAAACGGAAAGAGGGGGGAAGGGAAGGGAGGGGAAGAGCATGTTCCTTTCAAACGAATGACTTTAGCTTTAGGCAAAGCTGTGGGGTGGCAAGTTTCCCTTTTTTGGTGCCACACACCCATGGGCCCTGGGAGCCACTCTAGCCAGCCTCCCACTTGGGGCTGGGCATGTGCTGCCCTCCTGGGCGGTAAGCACAGCACCAGGAAGAGGGGGTCCTCAAGACCACATGCAAGCCAGCTGGCTGGCATACCTAGCATCTAAAAAGGGGAAGCCACCCAGGGCTCAGAGGGTAGATAGCCTTGACCTCTGTCCTGAGGCTTCTGGGAAACCATGAGGATTATTTCCACCATACTGTGCAGCATCTCACTATGAAAATGCTCATACAAATGGAATACAGTAAATGCTTTATGCCCATATTTTGTTAGAAATAGATTCTGCGTCACATATAATAATACCTACTGAGTGTTGAGTGCTGTTCTCAAATGGGACATGGATTGAAATCTTTGAGCCTTGTGAATAACCCTGTAAGATGGTTCTATTACAGTTTAGACAGCCTATCTATGCTAACTGTGTTTGGGGAAATCTCTTGGTTATACCGTCTTTATTTTATTTTATTTGAGACAGGGTCTTACTCTGCAGTTCAGGCTGGCCTTGAACTTGATTATGTAGCTTGAACTATGACAACCCTCCTGCCTCAGCCTCCCAAGTGCTGGGATTATAAGTGTGTGCCACAAGGTCTAGCAAAATCCCTCTGTTATAACCTTCATCTCTCCTATATATATTACAAGCTAATTAAATGCACCTAGGAGGTAGCATGAGACTCAAGGTTTTCAAATATATGCACCATGCAGCACTGTCTTTAAGACACATGGTCTCCTTATGCAGTTCAGGCTGGCTTGAGCTCACTTTGTTTAGCTCAGGTTGGTCTTGAACTCCCAGCGATCTTCCTGCCACAGCCTCCGAAGTGCTGAGATTCCAGATGTGCATCACCACACTTGGCTCACTATGTAACACTTTGACCTGGAGGATATAACACATGGGGTGGTAAATGTGAGCAGAATTCAAATTTAGGAGCAGAGGGGCAGTTTTGACCTTTAACCTACACAATTGAGTGTCCACTTCTCTGGACACCAAGCTTACCAGTGTACTGCTCTGTCCCTCTGCTGATGGCAAGCTTCCCTGTGGACTGTATTCATTCCTATCTGTTATATAGCAGTAGAAACTAATACAGCCCCACAGGCCAAAATCAAGATGCAGAGAGCTGAGTTCTTGTATAAGAACACTGTGGTTGACAGAATTCAGTTTCATGAAGTTGTAGGACTGAGCCCTCTGCTTCCTGTCAGACCGTGTTCCTTCCTGTGTGACCCCTCCCATCCTTAAGCCACCAGTGACACAGTGACTCTTTCTTGTGCTTTATACCTCTGACTTCTCCTCTGGCACCTGTTTAAGAAAACTCTTTTTTTCAGACTCACCGATAGTGTCAGGGCCAGCAAGATAAACTTCCTGTTCCAAGGTCAACTGTACCATAAGACATACCCAGTTATGGTAGAAAGCTGCCCATGCCTTATACTCAAAGTTCTGCTGGTCCTGCAGCATACACAGGATGCAGGAAATCTCACAGTCACCTAGAATTCTACCTATTACAGAAGCAGGATGTGCCCATCCTGAGCTGCACTGTCACCCCACACTCCTCTGAGTACCAGGACCTTAGAATCCTCTTACCAAGTGTTTCTGAACCTCTTTACAAATCTAAGCTCTTGAAATCTGGGCACCATGGGCATGCTCCTAGATCCGATGGGTGGCCAAGGGGTGTCTGTGTGCCAGGCACGTGGGCCTAAGATCTGGGCATCCTTCCACACACGTGTGTAGAAGGGCCCAGAAGGGAGGTACGAAGGCAGTGGGTGTGGACTGGAGGCCTTGCACCGGCGTCTCCACATTCCTTCAGGGGGATTCCAAGAACTCAGAATTGGAAAGTGGCTTTTCAGATTATAAGGAAGGCATGTTTAGTAGAATAAATGAGAGACTTATTGTATTTTAAAGTTTGTTATGGCAGCGAAGTGTTCAAACGCAGAATATTCTCGTGGCCAAATACATTTCCTAGGACCGCCGTCACAAACAACCCCCAACTTACTAGCTGAAAACAAGTTCACACAGTCTTGGAAGCTGGATGTCCAGCATCAGTATCACCGGGCTGAAATCAAGGTGGCAAGAGGGCTATGATCTCTCCGGGGCTTTCAGGAGAGGCCTTTACCTGTGTCTTTCAGCTCTTGTGGCAGCCGGTGTCCCCATCACTCATCTTTCAAATCTGCTCACGTCTCATCTCCTTGCATGCGTACTATTCCGTGTCTGAACCTGCGCATGCGTGTGTGCTGTGTGCGTTGCGCGTGAGTGCGCATGCGTATGATCAATTTGCCCTCAGTCCCTCTCGTACGACACGTGATCACCTTGCAGCCCATCCAGATGTGGCAGGATCTTCTCACATCTCACGGTCCTTTGTCTAGTCACGTTTCCTGTGGCTTTTACCCAGTAAGGTAACCTTTCCAGGTTCCAGGGATTGGGATCTGTTATCTCTGGGGCCACCGCTCAGCCAGCTCAGGAGAGGTGACCCCGATGGCTTTCAGCTCATTCAAGCAGTGGCGGAGATTAAGGTCCTAGACCTCCATCCCCAACACCAGTGGCACCGGCTGCTCCCTGTTCCCTCAAGGAGCCAGACGGTGGCCGGCAGGGATCTTTCTGTGGACCGGTCCCTGTTATGCATTGTCCAAGGGAACCTGGCTTCTGGCCTTTTGATATGCTGTATGCACTGCCTGAACCCCTTTACAAAATCTTTTTTTTTCCACAAGTTGATAGAGGTGTGATTGACACATCATCAGATTACCCTTTTTAAGCCACTGCATTAATTTTTTAAAGTAAATTCACCGAGCTGTGCGACCATCACCACAGTCCAGTTTCAGAGCACTTTGTCTCCTTGTCGAGACCCTTGTAACCGTTAGCGGTCAGTCCCTGTCCCCACCCCCATGGCTGCCCATCCCATGTGGCCACCAAGTATCCTCTGCCCCTCGAGATTTGCCTGCTCAGTCTTCCTTCACTCATCTGTGACCAAGTACATGTGGGGCCAGGAGGGAGACCACAGCCCAAGCAGGGGGCCACACGGTCTGGCTCAGGCAACTGGTGGGCAGTGGATTAACCATGGGAGGGGAGGGGCAAATGCCCGCGAGAGAAGCCAGTTTGGGGTGCAAGGCATTGAATTTGAGGCATCTGATGAGAGTGGGTAGATAGATGAGCCATAGATGTAGCTGTAGAGCCTGCATCACAGCATGTAGGTGACCAGAACCATGGAAGCTGTGGGAATCCAACAGAAGAGAAAGACGGGCCAGTAAGAGGGCCGGGAACAGATCCCTGGTCAGCGCTGGATGCATGGACTGGGGAGTCCAGAGCCCCCCACAGGATTCTGATAAGGGGCAGCCTCGGGAACCCCAGAGCTGGCAGGATGTGGATTCCTCGAAGTCGAGGGTAGTGCCACTCGGTGCAGGGGATTGGTGCTGCTGCATTCCCAGAAGCTCAGGCCTGTTGCTTTTGTGGCACGGCCTTGGCCAGGGAGGCCCGGAGCAGGGGCAGGGTTGGGAACCAGAGTGGCGTGGGCGGAGCAGTGAATGGAGCCTGAAATGGATGCAGTGACTCACTGTCTCAGAGGAGAGAGGAGAGCGCGTGGAGCGGTGGCAGAAGAGTGCGGGATTGGGGGAGGGTTTCAGACGAGAGGGGAAACCGAAGGGATAAATAGAAACGGTCAGCATCACTGTCATCGGCATCTTCGCCGCCACCAACCCGCAGCCGCAATGAAGGTTTTACATTTCAGGACTGCTCTCACCTCCAGACCTTTCTTCCTCATGCCGTGGTCAGAACCGAGCCCTTTCGACTCTCATCTGTGGTTACACTTGCACCCTGTGTTCTTTCCTCTACTTCTGATGGTTCCGATGGCTCCGCAGTGCTAAGTCCTTCCTCTCGGCAGACCCTTTAACATGACAGCCATGCCTTGTTTATCAGCCCCCTCTTGTTTATCAAGACCCTCTTCAAGGCAGCGTGCATAGCCAGATGTGGTGGTGAACAGCTGTAGTCCTAGCACTGTGGCAGGCCGAAGCAGGAAGATCTCCAGGTCAAACCCAGCCTGGACAGCTTAGAAAGACCTTGTCTCAGATAAAAACTTTGAAAAGGTTTGGGGTGGTGGGGAGTGTGGCTTAATGTGAAGGCCTTTGGTTCAATCCCTAGTACCCCCGAAAGGAATAAAAAGGGCAGTGTGGACACTCTTGCTTTGCTTGTGGAAGTACAAAATGGTTCACTCTTTTCTGGTTTGACAAAATGATGGAGATACAAAATGCACACACCACCTCCCCCATGCACATCCTCAGGCGTTGACACCTCGAGCATGAGAGGTGCTAACGCAAGCATTTCTGGCAGTTCAAGGCCAGGCTGGGCGACAGTGCAGTGCAGTGGTGCGCTCAGGGCCAGGCGGGGGTTAAGCAGATTCACAGGCAGCTGGCATCCTGGGCTCCTCCTCTCACTGCAGAGCTACCTTTGCTCAAGGAGCCCAGGTGCTATAAAGCATACAGACAGGCAGACAGAAGAGTGATACTTCTTCCTGGCAAGCTCTGAGCACCACACATCATGCAGACCCAGTTCTGCATTCATACGACTGCAAGGGTCCTTCGTATTCACAGCACGGGCCTTGGGACACTGAGGTACATCTTCCTGGTGGCCGTCTGCATCTACATCTGGTGAGTGAAGCCAGTCTGAGAGCCACGCAGCTCAGCCTTCTTCTCCACCCTGCTTCTGACCCCGCACTCCGAGCTCTCCTCCCTGGCCAGCTCTCCTGGGCCAGTCACACCTGTGCTTTGGGCCCAGCTAGGGCCCTAAGTCCATGCCGTGGCCTTCTCAGCTATGAAATGCATGGAATGGAAGCTTCTTAGAGCTGAAATGTCAGAGCTGAGGGAGCCAGGGAAGGAGCCCTGCATTCAGGACTAAACCCTTGGCCTGCAGAAGCGACATGGCTTATCTGGGTTCCCAGCAGAGTCAGAACGTGAGGCTGGACGGGCACAACCTTGCTCCCGAGGGCAGGATGTACCCCGAAGTTTTCTCTTTCATTCATCTGTCCTTTGACCCAGCTCTGGAGAATTTTGATTCTGAACTTGGACATGTGTGTTATGACACCAAGATTAGCTTTTCTGATTCTGCTAAGGCTGATCGCTAACAGGTTGAAGTTTCTGGAATGAATGGGAGAGCCCAGAACTGAGCTTCCCAAATGGAAGAGACGGGAAAATGTGGCAGTAGCGACTCACAGAGCATCCATGTTTTGTGGAGCTATCGTGAGGCTGGGGTGGGATGTATTATTGAACTAATGTTACCACAGAGAACCCGGGCCAGCGAGGAGAGAAAGCTCCCGGAGGGCAACTGTTATTCACACCCGTGGGAGGGGGGCGGTCAACAGGAAGCTCAAGCTGCAGAGAGCTGGCTCGGCAAAAAATAAGAGCCGTGTCAGCACCCCTGAACCCCCGATGTGCTAGCAGCCAGCCCCTACCCCCCTACTCAGAGACCCAAAATTTTGCATCCCCTCAGCAACGCTCCCTTCCCCTACCTACACCCCCCTGTAAACACGCTCTCACCCCTTGCTCGCGCCCAGTGGTCTTTTCACCCTTGGCCTGGCTGCCTGCACCCGATCTGCGGTAAATCCTCACACTTTTGTTAAACTCTGCCAGGGCTGGAGATTTAGCTCAGTGGCATAAGTGCCTGCCTGGCAAGCACAAGGTCCTGAGTTCAATCCCCAGCACCATAAAAAGAGAAAAAAAAAAAAAAACAAAACTGCCTGCCTCATTGGTCTCAAATTGTGCCTTGGTTTACCCTAACACGTAGATGTGTACAAAGTTCCATTTAATAGCATGGCATCACACATATTGATTGGGTCCCTAACCAACATTTCTTGAGTTTTTTTGGTACCAAGGGATCAAACTCATAACCTCGCGCTTGCCAGGCAGCTGCTTATGCCATTGAGCTATATGCCTGAACTTGACAGTCTCTTTAAATGAATTTCAGAAATGCTAAAATGTATCATGAATTATGTAAATCTCATATACCAGCATGCGGTTTAAGAACTACAACATTACTTCTGGGCATGGTGGTGAACACCTGTAATGCCAGCACTCTGGGAGGCTGAGGCAGGAAAACTACGAATTTGAGCTCAGGCAACTTAATGACATAGCAAGACCCTGTCCTAAAATAAAAATAAGTACAAAGGGCTCATTGTAGCTCAGTGCAAAAGCCCTGGGTTCAACCTCTAATATTAGGAGGAGGAGGAGGTTGAGGAGGAGGACGAGGAAGAGGAGGAGGAGGAAGAGAAGAAATAATAAATGTTACTAATCCAGTTTTGTTCCCTGCAAAGCCACCCTCATGTCACTCCTCAGAAGCATCATCCTGAATTTGATGTTTGTCGTTCCCTGTGCTGATATTTTTATAGACAAATGCCTATGTCTGTAAGTATGTATATGTTTACCTTTCTTTATGGAGGTGAAATTCACGTAACATAAAACCACTTTAAAGCGACTCCTCAGTGACATTTAGAACATTCACAGTGTTTGCAGCAGCTGCCTCCACCTTGTTCTAAAACAGTTCTACCCTGAAAGGAAATCCCCCGCCCAGCCGTTACTCCCCGAGTCTGTCCCTGTCCCCGCGCAGTTCTCCATCCTGGTGTCTTGTGTGAATGTGGCTCTGGGTCCGCCTTCTGTCACTCAGCAGACACAGCATTTTCAAGGCATACCCTCGTTTTGATGGTCAGTATTTCCTCAGCATGGCTGAGCAATGCTGCGTTTCACGGACAGGACACTCTCTGGCTGTGCAGCCGTCTCCTGGTGAACACTGGTGATTTTCCCATTTCACCTGTGATGAACAGCGCTGCTGTAAACTTTTTGCCCAAGTATTCGTGTGGTATGCAGCGCTGCTTTGGGTTTCTTTAACCTTCTGCCCAGCAGCAGTAGCAGCTCTATGCACAGCCCTAGGACTCTCTGTTGCTGGCTTTGGTCCGCTCATTTGCACAGCCACAGAGCCCCCACTGTACAAATGTACCAGTGTGCCCAGCATTCACATCTCCATTTCTCCCTCTCCCAAGCACGCTGTGTACACATCCCGTGAGCCTCGGAGGACAGATGCTCACAGGCAGGCCCCTAGGAGTGTGAGTGCATTGGTCCTAAAGATGCTCAGCTCCCCACGGCTGCCACCGCTGCCTCTGCACTGGCGTCCCCTGGAAGAACACACAGTGGTGTCCGGGTGACCACCCAGAGTCTGGAGCTCCCTCCAGGAGGGAACTAGAGAGCTACAATTCTTTTTCTGTTTGTTTGTTGAGACAAGGTCTCGCTGTGTAGTTCAGGCTGGCCTGGAACTCACCGTGATCCTCCTGCCTCAGCCTCCCGAGTGCTTGCATGACAGGAATGTGCCACCACACCTGGCTGCCATCTTTCATTATTAATCCTACTTTTTTCCTCCCCTGTACTAATTTTCACGCATACACTCAAGGAAGTAGGAAGAGTGAGTGAGCTGACCATAGGGCAGGAGTAGAAGCAGAGCCGTGTTGGGCATGAACAGGGTCAACAGGTGGACAAGTCAAGGACCTTGGTTGTGCCACCGTCAATCTGTGTGAGGCCCGGGGCAGCCTCCTTCACCACTCAGACCATTCACCTGTCTGCAAGAGCAATGGCCCAGTCCCTGTCTCACTGTTGCCGTGGGAAGTAAAGGAGAGGAGCTTGGAGCTCGCTTGGCGCCGCTGGCGTCAGTATCATTCATACAGCAGCTGAGCGCTTCTGAGAAGCGGGTGACTGACCCGCCAGACTTGGGGAGATGGGAACGGGCCTGTGAGTTTCTGAGCCTCAGGATACAGAAGCAGTGCTGACCCAGAGTGGGGCTCGGTTATTTGAGAAACTGTTCTAAAAGTGGAATGCAGCCGGACGTGGCGATGCAACCCCTGTAATTATAGCACTCAGGAGGCCGAGGCAGGAGAATTGCCGAGAGTTCGAGGCCAGCCTGGGCTACATAACAAGACCCTGTCTCAAAACAAACAAAAAGCAGAATGTACATGAGGTAATATTAAAGCTAGCACCGGGGGCGATGGCTTTCCCTCGCCATGTGCTCGCCCCATAGCTGGTACTATGCTAAGGAATTTGCACGCGTATCTCATTTAATCCTCTGAAGCCCCTGGGGCAGGCAAGGGCTCTGTTTTTTGCTCCTGTTTGCTGGAGAAGGAAATGAGCCACACAGAAGCACAGCTAGGGACTGAGAGAAGCCCACCTTCCACCTCCCTCTAGAAAACAAGTGGTCGATGTTTGTCTGTGTCTCCCACTTAGCTTCGCACTGGTGACAGACAAGATGTACCAGCGGAAGGAGCCGGTCATCAGCTCGGTGCACTCCAAGGTGAAGGGCATGGCCGAGGTGACGGAGGAGGTGGTGGGCGGAGTGAGGAGGTCGGTGCAGAAGGTCTTGGACACCGCAGATTACACCTTACCCCTGCAGGTGAGCGCCCACCCCTTCCTCCCGGGCTCGGGCCTGGGCCTTGGCCACCGGCCCCAGGGCCCTGCCCTCTCCCCCCCGGGACTCAGAGGCTCACTCTGGAAAATGCTGGCCCTATTTAAAAAGCTCTGTGAAAATCCCAACCGAGAAAACCTAAAAAACTGCCAAAGTGGGCCAGACCTAGCTGTCCTAGCTGGTCCCAAAATAGCAGTGTGTCCTGGCGCGATTCAACACGGCTCGGTCAGCTCACACTCGCGGTGAACACGGCTGGATGGAAGCCACCACGCCAGCCAGCGGCATCTGCCCGGGTTCAAGGAGGGCGACAGACTTGCCATCTGCCAGTGCCAGCCCTCCACATGACCTCTCATCACCCCGAGGTCCCTGGGGCACGGTCCCTGGTGCATGTATTTACCATGACGGAAGGATGTGGGTGAGAGAGAAGGTGTGGCCTCGGGGGACAGGCGTGTGACCGCTCAGCTTGGCAGGCAGAGAAAGTGAAAGCAGTCACAAAAGGGGGGGGTAATTAAGAGCCGAGGAACAGGTGTGGGCGGGAGGGACAAGGGTTTGCAGCTGGGGCGGGTGCTGGAAGCCTGCACAAAGCCACAGGAGCAGCCACCACCCTGCTGGTTTCCAGCAGCGGCTCATTAAACTGGCCCTGCAGGCAGAGGAGGCCCCGGTGCCGATTCATTGGGTCCTGAAATCTGGACAGCGCCCTATGGTGCCCCCCCAAACTCAACCCGTGGCTCGCTGGGTTCCCAGGGTTGCAGTGCAATGCCATTTGCCTGTCTCGGATTGGGGAGGGACATGTGGGTCCCCTGCTTCCCTGGGCCCAGCGAGGTGACACGGGCAGCTCTGAGCGAGTTGGCTGCCACCGACCCCAGTTTCTTGGCTGCTCAAGAGAAAGCACAGAGGGGTTCGGGTTCCCCCACCCCACCCTGGGCACTTGGCGAGCTGCGGGGTCAGGAGTAGGTGGCTCCATCGCCAGGGCCTCCTGAGTGCCTCCTCTCTCTCTGCAGGGAAACTCCTTCTTCGTGATGACAAACTATCTCCAGACAGAGGGCCAGGAACGGGGGCTGTGCCCTGAGGTAAGGGGGCCACCACGGGCCATCGGAAAGGAGGACAGGGCCGGGGCCGGGCTGGCATTTCACCAGCGCCCTCCACACCTGCAGGGGGTGGCAGCCTGAGCAGCCCCATTTCACAGGCTCAGAGAGGTTAAGTGACTTCCCCAGGGTCACACAGCTGCCAGAGGAGGAGCCAGGCGGCGTCCTGGTCCTGTCCAGGGCTTCTCCTCCCACTCACTCGGCCCCTCACACCGTCTCTCTGTGAGGTGTGGGTGGTCCCAGGGCCACCGTGAGGTTTTCCCCTCCGGACTCTACTCTTGACCTCCCTGCCTCTTCCTGGATGCTTTTTTCTCCAGCTGACCTTCACGGTCCTCCCGGCTATGCATGTGAAGTTTCCCTCTGTCCCTGTGTGTGGGTGCCAGGATCCCCCAGCCCCTCAGGTGACACCTGTGCAGCCTGGCCCCTCTGGTAACAAGACCTCATTTACCAAGGCTTCAGGAGTTTGGTGTCAAAGTGCTCTCCTGGGAGCTGGGATTTAGCTCAACGGCACAAGCCCCTGCCTGGCGAGCATGAGGTCCTGAGTTCAATCCCCGGTACCAAAAAAAGAAAGACAAAACCTACAAAAATACTGTCCTGGGGCTGGGAATTTAGCTCAGTGGCATAAGCACCTGCCTTGCAAGCAGGCAGTCGGGAGTTCGATCCCTGGTACTGATAAAAAGGAAAAAGACAAAAAAAGAAGAAGAAGAAGAAAAATACTATCATGCTACAACTGTTGTCAACTGTGACCGAAACTCACAGCCCAGCAGGCCTTCTGATGGCCTCTCCCCCTGAAGGGAGCCCTTGTCTCCCTCCACAGCATGGACCCTCAGTTGAGTGGGCAGCAGTTCCCTGTGTAACCCGATGGGGGTTCCCCGCTCTCCCGTGTCCCCTCTCCGCACGCCACCCTGATATACACACATAGATACCTGCCAAGCGACCGAGGCTCTCGAGGAGCAGAGCAGCGACAGCCAGAGGTGAAGAGCCAGGCTGCTAAGGACTCCACACTTTGCTTATCTGCTTGAAGACTTCGAGGAGGTGGCTTTCCCTGCAAAAGAGACACTAACAGCCTAGCTCTGAGGGTCACTGCAAAACTCAAGCAGATGCCTGTGATGGCCGCTCACACAGTAAATACGGCCAGGCCCTAGCTGGATGCCAAGATGGACCTGGTGGGCTTTGAATAGCCAGCGGATCTGCTATCCGTTTTGCTTGAGGTCTCTTGTGACACCTGTGTCACATGGTGCCAATGCCATGTGGAGGCTCTTACGGGGACAGTCAGGCTCTTTCCTCCTGGAGCTTTCCAGAGGCTTCCTCCCTGTGGGATCTGTCCACATGCTGTCTCCAGACTCCGAATGCCAGCACAGGGTCCCCAAGGCCAAATGGCAGAGGCTCCAGGCCTTGGAAGGCTTAGGTCAGAGCTTAGGTCCTTTCTGTGGCCTGAGGTCCAGCCTGTGTCACAGCACGGCCCAGCGTCACAGGAGGAAACACTCTCTTTCTCCTCGGGCAGGGCAACCAAGAGCTCATGGCCACCCTTAGTCCATGTGAAAAGCCCAAGCGAGAAGAAGAAAACAGAACCAGTGTTTCTCTTATAATTTTAGAATGTCTCTTGGAGCGGAAAATAGAATTAGTTTGGCTTTTCCTACGAGTTCCTTCCAACTGATACTGAAAACTGCCCATGACCCACAGTAAATGACCATTCATTCATTCATTCTCCATTCCTTTCATGTTTGCCAAGAATACTGCTTGTCTGTAACCGGGAGTGGTGGCACGCACCTGTAATCCCAGCCCTGAGGAGGCTGAGGCAGGAGGATCATCATGAGTTCCAAGTCAGCCTGGGCTACCCAGTTGAATTCAAGGTCGGCCTGAATTACATAGCAGGAGCCCGTCTCCAATAACAAAACAGAACATTACTAGGTGTGTGTGTCAGGCAGGCAGTCTGGTCACAAAGCTACAGTCCTTGCGGTCCAAGGGTTCATAGTCTCATTCGAAGGGGCTCAAAGGAGAGGAAAGCCAGGCCTGGTGCGTGACAGAAGGTGGACAATCTGGGAAGAAGAAAAAAAACGTGAGTTTGAAGATGAGGAGAAACAGAGTTGGCCTCGCTGTTACAGAGAAGGACACGGAGGAGGCTGAGGGAAGCCACTTAGCCAGAAAAGGGCGCTGCTCTCAGGAGACCCGGGTCCTTGCCCTGTGTGTCTGTCAAGGCCCTGGGGCACAGTGGCGTTTATAACACCGGTGTCATCACGCTCGATTCCCGAGGCGGCCAGGGAACCTGCTCCCCAGAGAGCGCCGGTCACACCTGCGAGGGCCAAGCTGTCCCGCTGGCCTGCGAAGACGCTGGCCTGGTGTCCTCGGCTGGGAGACAGTGCCGGCTGCTGCCCCTCGCTGTCCCGGCCAGCTGATGTCCCTGATTGACTTCCCCGCCCCTGTCACATCCTGGGCCCTGCAGCCACTGGGCCGCCTGCTCCTGCCACCCCTAGGCCCCGAGGGCCAGCGGCCAGGGTTGTTTACTTTTCTTTTTTACCAAGATGTGATTCAGGGACCATAAAAGCCTGGCACTGAAGTGCCCAGCGCGGGGTGTTTAGTCTCTGCCTGGCGTCCCCGTCGCCGCCCTCTCCTTCCAGGACATTTCCATGGTCACGGGAAGAAACCTCGTCCATCTCCCCTCCTTCCCCCAGCTCCTGCCAAGCGCTCTCCGCTTTCTGTCCCCGGGCTTTGCCTTTTTTGGGACATTTCCTAGGAACAGTCTCACACAGGAAGTAGCCTTTTGTGACTGGCTTCTTTTACCCAGCGCGGTGTTTCCAACACTCGGCCATGACAGGCAGGTGACAGTGTAAGCCCGTGCCGGGCTGCGTCTGTCCCTCATCCCGTGGTGGACCCCATTTGGTCTGTTTCTGCATTCTGGTGGCCATGAGTCATGAAGCTGTGAGTAACTGGTGTACAGGTCTTGTTGTGGGGACGTGGATGTCAGGGTCCCCACGTCTTGGTGACACCCTCACTCATTCTGGCTGCCCTGTCTTTCTCCACAGTACCCCACGCCCAGGACGCGCTGCTCCTCCGACCGGGGCTGTAAGAAGGGGTGGAGGGACCCGAAAAGCAAAGGTACCGTTGCCTCTGTCCCTGAGCCCCAGTCTGGGGCTGGCCTGGCACCTTGGTGGCATTCACATCACCTGGTTCCCATCCTCGGCCTCTGGCCCTCAGCTGCCCTCCTCCTCTACCACCAAATCTCAGCCAAGCCTGCGTCTGCCCCATGCCCTGGCTCCGTCCCCAGCAGGCCAGCTGTGCCCTTGCATGTAACCCCCAGTGTCCTAGGAAGAGATGTTCCTCCAGCCCCGGCATGGTCAGGTCAAAACCGTAGAAAATCACCTCTTGGCCCATTGTATCTTCTTCTTCTTCTTCTTCTTTTTTTTTTTTGCCTTTTTTGAGACAGGGTCTCACTGTGCAGTTCAGGCTCACTTTGTAGTTGGTCTCGAATTTGTAACGATCCTCCTGCCTCAGCCTCCCAAGTTCTGGGATTACAGGAATGTGCCACTCAGACACTGCATCTTCTGAGTGTTCTAAATTTCCCCAAAAGTAGAGGAGTGTGACTTTGATCCCATATTTACCTGGAGAGCGCCCTCATCTCATGTTCTAACTCAAAAAGACATGGCTCAGTGCCGGGGATGTCGCTCAGCAGGACAGCGCTTGCCCAGCCTGTGTGAGGGCTTGGGTCCAGTTGCCAGCATTGGGGGATGGAGGGCATAGGAAAAATAAAAAGGACACACAACAACAATATTGCTGGGCATAGTGGTTCACATCTATAATGCCAGCACTCGGGAGGCTGAGGCAGGAGGATCACTGCAAGTTCAAGGTCAGCCTGAACTATGTAGTGAGACCCTGTCTCAGAAACAAAACAAATTTACAAAACCACCAGTGGTTACAGTGCACGCATACCACGAATGAACTCCACGTTCTGTACCATTAAAACATATATATCCAAGCTGGCATAGCGATCGTTTCCACACGGCTCACCATTTAATGAAACCTCACTCACTCAGACATCCCGGAGCGCCATCCCATGGTCATCGCACAGCTTCTTACCCCCCTGGCTGGGGAGAGACCAGCTGCCACTGGAGAAGCCAGGTCCTGGTCCTCGAGTGCCAGGCGAGAAGAGTCACAGTCGCGCCCTCTTAGCAGCTTTTCCAGTTAAAAAAAAAAAAAAGTCAACCGACTGCAGGTTTTTCTGTGCTCTCCCCTCTCTGGTCCCTTTCTAGAAGCTTACTGTTACCAAACGTGGTGGTGCATGCCTGTAATCTCAGCTACTTGGGAGGCTGAGGCAGGAGAATTGCAAGTTCAAGGCCAGCCTGGGCACGTTAGTGTGACCCTGTCTCAAAAATGTGAAAAGGGGCTGAAGAGGTTGCTCCGTGGATGGCCCTGTAGTGAGTGTGCCCCCAATACCACACACACACACACACACACACACACACACACACACACACTCTCTCTCTCTCTCTCTCTCTCTCTCTCTCTCACGCTTTCTGTGTTTGCCTGCTTTGTCCAGCATGTGTTAGTGGAAAGCAGGGGCCCCGGGACTGACAGCTTCCAGGGTGTCCATGGTGGCCTCTGGGGAATTTCCTCCCCACAGTCCGCTCACGTCCAGGACCCCTGTCCCCCCCCCCATAGGAATCCAGACCGGCAGGTGCGTTGTGTACAGCGGGACCACGAAGACCTGTGAAGTCGCCGCCTGGTGTCCCGTCGAGGCCGTGATAGAGGCCCCCCGGTGAGCCGCATCCTCCTGCCTCAGCCTCCCGGGGCTGGGAGGAGGGAGAAATACAGGGGCCCTTGGCAGTGACCACAGAGTCCTGGGTCTCCTTGGCCTGGGGACCCCTGTGGCAGGCACGGTACTTGGCACACCCCAGCATCCCCAGGAGGCCGTGCCTGCTGCTAACATGTCCAGCTGGTACCCGGCTGCTCCTATGAGCACCCCTGGGTGTCCAGGGCACCCCGAGACCCCTCCTGTATGGCCACAGCAGAGGCTGTGACCAGTCTGTGCCATACTGAGTGAGAGGGCGGGGAGGAGGGACGGAGGGAGGAAGGAGAGAGATAGGAAGGAGGAGGGAAGCAGGAGAGAGCGGAGGACTGAGGTTCCCTCAGGCGCCCACGGGACGCGCAGGCTGCTGACTTCACCTGCCCCGAGGGGCTGTTTAAATGAGATGTGCTTGGTCAGGTGTTGTCAAGTAAATCACATGCTTGGCTTACAGACAGACAGACACACACACTCATGCAGTCTGCCCCTAGAACTGTCCAATAGAACTTCTTGCAACTGTGGGGATCTTCCATACTCACGCCATTCAAAAAATAGGACAGCTACATGTGCTTCCTGAGTACTTGAAATGTGGCCACTGCAACTGAGCAGCTGGATCAAGCCTTACTTGAAGCCAGTGACTCTGAATGCCTCAATTATTAGAGGGAAAGATGTAAATCACAGTGCTGGAGAGAGAGCTCAGTGGTACTCATGCTGGCAGGCCAAGTGTCCAGTCCTCAAGATCTCCTCCCAATCTAAAGCCTGGTCAAGTTGAACTCTGTCGTTTGCCTAGAGAAAATCTTAAATTTCAATTAAATTGAAATGGAAATGGCCTCGAGCACACCTAGTGGCTGCTGCACCAGAGTAACTCAGCACAGCTCCCTCTGCCTGTGCCACAGAGGATGCCCCGCCCTGTGCCAGCGAGCAGGGAGCCAGTGTCCCCTGCCTGGCCCTCGAGTGTCAGCCCAGGTTCATTTCTAGGTCACAGAAGTTAATGGCACAGAAGGAGCCGATGCTAAGGGAGGCACAGCAGCCCACTCCCAGGGGTTCTGGGTTCAAGACAAAGGACCCCTTGATGGACTCTGGCATTTGGTTCTGCTCTGCCACTAGCTTGCTCATGAGACAATGTCACACAGCTCCCAGTGCCTGGTCCTAGGCTGCACGGTGACCTAACTTGGGGCCCTCAACCCCTGACAGTCGGCTTCCAGGGCTGCTGTATGAATGAGCTAAGATGGTTCATTATTCACTCAACAAACCCAGCACTATGTAGCAGGCATTAGATATTTATTGTAAATGTGAGGACTCCTGTAAAAATGAAGAGTCCCCAGCACATAGCAGGTCTAAAGGCTCTTGTAGCCTCATAAGCAGAGAAGACACACACAGAGAGAGCTGCACTTCCAAACAGAAAGCCATGAATGTCCCGCAGGAGGAATAAGGGTGTAAGCTCCTAGTTCTTAGAGGACTGCCCAGGTGGGGCCTGGTGTGCCCCACATGTGGCAGACATTGCTATAAATACATAACAGAAATCCAACTTGCACTGGCTCCTGAAGGACAGGGCATCAGTGCACCAGCAAAAGAGGCACCCAGAATTCTGGCTTCAGGCAAGGCTTGACCCAGGCTCCAAATGACAGCAGGAAGACTCTCTCCTCCTCCTTCCTTCTTCCTTCCAGCTTGGCTTTCCTTACACTGTGGCCCGCAGAACTACAGGGCTACCCCTCCTGTAATTTCCCTTTCCTAATTGTTCACACACACACACACACACACACACACACACACACACACACACAAATGCTAGAATGTTCCCCTGGATGAAGTCACAGGACCACCAGTGACTCAATCCCTATGACCAAGGAAATGACCGCACCGCCCAGCCAGCCCCGGGGCTGAGCCCACGGATGGACCGGAAGTGGGGTTGTCCCCACCCATGCTCTGGAGGGAGAGGGGCAGAGAGTCTCCACAGAGCGGAAACTGAGGCCGTGTCACCGGAGGGGGACAGGCAGTGGATAGGCAAAGGTGACCGTGTTCATGACAGCACGGAGCCAGAGCCGGGCTAAGCCAGTTCTGGGGTAGAGGGCGGGCCGTTCTCAGCGACGCTTCCAAAACCCCCGTCCCTTCCTGTGCCGCCTGGCACGCTGGGCAGCTGGTGCCGGCTGTAGCTCTCAGCCCCCGCCGGTCGGCTGCCTCAGTCGTAGACCGTCAGCTGCAAAAGAGCAGAAACACTGACTGTCCGCTTGTCCCTGTCCCCGGTGCCCAGCTCCCTGCTCGGTACCGTAAACACCTGCCGAGTCCACAGAGGGACAAGACGGTGGCCCTGCTGCAGCCCGGGGCCTGCGCTCCCCTGACTCACGCAGCCCCGTGGGACACACAGGCCTCTCGGGAAGGATGCACACTGTCACCTCGCTGCGGCCTCGGTGCCAACGGCTGGCAGTGCCAGGAGCAGGGGGTCACCATCCCAGCCCCGCGGAGCCACAGGCCCCCTGGGAAAGCCATGGGCAGGGACCGCCGCGCTGGCAACAGCGGATGTCCCCGGGCAGGGGGAAGCCAGCCACAGTGACCCACAAGCTCTGCAGTTCCCATCATCGCGCCCCTAGAGGGCAGGTTATTAAATATCCGTCCACAAAGCTCTGCACACATCTAAACACACAGTACATCAAAAAGGACAAAAGGACGCTGTAAATGTCACTGAATCTCAAGAAGGGAGAAACCCTGACACGAGTCTTTAAGGCAAGCGCTCTGAGAGGCTGAGGCAGGAGGATCACAAGTTCGAGCCCAGCCTGGACAGCTGAGAGATTTAACAAGACCCCACCTCAAAATAAAAAACAAAAACAGGACTGGGGGTGTACTTCAGTGGGAAGGCCTTGGGCTCAGACCCTAGCATGACAGAGACACAGACAGAAACTGATTCTTCTTGGAACGGACAGAGGCTTTATGGAGAATTTGGAGGCTCTTGTCCACTGTTGGCATGCCCATTTCTCTTCTCTTATCCCAAAGCCAGAAGCTTGGAAGCCTCTGTCCCTTAGCCCGCTGGACTGACCCATCCAGGTCCAGCAGTCACTGAACCCCACTCCTCTCCCCCAGGCCCGCAATCCTGAGCAGTGCTGAAAACTTAACAGTGCTCATCAAGAACAACGTCCACTTCCCTGGCCACAACTACACCACGTAAGTGCCCGGAGTGCCTGGCTGTATCAGTCAGTCAGTCCCCTGTGCTGCGTAACAAATGATCCCAAGCCTGTGGAGCCCTGAAAAAGGAATACTTCTTGTCTTGCCCGTAATTTCCGTGAGTCAGGGGGAATATCTCTGCCAGGTGGCTCTGGCTTGGGGTTGTGTAGGTCATCATCCAGCTGTCTGCAGGGTTGAAGTCACCCCCACACTCTAGGAAGGCAGGGAATCCTCTCCGGGCTCTCCCACATGGTGGCAGGAAGGTGTCTAAGTGTACTTAGGACATGGTGGCCGGCTTCCCTAGAGCAAGGGGCCCAGAACAGGACAAGAGGAACCAAGACAGGAGCCAGTCTTCGCCCATGATGTCCTGTCCCTCATGTGCACTGCTGGTCACAGATTAACCCTGTCACAGTGCAATGGGATAGTCCACTGGGGTCCCCAGGGAGGCAGAGGTCACCCAGTGTGGTGTCTGTCTGTCTTTCAATGCCCCCAGGAGGAACATCCTGCCTGGCCTGAACGCCTCGTGTACCTTTCACAAGACGAAGAATCCTGAGTGTCCCATTTTCCGGCTAGGAGACATCTTCCAGGAGGCGGGGGACAACTTCTCAGACGTGGCCGTCCAGGTGGGCAGGGCCCTGCCACCACCGGGTCCTAGGCTCAGGGGCATGGAGGGGCTAATAAACCTGGCCTCGCACTCTCAGCGATCCTCCTGCCTCAGCCTCCTGAGTAGCTGGGATTACGGGAGTGTGCTCTAGGGCCCAGCTCCTTCTATTTCTTGGTTTGTAGCCCTTCCTCCGTTTATAAAGCTGGCACTGGGGCATCTTGCTTCAGCGGGCACAGTGACTTATTCGGGTCAGAGTCCCCACTGCCTTCTCCTGTCTTCAAGACACGAGCATTCTAAGAGGGGCGCTTAGGCCCCCCGAGGTGACCCACGATAGTCTCCCAGCTCTAGACCCCTTCTTTCACACTGCAGGCGCCTTCCTTAACTGTGGAGTATTAAGAGAGAAAACAGAGCTAAGAAACAGACACGTTTCTACTTACTCTTTACTGGGGACGCTACAGACTGGAGTGCAGAAATGGTTTGAGTGCAGGAATGACCTGTTGGATTATTCTAGAAATAAATCTAAGGAGCCAGGCGTGGTGGTGCACACCAGTAATCCCAGCACTCGGGAGGCTGAGGCGGGAGGATCGCTGTGCGTTTGAGGCCGGCCTGAATGATACAGCGAGACCCCATCTCTACCACAGCAACAGAAGTCTAACAGTGCTGTGCCCTATATAGCTGGCACCGCAGCTCACAGTCAGGCTCTGAAACCCTTGGCCAGCACTGGACCCCTGAACTCGAGCCCTTCCTGTGTGTGTCACTGTGCCGCGGTGCCCACACCCAGCAGCGCACAGAGCGTCTCTTGATGCCCCCCAAACCCCAGGGAGGAATCATGGGCATCGAGATCAACTGGGACTGCAACCTGGACAAGTGGTCGCATCACTGCCGCCCCAAGTACAGCTTCCGGCGCCTGGATGACAAGTCCGTCGAGGAGATCCTTGTACCCGGCTACAACTTCAGGTAGCAGCTCTCGGGCCCAGACTTGCTGAGCAGCTGGCCGGGCTGGGGTTGGGGGCCAGGCGTGGCGGAACAGCACCCCGGGCTGCCGTCAGGAGGATCACTTTGGCGTCCTCCACTAAGGGGGGTTTTCACAACCCTCCCCAGCCTCCTGCCACCCTGGGCGGTAGCCTCGAGCGCTGCTGGTCTATGCTGGGAAAGGGTAAATGACTGGCCCAAGGCTCACCACTAAGAGTCCTAAATTCTAACCCTGCTCCTCCTGATCCCAAAACACACTCTGCCCCTTTTTCCTCAAGATGTTCTCATTCCGACCTCCATAACTGAAAATTTGCTTACCTGGCACAGTGGTGCAGGCCTGTAAATCCCAGCACACAGGAGGCTGAGGCGGGAGGGTCACTGTGAGTTTAAGGCCAACTTGGACTGTACAGTGAGAGCCCGGCTTAACCTACAGTGCTGTTTTGATCTCCAGGGTTTTTGTTTAGCGTACTTGTATTCAAAACCGTAAACTGCTGTGCATTCTGCTCTTGCCCTGTGGCGCCTCCTCCCGTGCCCGCTCCCCCGTGTGATTCCGTCCATGCTGGCCTAGGAGCTGAAGTACCCGGTGTGCGGTTCCCCGTGGGCACTGGGCTATTCCCTGGCCGATCCTCTGCCTCAGGAATGAGCTCAGGGAAGCCCTGCGAGTGCGGCCTGCAGGAGCCCCCCGGGGATGGTGTAAGCCTGCAGTTGTCCCGGCAGCACTGTCCTGCGGACGTGTATCGCTGGCCAGGTTTTGGTGTCATTGTTTTTGTGAATGATCCAGCCTGGTCCTCTCCAGGCTGCGAGCCCTTCAGCTCCCCGACTTGCTCTGCCTCATCTGCCCATGCCTCTCACGACACATCCTGATAATGCTTTTCTGTGATGAGACCTGACAAGCCTACCCCCCAGGGTGAGCTGTGGGACCCACTTCTTCCTTGGGGGGACCTCCTTGTGTTTCTTGGCCTGAAATTCCCATCTGTTGGATACCGACACAGTCCCAGGGCTTTGGAGCTCTCCTAACCCAAGACAGCGCATCTTGATTTTTTTTTTTTTTTTGTCTTTTTGAGACAAAGTCTCTCTATACAGTTCAGGCTGGCTTTGAGCTCACTTTGTAGCCCAGGCTGGTCTCGAACTCGTAACAGTCCTCCTGCCTCAGCCTCCTGAGTGCTGGGATTACAGGTGAGAGCCACCATGCCCAGCTAGATAGTGCATTTTGAAAACCTGCATGTAGGGGCTGGGGATTTAGCTCAGTGGCATAAGTGCTTGCCCGGTAAACAGGAGATTGTGAGTCTGATCTTTGGTACCAAAAAAGGAAAAAAGACAAGACAAGAAAAGAAAAGCTGCCCTGCATCCAAGAAACCTAATTCAAAACAAGGCCCTGTGCACAGGTCCTGTGGTCGAGATTCAGGCGTAGCTCTTTGGGGGCCACTGTCTGACCCAGTAGAGTTTGCAAAAGCACACAGGGCCGTGTTCTGGTGAGTATGGGCCACTGCCTGCCAGCCCTTTCCTGGAAATGCAGGTTCCTAGCAATATCTAGGACCTCCTGAAAACACCCTGGGGTTCAGACCCTGGCGTTTTGGTTTGTCCTTTGTTTTGTTTTTTGAGACAAGGTCTCACTATTAGTCCAGGTGAGCCTTGAACTATGTAGCTCAGTCTGGTCTCCAACTTCCAGTGATTCTCCTGCTTCAGCCTCCCGAGTACTGGGATGACAGGCGTGCACCAAGGAGCTCACCCTTTGAACACAGTCTGCACAGGGAATTCTTGCCCTTAGTGTTAGAACCACTGGAATCAGATCCGAGTACGCAATGCACCATGGTAACCCTGCCAGGCAAATCTACTCCCTGCCTGTGTGCTCTAAACAGTGCCACAGAGCCTCAAAAGGAGGCGCCATCTGAGGCCAGGATAACGCAGTGAAAAAGACTGAAACCCTGCTGTCTGGGAACAGGCATTCGGGTGCCTGAGATCTACCTCGTCTCAGGGTCAGACTTTTAACAAGAAGACTTTTGGATGTTTGTACTATGTCAGCAGAAAATCTGTCTTCTGTTTCCTCCCCTCCTCCACCTGCAAGTAGGTTCTGCATAACTTGGGGAGAAAAGAGGTGAAATGATTGTGAGGGGGTGGGCCATAGCATCATGAAGCAGATGGTTTAAGTCTCCCTAATTATTTATAAAAAGGAAAACATACTCTTCCTGGCTAGAGCACCGATGGGAGTGCCTGCTTGGGCTGTGATTTATGTTGGGTCTTAATTTTTGAGGCAATTCAATGAGACAAAGAAAATCAAGCATGTGTGATCCCAGCACTCGGGAGGCTGAGGCAGGAGGACTGCCATGAGTTCAAGGTCAGCCTGAGCTACATAGTGAGACTCTGTCTCAAAAAGAAAAGAAAAATACAGGCAAACTGAAGTTGGTGACACAGAAAGCAGAATTGTGGCAGATGTTTCCCAAGATATACCAGCAGGCTGCACCTTGCAGGGCGATGGGGGAGCAGCAGCTTGGTCAAGAGGCAGGAGACAAAGGGCAGAGGACCGGAAGTGATCTGTGATTTGTGCAGGAAGCAAGGCAGGTTGGGGAGACCCTGAGGGCGGCCAGGGTAACAAACAATTCTGCACAGTTCTTGTTTTTTCTTCTGTCTTTTTGGGTCAGGGTCTCACTATGCAGTTCAGGCTGGCCTTGAATGCACTGTGTAGCCCGGGCTGGCCTCGAACTTCCTCCTGCCTCAGCCTCCTGAGTGCTGGGATGACAGGCGTGAGCCACCACACCCAGCCGGATCGTTTTAATCCAACAGGTTCACAACAGAGCCATAATCCATCTGCCTGGCTGCCAGGCGGCTTGCAGCACTGGTGGTGCACGCGTGACGGTCCCACGCGTGACGGCCCCAGCCGTCCCACCAGCTGGGCCAGCCACCTGAAAGGCAGACAGGAAGGCGGGGCGATCGATGGCTGCCTGGGTTTTTCTTTCCGTGAAACATCAGCGCTCTTCTCTAAGAGAGCGCGGTAGGGACGCATCCTCCCCCCGCAGGTACGCCAAGTACTACCGCGAGAACAACGTGGAGAAACGCACCCTGATCAAAGTCTTCGGAGTCCGCTTTGACATCCTGGTGTTCGGCACGGTGAGTCTGCGGTCCGGCCTGGGGGCAGGCACAGGAGACAGCCACAGCGCAGACCGTGGCCTCTGTGGGCTGAGCAAGCCCAAGGCTCTGCCTCCTGCTGGGCCGACAGCTGGCCGGGGGACAGACGGACGGGCTCCGAGGTCAGCTCGGTGACTCCTCCGCTCTGCTCCCAGGGAGGAAAATTTGACATCATCAGTCTGATCGTGTACATCGGATCCACCCTTTCCTACTTTGGCCTGGTAAGAGATTCTCTTTCCCCGCTTTAAGAAAAGGATAGGAAAGCCAGGTGTGATGCCGCACACCTGTAATCCCAGCACTCGGGGAGGCTGAGACAGGAGGGTCGCCTCAAATTTGAGGCTAACTTGGGACCAAGACCTGTCTCAAAATTAAAAAAAGAAAAAGAAAAAAAGGCAAGAAAAAAAGGGAGGATCCAGAGGTGTAGCTCAGAGATAGAGCACCCCGGGTTGGACCCCCCACCAGTCCTGCAGAGGCAAAAAAAATACACGTGACAACGGGGTTCCCCCAGGCCACCGTGTTCATCGACTTTCTCATCAACACCTACTCGAGCGCCCTCTGTCGGTCGCACGTCTACCCCTGGTGCCCGTGCTGCAAACCCTGCGCCGCCAACGAATACTATTACCGCAAGAAGTGCCAGGCCACGGTGGAGCCCAAGCCGGTAAGCGGGAGCCTGCGGGACGGCTGGGAAACGCGGCCAGATCGCGGCCGGAGAGCAGGACGAGCAGGCCATGATGGGGTACGCCTGTAATCCCAGCACCCTGGAGGCTGAGGCAGGAGGATCGCTGCGAGTTCAAGGCCAGCCTGAACTGCATAGGGAGACCCCGCCTCAAAACCAAAAACGAAATACAGAGGGAAAGGGATGGGGAGAGAGGGAGAGAGAGGCACAAGATATTCGAGGAAGATAAATGTGTGTGCCCCAGGGCTGGTTGCATCTGTCATTTTTAAGTTGGTACAGATGGAAAAAAAAACATTAGCAAGAGGACGTCAGGGAAGCATTCGGCAGGGACGAATCCCCTGTAGATGGGTCGTGCGCTGCGGTCCGCTGCTTCCCCCCCCCGGACCTCCCGGGGAGGCCTCCGGCGAGCTCCCAGCCTCACGAGTGCATCGGGGTGCGCAGGGCAGCGGCGTGGTCAGGGGACTAATTAACAAGCGCCGCGTGAGCGGGAAAAGCAGCTGCAGCCCAGCCTCCGGGAGAACAGTGACGTGCACATCCATGGCGCCTGGTTTAAAGAGTGAGGCAGACAGCAATGAAAGCAAACCCTAGCATTTCCCTGCTTTGCGTGTGTTACCTCTTTGGAACAGCCCTTCAGGTGAGCATGGTGGCACAGCCCTGCGGTCCCAGCCCCCGGAGGCTGAGGCAGGAGGGTCACTGCAAGTTCTAGGCCAGCGTGGACGATATAGTGAGACCCTATCTAAAAAAAAAAAAAAAAAAAAAAAAGAGAAAAGCTAGTGGAAGAATATGTATGGCATATGTTAAAAACCAGGCCCATAAACTATATACTCTCTATGTGTGTGATGCACAAACACCGCACAGGTGTGCCTGTGTGTACATAGAAGTGCTATCAGTGGTCGGAGTCACAGGGAACCTGAACCCCGTCTGTGCTCTATTTGGGTGAACTGGGCCGTACCCCGCGGGTCTGCTACACCCCACCGCCCGCTCACGCAGGCAGAAATCTCTGGTCCCTAAGAACAAAGAGGACTCCTGTGTCCCTCCCTCAGGCACACACGTCCCTGGCCTCTCCTGGCAGCTGAATGCACGGCTCCCCATCCACTGTCTGTGGGTTCACAAATGAAATAGACATTTGTATTTGTCTTTGCAACTAAAAAATTAATCATTATTTCATGGCCCAAAATGGGGTGAAATTCAACCAACATGTGGCAGTTTAAGAAGCTGCAGTACCACGACTCTCCAGGGACACTGAACCTGAGCGATGGGGGCAAACACAGGGGACCGTCACCCAGAGCAGGGGACAGGCAGCTGTGGTCCCTGAGCCCACAGCTCGTGCCCCAGCACCTGGGCTGATTTACCTGTGGACCTTGGGGCTGGGGGTGGCTGGTCTGACAGTGTGTCTCCTGCTAAATGGGAACAGTGGTCACCGTGGTTTACATTGGCAGTTCTTGATAACTGTCCAAAAACTGATGAGCTGTTTAATCTCCTTCCCCTAGACATTAAAGTACGTGTCCTTTGTGGATGAACCCCACATTCGGATGGTGGACCAGCGGCTGCTCGGGAAAAGCCTACAATATGTCAAGGGCCAAAAAGTCCCAGTAAGTAAAATATTTAGTCTTTTAAGAATTTCTCTCTCTCTCTCTCTCTCTCTCTCTCTCTCTCTCTCTCTGTTTTTTTCCTTTAAATAAGAAAATTTACCATTAAATATAAATACATTTAGCATTTATGCAGATCACCACTAATGGACTTTAATAAAGCAAACATACTCATGTAACCAATAGCCAGATTAAAAAATAGAATGTTCTGGGCCGGGGTGCACCTCAGTGGTAGAGCACTTGTGTAATCTGCATAAATCTCTGGGTTCAATGCCCAGTCTTAAAAAAGAAAAAAGAGACTATTCCTAGCAGAAGTCCCTTTCATGTCCCCTCCTAGTTGCTACCTTCCTTTCAAAAGTTACCATGGCACACACCTATAATCCCAGCACACAGGAGGCTGAGGCAGGAGGATCACTATGAGCTCAAGTCCAGCTTGGGCTACATGGTCAGTTTAAGGCCAGCCTGACCTGCATAGTGACACCCTGTCTCCCAAAAAAAAAAAAAAAAAAAAAAAAAGGCATGATCATCTTGACTCCAAGATTAGTTTTGCCTTTTCTAGATCTTTATCATAGTTAAGTCCTCAGTGTATTCTCACTGGAACACCTGGCTCCCTGCACCCAGCGTTGCTTTGTGGTCTGTGATGTCCTGTGTTATGGAAGTTCTCTGCTGTGACTCGGTTACTTCCACGTTTATCCATTCTGCCATCAGAGGACACTTGTGCAGTTTCTAGTTCAAGGCTAGGGCCAGTCGTGCGGAGATGTACACATCTGGCCTCCGCTGGGTGACACCACCGGCTGGCACGGCTGAGTCCGCTTTGTAACTGCCAATCCACAGTGCTCCGAGTCAGGTTCTCACCACTTTCCACGGCTGCCACTCCACTATGTGGGTGGGTCACTGCGTCTCGGCACACATCAGCTGATGAGCACGTGGGCCACTTCCATCTCTGCTGTTATGATGATGTGTGAACATTCACAGGACAAAACTTAGTTTCTAAGCTGCTGCACTCAGGTCTTGTCTGTCCAGTGAATGAGCTGTACGTCACAAAGAACAGACAGGGCAGTGGAATTACGGCCACTCCCCTCGGATAGTAACACCAGATAGACACAGTAACAGAGAACACATATTTACTGTCTGCTGTGTTCTGGGCGCAGGGCCAGGAATCCCGCAATAAAGCAGACAGAGCCAGGGGTGGTAGTGCACACCTGTGATCCCAGCACTGGGGAGGCTGAGGCAGGAGGATTGCTGTGAGTTCTCGGCCAGCCTGGGCTCCACAGTGATTGTTTTGGTTGTTGCCAAGTCCACCAGAGAGGTGCTGTCTAAAGACAGCCTGGCTTTTCTGAATCCCACTTTCCAAATCCGCACAGTGGAGAGGAGGGTACCTAACCCGAGGTTCTGCAAAGGCTCAGGTGGCTGGGCCTGGCGTGTGTGCAAAAGGAACACAGTTAATGTAATGACTCTAACTGAAAAGTCTGTTTAAACCCTAATAAAACAGAAGCCGCTGGCCACTGGGCTTGCCACGCTGATGGCTTTGGATCTTTTTTCAGAGACCCCCGACGGACTTCACGCTCCTGTCCAAGCCGCCCACGTCTCCCCCGGATCCGGCCCCAGCCCCTACACAACCGGAGGAGATGCAGCCACTTCGCAGGCCAGACACCTCCGCGTCTGGGGACAGCCCGGAATGGTGCCAGTGCGGAAGCTGCCGCCCGTCCCAGCTCCCCAAGGACAGGAGGTGCCTGGAGGAGCTGTGCTGCCGGCGGGGGCCGGGCCCCTGCATCACCACCTCCGAGCTCTTCGGGGACCTGGTGCTGTCCCGACCCGCCCTGCGGCAGCTGCTGCTCTACCAGGAGCCCTTGCTGGTGCTGGACGGGGAGGCCACCAACAGCGGGCTGCGACACTGTGCCTACCGGTGCTACACCACCTGGCGCTTCGGCGCCCAGGACGTGGCCGACTTTGGCATCCTGCCCAGCTGCTGCCGCTGGCGGATCCGGAGTGAGTTCCCCCGGAGCCACGGCCAGTACAGCGGCTTCAGGTGTCCCTACTGACCACGTGGCAGGGATGGACCCTGTGAACCCACACGAGCCAACCATGCAGACCTCCGCAGGGGCCGGATCGAGAGACGCAGGTTTAGGTCTCGATCCTGTCCCTAGGAAGCTGCGTGACCCTCAGCCTTCAGTGTCCACACATCCATCTCCTCACTCCCTGACCTGCTGGCCCCGGGCTGTTGTGGGGACAGCTGGGACAATGGGCAGGTCCGTCTCACCTAGGCCAGAGCTGTCTCAATGTGCACTCAGGGTGGGGGGGACACTGCCCCATGAGCTCAGCCCAGAACAGGGCCAGGCTAGAGGATGCGGAGGGCATAAGGTGGCCATAGATCCTGACACTCGTCCCTCAGGACCTGAGTATGTGCCATTTGAATGGCTTTGTCTAACATTGGAAGTGACATTGTGTCCGCTCAGGGTCTCAGTCTCGAGAGGCTGGAGCTTCCCCTTCCTGGCCCTTTGCACCATCCTGAGGTCGTCCCACCTCGAGGAAGCCCAGGTGTCTGCATGGACGGTGCCCAGCAGCCCCCAGCTTTTATACCACCCAGGCCATGGCAGAGCACACCCCAAGTGGCAACTGCTTGGTCAACCCAGACCGCCAAACAACTGTCTCACATCACCAGGTTCTGGGGTGACTAGAGAGCAAGCTCACCTCCCTGGGGTGGCAGACAAGCTACACTTCCCCAGGCCCAGAGCTTCACAAAGGACAGCGGACCCTTTGGGGGCGCAGGTTTCCTGGGACAGACCCAGCCTAGGACTCACGAAGCAGCCCTGGGGAGCCAGCAAGCCTGACAGCGACTCTGGTCCATCCCAGCATGAGCACAGCCCCAGGGCCGCGGGGGTGACAGCGGCCACCTCTGTGCTATCCCCTCCTGCGGCCTGTGCCTGGTCCCTGGGGCCACACCTCAGCCTTCACCATGACGTCAGTCTGCTTGGGGAATATTGGGGTGCGGGGCTGTTCAGATTTTTCGCTTTGTCACTGGAGCCAACCCTATTTCCAAACAACAACCATTTCAAAGAATAAATAGACAACAGTGAATAGCACTGAGGTACTGTGACCCACGAGGTGTGAGTTTTAAAAGATAAACTGCAGGACTTATTTCGGGCCAGTCTCGGGGTGACTCAGGGGTGGTGCAGGCTGGCTGAGTGCTGCCCCCCTGAGGCTCCTTCTTCTTTATTTTTTACGTTGAGATAGGATTTCCCCAAATTGCCCAGACTGGCCTTGAACTCACAACCTTTCTGCCTCAGCCTCCTGAGTAGCTAGAATGCAGCCCGGTTTGACAACTTTACCACTTTAATAACTGTTTAAAATAAGCAACTTTCCACTCTGTTAATGTCAAATAATTTTTGAAAGCATACATAAAGCCCTTCTCTTTTTGACCTAGGGTTTTACGTGGCTTTACACTCAGGAATCAAGTTAACTGTGCCACACTGAATTTTCATTTTTGTTTACCTGTTCAGAGCTATCTTCCCAGAAGTGGAAAACCCATGATTTCTTTAGAATTGCAATATTTTGTCCTCAGGATTCTGTGGAGTGGCCACAGGTTTCAGTTCTGATGCCCTTTGAACCTCTAGACCTTTAATTTTGGTGCCTTACTCCTGGTGTGAACCTGTCTCCTTGTAGAGGCCTCAGGTGGAGTCAGATTTTTTTTTGAGATAAGATCTCACTATGTAGTCCAGGCTGGCCTTGAACTCATAACAATTCTCCTGCCTCAGCCTCTTAAGTGCTTAGATTACAGGCGTGAGCCACGACACCCAGCTAGAGTCAGAATTTGGAAGAGCAAATCATCACCGGATCCTCTGCTGTTCTCCTTCCCTTCCTCACTGGGGCCCGGGTGGAGGTGCTATGCCCCACTTCCCACGGGAACAGGGACTATACCCGTGTTCCTGGTTTTCCCCTCCTGGCATCCCCTTTCTTCCAGCGCAGCGCAGCCTCCTATTCCAGTACCTTTGCAGAATTTCCCGTTTCAGCTGTGTCTGAAGGGAAGTGCACGGCTTTCCTGCTGGCCCAGGCTGATTTCACAGAGAACTGAGAGTGGACTTGTTTCTCTCTCTAAATGGAACCATTTTTAAAATCCTTCCTAATTCTAGGTTGGCAATGTAGGTAGTGGGTTTGTTTTCTTTTGTTTTTGTTGCTTGATCTTTTGAGACAGGGTTTTGCAATGCAGTTCAGGCTGGTCTTGAACTCACTTTGTGACACAGGCTGGCCTTGAACTCTCCGCGATCCTCCCGTCTCAGCCTCCTGAGTGCTGGAATTACAGATGCGTGCCACCCCGCCTGGCAATGTAAGCATTGCTAACTTGACTGTTTTGGCAATTAAAAAAAAAAGTGATGTATAATTTGTCTTCTCTTGGATTCCTTTCTTTCCAAAAGCCTCCAAATCACACTTCATTCATTCATCTATTCAACAAATCAAGACATGGAGATTGAGGACAGATGAGATGGCTGATGAGTGATCAGAAGATCCAAGCAAACATAGGCTTACACCATGTGATGAGCAGCGTGGTGAAAGAGGCAGATGCAGCCTATAATCAGAGAATCCGACCTATTCAGGGAATTCCTGCATGAGAAACATGTTAACTAGAACCTCAAGAGAAAGAACTACGTGAATAAGAGAGGGAAGAGTATTCTAGATAAAGTGAAAGGCATAGGCAAAGGTCCCGTGGCAGGAAAGACAGCAGGTTTGCAGAGCCCATGACTATGCCCTAAGCAGTACAGGGAAGTTCATCAAGGGACCGGGCTGGACAAGCAGGCAGCACCTCAGCTGCACAGAGGCCTGAAGGCCAGGGAAAGCCTGACTGCTGGACAGTCTGGAAGGATTTTAAGCCAGGACCCTGGTGAGATCTGAGTTTTTAAAAGCTCATTCTGATCACTGTGTGAAAAATAAAGGCACCAATCGCCACCGCTTTAATTTCCGTTTCCCTAATCCCTGAAGCGTTTGCCCCGCACACGCAGCCGCATAAATGGTTTCTCTTTTCTTTCCTCTTTCTCTCGAGAAGTCCCATGTGGCCAGCAGCGAGTGAAGAGGAAAAGCCCTGGCTTTCGGGGACCCTGGTTTTGGGGCAGTGCTCGTCCCGAGCCGCGGGCTTGGGCGGGATGGGAGGAGAGGGAAGAGGGAACGCACCAGGAGGGCGCGCAGTGCACCCAGACCCCGGCGGTGCTGCCCTGCGCCTGCGCAGCCGGAGTCGGGAACTCGGCCAAGGGCGCCCCTGCCAGCGCCCCCTGGGGGAAGTCGCGGGGACGCGCGGCTCAGCTCCTCCGCGACCCCGGCCCCCGCCCCCGCCCCCTTACGCCTGAGAGCTGGCCGCCCACCGTCCCGCTGCAGGGGCGGGGGCCCTCGCCTGTGCTCGGTGGCGTCCTCCTCTCCAGGCAGGAGAGCACCTGACTGTCCCGGTGGTGCGTGCTTAGCCATGTGGCGAGGCTGAGAAGAGATGATCAAAACACCCCTAATTCCAGGCCAGCCATAGTCCTCGAAAATTAAACGGCTTGGGGCTGGGGGTTTAGCTCAGCGGCATAAGCACCTGCCTTGCAAGCAGGCGGTCGTGAGTTCGATCCCCGGTACCGATAAAAATGAAAAAGACAAAAAAAAAAAAAAAAAAAAAAAAAAAAAAAAATTAAACGGCTTACAGCCAGGTGGAGGCTGAGATAGGAAGATCATCACTTGAGCCCAGGAGTCTGAGACCACCTTGGGTGATACAATGAGCCCTGTCAAGAAAGAAAAGAAGGGAGGAAGGGAGAGAAAGGGGAGGGGAGGAGAAGGGAAGGACAATATTTAATAAATAATAATTAATTAGAGGCCTGACTTGACTTCAGCCCACAATCACTGTCTGCACACACCTCTGCCCCAAGAGGCCCGCATGTTTCTCAGCCCCCATCGCGTCCCTCGTGGCTGTCACCCCGGGAACCCGCGCGTCCGAGAACCACACGCTCTGGTCTTCCGCTTTTCCTGTGAGCTTCCCGTTTCCTGTCTTCCAGGTCCAGCGCGCCACGGACCACGTTTCCTAAATAAAGGAGGTTTTGCCTTCCACACTGGCCGGGAATGTGGCCGAGCTGAGCCTTGGGGAGCGGCGGGGGGAGCGCGGCTCTGCAGGCCCCGTGCAAGGCTGGGTGTGCGGCGTGGCGCTCGCTACCGGGTTTATGCTTTATTTCCGCCAACAACCCGACGGCTCTGCACTGAGAAAGACTCATCTTGGTTTGCTGTCCTTAGCGTTGCTGCACCAGCCTGGACACGCAGTGGACACTGGACGCAGACCACCTGCTTCAAAGCCGTTAGCCATGGGCCCAGCGGCTTACCTTGTGTCCAGCCGTGCAGCTGCGGTTGTACTGCGCTCCGCACAGGTGTACTGCACCACTCTGAGTCAAGGTACAGGAAGCCGAGTGGAGTGGGTACACCTGCAATCCCAGCCCTCAGGAGGCTGAGGCGGGAGAACCGCCAGGAGTTCAAAGCCCGCCTGGGCTACATACTGAGTCAAGCCCAGCTGAACTACATAATAAGGCTCCGTCTCAAGCAAAACAAAAAGAAACTCCCCTCAAAAGCCCCCTCCAGACAAAAGCAGGTACAAGAGAGCTCTCATTACCTCTGCTTGTCCACCTCACCCCACAAGCTCTTCCTGACCATGCGAGCAACGGTTAGCACCAGCTACCCCGGATCAATTTCCCTGGAGGACGTCCTGCGCCTCTAGTCCTCCTGCTTCTGGCCAGGCTCAGCGGTTCAGCCTGTAAGACGGACACTGGGCACACCGCACTGCGCAGGCGCAGGGGAGAGGCGGGTGAGGGGCCGCGCTGCAGGGTTGTGCCCTGGAAACCCGCGAAGCCATAGCAGGACCGTCAACGACGTCGACGGATGTTCAGGACACGCCACAACACCCTGGCATTTCTTGCCCAGGGAAAACGTTAGCCTTGAATTAGAGCTCACTTTCCTGGCAGAGACAATAAGTATTAAAATTCTGAGTATTAAAAACCCGTTTCCTGGGCCTGGGGATTTAGCTCAGCGGCATAAGCGCCTGCCTTGCAAGTTCGACCCCTGGTACCGATAAAAACGAAAAAGACCCCCCCCCCAAAAAAAAAAAAAAAACGTTTTCCGGGGCCAGGGATTTAGCTGAGCCTCATGAGCGCCCGCCTGACAAGCGAGAGGTCGTGAGTTCAATCCCCGGTACTAAAACAAAACAAAACAAAACCCGTTGCCCTGAACACATCCCTAAGGAGACAACACCCTGCCTCCTCCAGGGGGCACAGCCTGGATAATCACAGTCTTTCAGCTGGGTGTGGGGGTGCACAACTGTAATCCCAGCACTCCCGAGGCTGAAGCAGGAGAATCACCTCGAGTTAGAGGCCAAGCTGGGCTATGCAGTAAGTTCAAGGCCAGCATGAACTGCATAGCAAGACGCTATTTATAAAACAAAATAAATGGCCAAAGTTTGAGATCGCTTGTTTTAGACTGCCTTGGTACAAGAATAAATCTGAGCATTTTCTAAGTTTAATTATTATCTCAATTTCATTACCACATTTTACCAATCGGTTTTGGTTTTGTTTTGTTCTGTGGACCAGAGGCTCAGACCCAGGGCCTCGTGCACGTAGGAGAGCGCTGTGCCACTGAGGGAACCCCGGCCCTGAGGTTTGCATCACGGGCAGGGGCATTAACATTTGCCAGAGCCAAATGGCAGATCTTGGCCGAAGAAGTCGGAGGCGGACTGTGCCCCACCGTTAGGAAAGGCCAAGAAGCAGGCAGTGCTATGAGGAGATGAAAATTCTGGATAATTCTCTGGATAGGAAAGAGACTGCATTTACCCCAGCTGGCCCAATGAAAGTGACTGTGCTTTAGGTCACCACACTTCCTGAGAAGTTCCTCCTGTGCAGAGTGTGCTGCATGAGCTGGAAGCCCGGAGCAAGACCAGTTCCCCAACGAAGGGACGGCTTCCTGTCGGTTTGTGCTAGCAGAACTCTTGCATAGCACATGTCTAACGCTCGTGGTAAAACCTCTTAGACATGCTGTGCTCCGATTTTTCACACTAACGGTCAGATATGAATTGGGAAAACCCCCAAAGCTTTGTGATTTGCTTATATGAACTTGGACATTATCTTTAGTCAAACAACTGAAAGTTAAACATGATAAACTAGGCCTGGTGGCACACGCCTAGAATCCTGGCACTTACCTGGAGTTCCAGGCCAGCCTGGGCTACGTGCAGTACAAGGGTTTGCTGGTAGAGACCCTGTCTCAATAAAACAAAAACCAAACACCCAAACTAAAATGTGGTAACCTCTTACAGTTTGGGAGCCTGGCAGGTCATGATGACTCTCTCTTAGCTACCACAGATTATTGTCTATTATCTTATGTCAGAGAGGAGGCCTCACAATAAACCAGAAAGATCAATGAGATTTCCTGACTTAACTGTAAAATGGGCTTCTGAACCCAGCATGGTGGGGCACAACATTAACACCAGCACTCATGAGGCTGAGGCAGGATGACTGCCGAGTTCAAGGCCAGCCTGGGCTCCACAGTGAGTTCAAATGCAGACTGAACTAAAACTAGCAAGACCCTGTCTCAAAAAATAATTCTATGTCAATAATACCCCATTACAGGTGCATCTATTTGCAGTGCTAGGGAAGAACCCAGGCAGGGCTTTATACATGCTAGGAAGTGCTCTACCACTCAGATATACCCCCGGGAGCTGGTTTTTCTTTAGCAGCAAGATCTCCCTACACAGCCCAGGCTGGCCTCAAACTCCCTCTGCCCCACCTAGGTGGGCCTCAAACTGTGACTTCCTGCCTCGGCATCCCTGGGTGCTGCAGTTCTAGGCATGCACCACACACAGCTCCTGTTTTTTAAAAGATAAAAACTAAGGGGAAGAGTGTAAATGCTGGAACTCTCTCTTCCCGACCCTCCTCCAGGATCCGATTCCCGGATTGGGCTGCACGACAGGGTACCAACCAGTGACTCAGGGAAACGTGCACTTCTACATTGCTGACCGTAAAAACATGAGTGAACCATTTAAATTCAGGGTCTAAAAAGCTGCCAGCAACTCATTACTATGGGATAAGTATTAACAAGAGCTGGAAATGTGTTTTGATTCTGAAGTTTCTTTGTTTTGCTTTGTTATTCAGTACTGGGGTTTAACCCTAGAGCACCCATATTGAATTTTTTATCGTAACTATTTTTTATATATATGTACATATACATGTGGTTTCTCTTAGCTTCTCAAAACAGGATGTTTTCATATGCATGTCTGGTTTATCTCACTTATGAATGTGGTCTCAAATTACATCCATTTACCTATAAGTCTCATGTGCCTGCCAAGTGCGAGGTCCCAGTACCAAAAAAAAAAATTAAAAGTTTCATGGACAGCTATTGACCGATGAAAGATGAAAGTGGTCTGTTTGCTAAAAGCATTAGTGAAACTAAATATAATATTTATCTATGAAAACACAGCTGAAGGGAACAATCACTTGGAAAACTGATCAATGGGTGGAACAAGGCTGAGTGTGAGAACATACACCTGTAATCCCAGCACTCAGGAGGCTGAGGCAGGAGGACTGCCATGAGTTCAAGGAAAAACCGGGGCTATACAGGGAGTTTGAGGCCAGCCTAAACTGCAGTGAGACCCAGTCTGAGAGAGGCAGAGAACTGCAGAGTTTCCTCACCTGCCGCCCACTCTCCATTTCTCCCCACACTGTGATAAACCTTTCTCAGTGGAAGGCGGTGGCAGAACACTTTGTTAGGCAAACAGGAGGGAAACTAAAGGTACAAACTCAACAGCCCAGGCTGACTTACAGCAAACCTGAGGGGCCACTCTGGCATCCAGACCTGGCCGGTCTCTCTCCTACAGGTTGTAAAGTCTTCTATAGGGTCGTGAGCATGAAGGGGGGCTGGAAAGGGAAAAGGTCAAAGTGGGACTTTTGATGTGCAGGGTTCTGTGGAAGGAGTCTGTGGCAGCCTGCCAGGGACAGGGCCTGAGCAAGCACAGGGACTGGTGGCTGTCAGGAGCAGGGCTAAAGGATGGTGGGGCTGGGGCGCAGCCCTGCTCCCTCCATGCCCTGACTTTCCATCTTGGCAGGTGAGATGCAGGAGCGAGGAGAAGAGCCCTGTAAGTGAGAGCTGCTCAGCCACACCTTCCCTGCCCCTTTCCTCCCTCAACCTGTAACTCAGGAAGCTGCTCACTTGGTAGCCCGGAAGGGGCCTAGCTTCAAACCCCCAAGGGTCATTTGACCAGGCACGGGTCACATATTTAAGACCCATCACGTATTTAAGCTTTCCCCTTAAGGGTTCAAAAAAGGAGCGTGACACCTTCTCCCAACCACACAGCCTGCACAAGTGTGGACCTTTAAACCACACCTGCGTGGCACAGGCCCAACACTCTGGCAGGCTGAAACAGGAGGATCTCAAGTTTGAGCCCAGGCTGGGCAGCTTAGTAAAATGAAACACCTAAAAGGTTGAGGGTGGTGGGTAGTGAATTGTGCATGAGGACCCTGGGTTTCATCTCCAGTACCAAAGATATATGTGTATTTTAAATGTTCTTTGCAGCTCCTGGTCCTCTTTGGGCCTGTTACGTTACCTCAACATCCCTAACAGCAAGAACACTGCAACCTCTCAGTAAAACATCTGTTGAATGAATGAACAAAATCCCACTTAGGAGTCGCTCCTAGGCCCCCACCCGACCTCGGCCTCGCCCAGGGCTTAAATGGTCCCCAACAGAGGCTACACGCTCCTCACTGGCCCGTCCCCCCAAGATCCCCGGTTCCTTCGCGTCCGCCGGAGGCGGTCAGGGCCCGCGCCCAGCTCGGTTTCAAGCCCGCCCTGCGGCCCGCGCACCGCCTCCTTCCGGGCCCTCCTCCCGCAGGCGGCCGGGCGTCCTGGGCGGGGCTCCGCGCGGCGACCAGGCGGCGGCGGCGGCCGGGCCACAGAGTGCGGGCGGCCGGGCCATGGCGGGCTGCTGCGGCGCGCTGCGGGCCTTCCTGTTCGAGTACGACACGCCGCGCATCGTGCTCATCCGCAGCCGTAAAGTGGGGCTCATGAACCGCGCCGTGCAGCTGCTCATCCTGGCCTACGTCATCGGGTGAGCGCCGCGGGGGTCGCCGGGGCCGCGGGGGGGGGGGGCGGAGGGGGCGTGGTTGAGGGGCGTGGCCAAGCACCTGCGCGTAAAGCAGCTGCTACCCGCCGGGGCTGGCGGCTGACACCTGCAGGCTCCGGGCCGCGGCGCTGCTGTGCGGCGCGTTTCAAGGGCAGAGCCTGGCTGCTCGTTACTTTGCCTCCCAGCTGCTCCCTCGTGGCATTCTGACTGGGGCGAGGGGTGCGGTTTGCCCTAAACGCCGCAATCTTCCCGCTTCACTTCCTATTCTGATGGTTGACTGACAAAACCAAGGCTTGTGATTTCCAGTTGGTTTTCCCTGGGTCTGTGGCTTCCGTCTTTTCCTTTGAAAAGCAGGCTGGGGGGCTGGGGATTTAGCTCAACGGCATAAGCGCCTGCCTTGCAAGCAGACAGTCGTGAGTTCAATTCCCGGTACCGATAAAAAGGAAAAAGTCAAAAAAAAAAAAAAAAAAAAAAAAAAGAAGAAGAAGAAGAAAAAGAAAAGCAGGCTGGGTCGCTGGCGGTGACCCACGATAGCTGAGAGTTCGGGATGCGCGTATGGGACCCTCCCTGCCTTGTGCTTACGGGAGATCTTAACTGAATGCACCCGTTGCGATGCCATACAACCCAGGAGAGGAAGTGGACGTTATCTTTCTGACGGAGCTCACTTTTAATGTTCACCTGGAGCGTCGTGGGTGTCCACAGCTGCTGGTCTGACAGATGGATCAGCTTTCTTGTTTTCCTGAAAGGCCTAGGGTGGTGGTCCGTGAGTTGTACCTTGGAACCATTTCAGGAACCATTTTAGAAACCAGTGACCTCCGGTTCCCATCCCCAGACCTGCTGATTCAGTTGCTATAGAGTATGACCAGCCGCTCGGGTGATTCTGACGTTTAGCTGAGTTGGGGCCCAGTGGCCCCAGTGTTCTGTAAACTTTACCCGATCATGACTCATCGGCAGCATTAGAAGTAACAGGTCTCTCTCCTGGGGAGGGGCTGGAGTGTGTTAGCATTGCCCAGGGGAATTCACATGGTCCAGCATCTGTCAGCCAGGTGGCAGGCAGCAGGTGCAGACAGTGAATGTCCTTTCCAGATGGTGCTCAGGGGCAGAGTGTGATCAGCAGACATGAGGTCCTGGGTTCAATTTCCAGCATTAAAAAACAAAACAAAGCAATCCAGGTACCCAGGATTGGGCGCTGTAAGCTCAGGGGTGAGGCAGTTTGATGGCCGCTTAGCTCACAGTCACAGTGCTGGGCTCTTCAGTCCTGAGTCCAGCTCTGGCTGCTTGACTGACTCGCATCCCTGTGTGGAGCTGCAGCTGTCAGGCAGCTGTTAGCACCTGGCTCTTGTTCTCCTGGGAGGAGTGGTTGACACCCACTCCAGGGACCCTAAGATTCTGGCCTATGGAAAGTGTTGCAGCCTGCATGGTGCCTTATACTGGCCATTGGTCACCCATGGCTGTCACACACTTGAGCTGTTCTACTACAAGCAGAGATACACTCTACCTATAAAATGTACACTAAATTTTGAAGTCATAGTACAAGAAAAGAGTAAAATATCACATCAGTACTTTATTTTTATTTAAAGAGAAAAAAACCAAAACAAAACAGTAAAAGGGTACAAGTAAGACAGAATTTCAAGAAAAAAAATACACAGTAAGAAATCACTAGTTAATAGATTACATATTATCATCTTAGAAATAGTTGTTCAAATTACAAAATTAAAGCATACAAAGTGGACATTCAAACAGAGTACTTTTTTATTGATGACATGTAAGACATTGTGGACAGCCAGGCATGGTGGTGCATGCCTGTAATCCCAGCACTCTGGAGGCTGAGGCAGGAGGACTGTTGCAAGTTTGAAACCAACCTGGGCTACAAAATGAGGCCAAGGCCAGTCTGAACTACATAGCGAGACCTTGTCTCAAAAAGACCAAAAAAAAAAAAAAGATATTGTGCATAAAATATAGCATTAAAATCAATATTCCTGTGTCTATAGTTTTTAGCACAGCTACTAAAAATTGTTAAATTACACATGTGGCTGCCATTATATTTCTACTGGGCTTAAGAATTCCTGTTGGGCTCTAAGGTTCCTAAGTGTGAGGATTTTTTAAACAGTAGTACTTTGTATACATCTTGCTATGATCAAAACTGACTCTAACTAGAATAACACCTGTTATTCCAACACTTGGGAGGCTGAGGCAGGAGGATCACCACAAGTTCAAGGCCAGCTGAGACTACATAGTTCCAGGCCAGACCAGAATCTGTCTTAAAACAAAACAAAACACAAACCCCAGCCTCTTGCATAATTTCCTGATCCAATTAACCCGGGTGAAACTGTGTCTCCTCTCCCATAACAGCAGCCCTTCTTGAAGAGGCTGAACTCCTAATTCCTGGCTCAGCCTATCAGTCACGTGATGAGGAAATCATCACGTGATAATGAATGCAGTGACGCTATTGGTCTTTGCTATAGCAACTCACTGTAACTCCATGGCAGTGTAATAGTGGCCTTCCTGCCCTGAGCGCCTGTGTCAGACTGGAATGAGTCGAAGACTTTACTGTAGCTGAGTTTCCAGAAGCCCTGCAGAAGAGGACTTGGGGAGGGCATCGCCTACCTGGACAGTGAGCTTGGGACTGCCCAGATCAGCAAACCTATAAATAAGCAGCCCAAACCAGCAAATTCCTGAAGTCTGATCTCATAGGAATTCAAAGGAGGAGAGAGGGAATATTTTTGACTCCAGAAATAATAGCTCGTTATTGTTTTCGTTTTGCTTTTGGAGACAGGCAGGCTTTGACTCATTATGTATCCCAGGCTGGCCTTGAACTTGAGATGATCTTCCTGCCTCAGCCTTCTGAGTGCTAGAGTTACAGGCATGCTTCACTGTGCCCAGCTCTGGTAGATGTTAAGGACAGCTCTGATAGGGAGCTGTTTTGATTGTCTCACTGGCCAGATTCATCCTGGCCATCACAAACTGAAACACTGCTCTCAGCATCTAACATTCATCAACTAATTTAATCTGGCAACAATCTCATGCGCTTATCTTTCCCATTTTTTCTTCTTTGTTGTTATTATTGTTTTTGTTTTCCTTTGTTTCTTGAGACAGGGTCTCCCTCTGTAGTGCAGGCTGGCCTCATACTCAAGGCAATCCTCCTGCCTCAGCCTACTGAGTGCTGAGATGACAAGCACCTGCCACCTCATCCAGTGAGATTTTTAATGAATCAGACTGTCATCAGATGGGGTCCTAAGAGGTCCCCCCAAAGAGGAAGTGGGCACCTCACCCAGTGGGGTAGGTTTGTCAGGTTTCATCACAGAAAAGCGTTTCAGGATGTGATGTGAGTGACCTGGGCAGATGAGGCAGAGCTGAAAGCGGCTGTCTATGCACAAAAGAAAGAGGCCCCCACCGGCCTGACGTGCCTTCCTGCATAGCCGCGCCATGTACGAATGCACTGTCCGCCTCCTCCCTGGCCGTGGCAGAGACCCCGAGTCCCGGCAGCCGCTGAGGAGCCCGCTGTGCTCGCAGGTGGGTGTTCCTGTGGGAGAAAGGCTACCAGGAGAAGGACTCTGTGGTCAGCTCCGTTACGACCAAAGCCAAAGGCGTGGCCCAGACCAACACTTCTCAGCTTGGATTCCGGATCTGGGATGTGGCCGATTATGTGATCCCTGCTCAGGTGTGTGCTCCTCGTGACTTCTGCAGTCTCTTTCCCAGCTCTGCCCCCTCGATTCGTGACTGGTGACAACAGCACCAGCTTCCCCCACGCCCAGCCTGGAGCCTGAGCAGGGCAGCCAGATCTCCTGGCTTCCAGTGTAACCTGTCACGCTTAGTGACCATGGCCAGCAGCTCTCAAGTGTCCTTCCCTGGAGGATGTACCTGTCCTCCCCAGGCCCCAGAGGTCAGCAAGCCATATGTCCCAAGTCCTGGGTGAAGTCCAGGTGGACAGCCTTTCTATTTGCTTGCCCATCTTACACCCACAAGGTAAACTTGGCAGCAGCGTGGAACCGGCACAGCTGTTAGAGACCCAGGCCAGGCCCTGTGGAAACGGCACCGATTGCGTCAGCTGCAAGTTAACATTTGGGTCATTTTTGTGTGGTTGGTTGATTTTTTGGGGGTGTAGGTGATCAGATCCAGGTCTCATGCACTCAAAGCAAGTGCTCTACACTGAGCTACACCCTCCAAAGTTGCAGGTTAAACAATGACCTTTTTTGTTTGTTTGTTTATTTATTTATTATTATTTTTTTGGTCTTTTTCCTTTTTATTGGTACCAGGGATCGAACCCATGACTGCCTGCTTCCAAGGCAGGTACTTATGCCACTGAGCTAAATCCCCAGCCCCTGTTTGTTTATTTTTTTGAGACAGGATCTCACTGTGTAGCTCAGGCTGGCCTTGAACTCACAGTGATCCTCCTGCCTCAGCCTCCCAAGTACTGGGATTACAGGCGTGCACCACTACATCCTGCATAACACTGACTCCTTACCTGCGCTGTGTGGCCAAGCCCCCCAAATGCCCCTGCAGACAGCTGATGTGCTCTGCACCTGTGACAGCCAGATTGAGGAAAGTGCCCACTCCTAGTGAGAGGAGAGTGTGACGGTGGGGAGGAGAAGCATCCATGGCGCAGAGCGGGATGCGAAGGTGGCCAGCTGGCAGGGGGAATCCCCTTGGTACAGCCTCACCCCCTCGAGCTCCGGGACTGGCTCCAAGTAAAACTAAGAAGGACCGGCATGTGGCTGGTGGTTTAGTGCCCTTGGATTCAACCCTAATACTTAATTTTGATTAATTAGAATACAACACCTGTGTCCAGTGGAGGTCTCTGCCTTTCACTCCTCATGTCATCGGGTCACATTTAGGCACGTTTTAGGGTCATGCCCAGCCCAGTGCCTTCCAGCCCAGGGACCCAGCAGGCCTCTGTCCCCTCTGTCCCCTTGCAGGAGGAAAACTCACTCTTCATCATGACCAACATGATCATCACCGTGAATCAGACCCAGGGCACCTGCCCCGAGGTAGGTGGTGCCTCGGCCCCGTCCCCAGCCCTCTACCCTGGCGGGACGGGAGGAAATCGTCCTTCTCTTTCCAGATTCCCGATAAGACCACCGTGTGTGAATCTGATGCCAACTGCACAGCGGGCTCCTCAGGCACCCACAGCAATGGTACGAGCCCTGGCGGGCGGGCTGACAGGCGGCTCTGGGCCAGACGGCGCCCCCTGGCGGTCATCGCTGATGCGGGCCTCTCAGGGACGATGAGACCGGGCTGCAGGGCTCAATGGTAGAGCGTAAGACCTTGGAATCAGGTCCCGGCATTAGGGGAAAAAAAAACTCGCCAGGTCCCTAGTGCTCTGCCACCCTGGGTGAAGCTGGTATCAACAGTGAGACGTCAGACGCCTCGGGTGGTGATGCATGCCTGTAATCCTTGCGCTCTGGGAGGCTGAGGCAAGAGGATGGCAAGTTTGAGCACAGCTGGGACAACTCAGTGACTTAGCAAGAACTTGTCCCAAAATAAAATAAAGCCAGGAGAGCTAACTCGGTTGAAGGCCCTGGACTGATCACCAATACTGGAGAAAAAAAAAATGAAGCAGCTCCTAGGACCTCCTCTACATTCACCTCTGTTGTGTGAGCCCCAGGCCTCACTCCAGTCTGTGACTTGGTGTCCCTGGGGTCCTGTGTCGGCAAAGCAGAGATGTGACTGCCAGACAGGTCAGGGTGGTCCCAGTTCCTGGTCAACTAGTGTAGGCTGCAGGGTCGGAGTGGGGCTCACCCACAGGGGTAGAAAAGAGGAGACCCCGTGGACCTGGAACTGCTTCCCCCGCAGGGGTCCAGACTGGAAGATGTGTTCCGTTCAACGGGTCCGTGAAGACCTGCGAGGTGGCGTCCTGGTGCCCTGTGGAAGATGACTCGCGGGTGCCACGGTGAGCCTCGCCAGGACCGCAGTGCGCATGCGTGCCGACCTGTGAGCTTTTGGTAACCACGTTACCATGTTTTTTTTCAGACCTGCTTTTTTAAAGGCTGCCGAAAACTTCACACTCTTGGTAAAGAATAATATCTGGTACCCTAAGTTCAACTTCAGCAAGTGAGTGGCCGAGGGTGCCCCGGGGGACACTCCAGGCTCCCTGGGGAGGCACCACGGCTGACCTCCGCCCGGCTTCCAGGAGGAACATCCTGCCCAACATCTCCACCGCCTACCTCAAGTCCTGCGTGTATGATGCGCACACCGACCCCTTCTGCCCCATCTTCCGGCTGGGCCAAGTGGTGGAGAGCGCGGGCCACAGCTTCCAGGACATGGCCGTGGAGGTAGGCACAGGCCTGGCCGTGGTCACGCGTCCCGGGGCCATCGGGCTATGACGTGAGCCCCACCCTGACCCCGCCTGTCCCACAGGGTGGCATCATGGGCATCCAGGTGAAATGGGACTGCAACCTGGACCGGGCTGCCTCCCTCTGCCTGCCCCGCTACTCCTTCCGGCGACTGGACACGCGGGACGCTGACCACAATGTGTCCCCCGGCTACAATTTCAGGTGGGCAGGGCCTGGCCCCAAGAGGAGTGCGGGGCGATGGTGCCTGGTGATTCCCCCGAGAGCAGCGGGAGTCCTGGCCCAGGGAGGACGCTGCAGGGCTGCTCCAGGGCCTGCCTCCTCACCCTTCCTGCTTCAACAGAGGTGTTGAGCTGGGTGCAGTGGTGCGCACCTGTAATCCCAGCACTGAGGAGGCTGAGGCAGGAGGATCGCAGTGAATTCAAGGCCAGCCTGGACTACATAGCAAGATTTTGTCTCAAAAAAAAACAAACCTTCATCCTTGGTGTCCCTGCCTGCTTTGGGCAAAGCAGAGATGTGACTGACACTCAGGGAACATATCGCTGGTCCTAGCTCCTGAGCAACTAAATCCCAGAACTGGAATCGTTCAAGATTGGCCAGTGTAGGTTTTGGGGTAGGAGGGGGGCTCACCCACTGGAGGATTCAATTCTAGGGCTTTGCATTGAGCTACACTGCAATAAATGCCACCCCCAGCCCTTTTTGTTTTTTTGAGACAAGAACTTACTAAGGGGCTGAATTGTCCAGACTTGGCTCAAATGTATGGTCCTGCCTCAGCCTAACAGTGGGCCGCCACACCCATCTGCCCTCCTGGCTTCTGGTGGTTCTCGGCAGCCCTTGGCTTTGGCACTGTCCCTCCAGTGTCCGCCACTCTCTTCCCTCTTTGCAGCCAGTGTGTGTTTTGTGGTCCTGGGGTTTGCACCCAGGGCCTACTCACAGAGCTGCTCCTGGAAATAGGCCCTACAAGGGACACCTAAGTCAACAGTGCTTCGTGTTGCCCTTGTCTCCTTCTAGCCTTTTTTAAAAAAATCTATTTTGAAAAAAATTTTTATTTTGAGAGAGTATTACTTACTAAATTGCCCACTCTGGGCTCAAACTTGCAATCTTCCTGCCTCAGCCACCCAGACAGCTGGCATGTGCCATCTTGCTGGACTGACAAGTGTCGTCATAAGGTGATATTGGGTTTAAGGGACACCTATTCCGGTACGACCCGGTCTCAGCTAATTATATCTAAAAAAAGCCTCTTCCAAACAAGGTCCCCTTCCAGGGCCTGGGGGGACCTGCGTGGGGGGCCCCTCGGTTCAGGGGAGCTGCAGTCAGCGGTCAGGGCAGCAAATCCTGCAGCTGTACGGGTTTCACTTGCCCTGGCCCTGTGCATGCGCGGGCATTGTGTCCCCCTAGTGGTGATGTGTAGCACTGCAGAAAACTGCTGCAGGCTACTGTGTGCAGCCCCGTCCAGCATTGCTCAGTGTTTGAATTTCTTCCTAGGAATGAAGCTTGTATAGCTCTGTCTCCACCACCTCCCGGTTCTTGTAGAATCCCTGAGCCGCCCCGGGGCCTGAATGGGCTCCCCAGCCAGCGCCCCCTGCCGTGCTTCTCTTTTATGGCTGACTGAAAGACATTTTAGGGGCTGGGGATTTAGCTCAGTGGCACAAGCACCTGCCTGACAAGCATGAGGTCTTGGTACCAAAAGAAAAAAAGAAAGTTCAATGTTGTGCAACTTGCGCACTGAAGAGTAAGATTCTGTAGGTTTTCTTTTTTTTAATAGTACTGGGGATTGAACCCAGAGCCATTGCACCCACCTATACCTCCAACCCTTTTAAAAATTTTTGTTCATTTCTTTATTTTTTCTCTTTTTTTTTTTTGTCTTTTTCCTTTTTATCGGTACCGGGGATCAAACTCACGACCGCCTGCTTGCAAGGCAGGTGCTTATGCCACTGAGCTAAATTCCCAGCCCCTTTTTTCTCTTTTTGAATGAGACAGGGTTTCACTGCGCAGTTCAGGCTGGCCTTGAACTCATTTTGTAGCTCACACTGGCCTCAAACAGTGATCCTCCTGTCTCAGCCTCCTGAGTGCTAAGATTATAGGCATGCACCACCACACCTGGCTGTTAGTTTTTTGAGATACAGTCTTGCTGTTGTTCAGGCTGGCCTTGAACTCACTATGGAATCCAGGCTGTCCTGGAATTTGGTACAATCTTCCTGCCTCAGCCTCCCAGAGAGCTGGGATTACAGGTGTGGACCACCACTCTCGGCTGGATCTGGAGTTTTTAAATTTCATTTTAAAAACAAAAAAGAATCTGGGAGGATTGCAAACTCAAAACCAGCCTGAACTGCATAGTGAGACTCTGTCTCAAAAAAAGAAAACCAAAAGGTCAGACACTGCCGCTGTGAGTTTAATGGCAGGCCCAGTCCACCCCGTGCAGCACTGCTGGCCACACAGCCATGGGCTCCCTGTAGCGCAGGGGCCCCTCTGAGAGGCGGGTGGCGCAGCTGTAGCAGGAGGGACATGCAGCGGCAGAGGTTGGGTTTGAGCCATCTTGCAGGAGACAGCAGGGATGGAGGCGTCTCCCCAGGGGCCCTCGGGATCAGACCCCTGCCCCCGCCTCCCAGGCCCAGGCTGGGTCCTGCCCTAGCTGTCCCTGTCCCTCTCACCCACCGTCCTCTCCCCAGGTTCGCCAAGTACTACAGGGACCTCGCCGGCCAGGAGCAGCGCACGCTCATCAAGGCCTACGGCATCCGCTTCGACGTCATCGTGTTTGGAAAGGTGGCCAGGCCTGTGACCCCGCTGTCCCTCCTCCTGACCCTGCCTTATATCCGATGTCCCCCAGTGGCTCAGAACTTGGTTTTTCTCCTCCTCCCGTTGCCTGCAGGCTGGGAAATTTGACGTCATCCCCACCATGATCAACGTGGGCTCGGGGCTGGCGCTGCTGGGCGTGGTGAGTGGCTGCCCCCCCCCCCCCGCCCCTTCACTTTCCCTTCTGTGAGCCCAGGCCCCTCAGGGGACCCCCTCCCTCTCCAATGAGGACCCCAGAAAGGGCCAGGTGGTCAGCAGGAGCCCAGAGCACTCCGCTCCTTCTTTCTTGCCCTGTGCTGACTGCAGGCGACAGTGCTGTGTGACATCATTGTCCTCTACTGCATGAAGAAGAGGTTCTACTATCGGGAGAAGAAGTACAAGTTCGTCGAAGATTACGAGCAGGTAGGCGCTGCCGTGCTCCTCCTAGCAGGCGGGAGGTCCCGTGGCCCTCATGCCAGGGCAGAGGCTGCTCTGTGCCGGCTGCTGTGTGCTCACCCGTCACCCCGGCAGTCACACGCCACCCTCGGCATCTGTGCCATCTCTAGACCCATAGTTCTTTCACATGGACTCCTGAAAACCTAGTTTTGAGCCAACTGCACTGATGCACACCTATAATCCCAGCTACTCAGGAGGCTGAGACAGGAGGATCCTAGGTTCTAGACCTTTGTTCTGAACAACTTCATGTCTCAAACTAAAATTGAAAAAAAGGTGCCAGGCGTGGTGGCTTACACCTGTAATCCTGGCACTCGTGAGGCTGAGGCAGGAGGATCACTGTAAGCTCGAGGCCAGCCTGGGCTACAAGGTGAGTTTGAGGCCAGCCTGAACTATATAGTGAAACCCTGTCTCAAAAAGATAATAAATAAGTAAGTAAATAAATAAGGTCTTGGCTGAGCTCAGGGCATTTCCCTACCGTGCATGTACCCTGGGTTCCATCCCCAGGACTGGGGGGAAGGGGCAGCTTCGTTTCATTAGTGACATCTTGTATGAGTTACAATAGCAGGCACAGTACTGAAACTCAGCTTCCACAGCGAGAGGGCTGCACTGGGCGGGACCCTGTTGAGGGCACAGAGGGACCGTCCCCAAGTGCTCCCTCTCTGTGCACACACACCTGCTTATCCTTCTTGCAGGGTCTTGCTGGGGACACGGAACAGTGACACTGGTCCACACTGGGCTCCCATGGCCCTGAGGACACACAAGAAAGGAAGGAGAAATGGCGGCTGTGTGGTTCAAGAATGTTCCGGATTTGGGCTCCGTCTCCACAAGGCCTCAGGGTGGCCCAGCAGCTGCTGTGTGGTGTGCAGAGTTGCGTTTACCCCGGCACCATGGCCACGGTGTTGTTAGCTGGGCCACCTCCCAGGGCGTCCCAGGAAGTGGCCAGCCCAGAGCAGCAACACTGCTGTGGCTCACAGGGCTGGCTCTCCCCAGGAGCCTCAGCCTCTGCCCCTCAGGACAGGCCAGGCCTCTGATGCCCAGCAACCCCATTCAAGTACCTTGTAAGGAACGGGAGCCCTGGCCATGGTGGTGCAGGTCTATCATTCCAGTCCTCAGGAGGCTGAGGCAAGAGGATCTCTGAGAGTTCAGTGCCAGCCTCCATGAAATGGTCAAAAGCCAGAGGAAAGGAAAGGAAGGTCTCCCTGGCTCGGTCACAGACTTGTGGCATCCTGAGCTGCTATTCCTTCTAATCCCCAACCAGGGACACTGTCTTTCCCATTCCAAGGCGAGCTTAGCATTTCTCTTTAGGGGGCAGCTATGTTGAGATGACTGAGGACCAAACATTAAAACAAATGATTTTTCTTAACTCTTGACTGTGTAGTCTTTCAGCATGTGCTATAACTTGTCTTCCCTCTCCTACTTTATGCAGGCTATTAACCATCAGTGCCAGGCATGGTGGTGCACACCTGTGATCCCAGCGACTCAGGAGGCTGAGGCAGGACGATGGCATGTTTGAGATGCCAGGCAACTTAGACCCTGTCTCAAAATGAAATTCTTTAAAAAGGGGTGAGGCTACAATTGATAGCATGAAGCTCTGGGTTCAGTCTTCAGCACCACAAAAATTTTTAAAAAGAACAGTTATCAGCATCAAAATGGAGTCACTTTCACCAAATCTTAACAAAACAGAGCCATCTAGGAGAAGTCTTCACCTCTGGACCACAGCCTTTCCACAGTGAAGGCTGCTTCAGAACAGCTGCCCAGTGCAGCCTCACTATGAGAAGGCTTCTATGGCAGCCCTTCCTGGCCATACTCGCACACACAGCAGGGCCTGTGACGAACCCCCACAGCCAGGAAACTCGTGTCCACAACAGCCCGCATGTACCCTGTCTTTCAAATTGTCCATATGGCACCCAGGTGTGGTGGTGCACACCTGTAATCTCAGCACTCAGGAGGCCGAGGCAGGGGAGCCAGCAATTTTGAGCCCAGCCTGGGCTACAGGATGAGTTCAAGACCAGCCTGAACTGCACAGCGAGACCCTGTCCCAAAACAAAACAAAAAACCGAAAGAAAAGGTCTTGAAGCCATCTATGTCTAACTTTGACTTTTTTCCCTATTTTCATCCCTTAAACCCTAAATAGTCTGATTGTCGTTAGGCTGTCCCTTTGGAAGACACGATTTTGCCTCTGCTGGCATCATAATCGACGCTGGCATTCTTAGGTAAAAACAAAGTGCCACACGGGTGACGCGGTGCGGCAGCCATGGAGGCAGTTTATCTGCTCTGTAAGCCTCCAGCCGAAGCAGGGCCTGGCACTGTGGGCACAGGTGCGAGGTGAAGGAGACTCCAGGCTGCAGCCACGTGCACCTGCTGCAGAGACCCAGAAAGGCCGAGGCCCCGGCTCCAGCTCTCTGCCCACAGGCGCCTGCCCCAGACTCCCGCATTGTGGGTGCAGTGCACAGACCGCTCTTCACCAAGCGTTGGTTCACGCAGGGCACAAATGGAGTGGTTTTTTGTATGATGGTGACATGGTTTGAATGGGTCCCCCAAAATGCTTGCAACCCTTGAAGCAGCAGGGCTGAGTTACCCACACTGGGTACCTTTGGGGGTTAGCCAGGCCTTGGCTAGGGCACGGGGAAATAAGGGGTTCAATCAGTTACCCTGAGAGGTGAAAGGTACGGCTCCTCACACCTCCTGGCCCACCCAGAAGCAAAGCGCAGCCCCTGCCATGTGTCCATGGGGACCCCCCTTCATCTCCCTAGACCCTTGGGCCCAAACAGCAGCCCCCGCTCCTGACATGTAAAGGCCCCTGCCTGCTGCAGCCGCAGTAGAATGAGCATCTTCAGCCTTTATCTCTGTCTCTTTAACAAACAGGAAAATGAAGTTCAAACGCGGCATGGTGACACACGCCTACAGTCTCAGCACTTTCCAGGCTGAGGCCGGAGGATCACTGCGAGTTCAAGGCTGACCTGCGCTATATAGTAAATGTAAGATCAAACTGAACTACGGAGTAAGCCAGGAGTAGTGGTGCACACCTGTAATCCCAGTACCAGGGAGGCTGAGGCAGGAGGATCACTGGCGAGTTCCAGGTCAGCTTGTCTACAAAATGAGAAAAAAAAGGAAAGGAAAAGAAAATGAAGATGCCCTGGGCCTCTGTCCTAGAGCAGCTCCCAGATGCAGGAGGAGTGGCCAGGTCACTCACGTTTGGGCACTTTACTGACAAAGCCAGGCCCTTAGGGAACTGAGTCTTTGAGCCTCAGTGCTGAGGTGAAATGTCCCTCTCGATGCGGTGAAGGTCACACAGCGGGCTCACCTCACCTGCTGCCACAGCAGGGCTTCGCAGTGTCACAGGTGAGGTACCCAGGAGTGGGCCTACATGGACGTGCATCCTGCCTGGCATGGGTGACACTGTGTCCCCAGACCACACCAAGCAGTGACAGGGCAAGAGACCAGTGCTAACGGTACCAGTGCTGACTGCACTGGCTCACTTGGGGCATCTGACCTGCTGTCTCCCTGAGGACAGGAAATAGACACAGGGAAAAAAATTCCCCGCAGCCCAAGCTTTGCACCATTTTGCTGTGTTTATTTCAAGTTTACAGAGAAGCTTCATCACCCGGGAGAAACATCAAAGGCTTATCTGTCTCGTAAGGTCACGTACTCGTGATAAATACACAGTATTTAACTCTGTACACCTGGTAAAGGAACTGCATAGTCAAAAGGATTGGGGATAGAACAGAAGCATCGGGCATCGGATACGTCACGGAATAGAAAAGGCAGAACCTGGACAAAAGACGGGAGCCAACAACCGTGAGACCATCCGTAGCACCTTGGGAGCAGGTGGACGTCCCAGTGGACGTCCCAGTGGACGCTGGCGGCGTGTGGGCCCCTCTATTGGGTGAGAGCCGCGGGCCGGCCCTATATGCCTGGGCAGCTTCCCCGTGCCAAGAGGCCAGGCCGTGGCAGATGGCATCTGCAGCTCCAGGGGCCAACGAGGTGCTCAGGAAGGTTTCTGAGCGCTGCTGTCCACCTGTGGACGGACCAGCAGGGGGAAAGGACACAGGAGAAAAGCAGGCAGAAAATTTGTGCTTCCTTTGGGGCTGCAGGCTGCTTCCACCATGTTGGTCCCACAGAAGAGCCAGCCCTGGAAGGAACAGTGGGTGCCCTTTCCGCCCAGCCAGAAAGGCTGCTGCTGACGGCTTCGCCCTTCCCTGACAGAGCCGGCTTTGTGCTCCTGCAACTCCAGTGCTTCGGCCACGGCTGTGCCTACTGAGGCTTTCTGTGGGCTGGGCAGTTCCTCTCCTTAGCTTTCTTTGGTGTTTGCTTAGATAAGAAAAGTTACCGAGGTGGGCCTCCCCTAACCTGCCTGGCCCAACAGCTGGAGCGCCATGATTGCCGGCAGCCTCCGCTCCCCGCTCGCCAGTTGTCTTGGGTGAAGTTCCGTGGTGGAGACCCGTGGCACTGCCTATTGCAGTCAGGTGAACCCTGGAGCTCTGCAGCCAACTCGGCCAGGCCAGAGTCCACACACCAGGCTGGGACTGGGCTCAAGGGCCAGTCGGCTGTCACCACCGCAAGGTGCTTATTGCAAACTACCCAAGCCCACCCGTGACCAGAAGGTGTGAAATGACCAGACCCTTTCCCCATAAACTCACACAGTGGGGCAAGAGGAAGCACGAGGTTACAAAGACAAAGCAAGCAGGCAAGGCGACCACCCCAGACCTCAGACTGTGCCCTGCGGAACCACAGGCCCTAATTCTACCTGTTCACATGACAGCGAGAGGCCTGACTAAACTAGTCTAGAGCTGAGGAGAATTTATGAAAGCCAACACCATCTGGGCCTGCGAATGGCTGACCGGACACAGGCCCTGGAAACTTGGGAAAAAGTCCTCTGAGCCCAGCTGCGGACCGGCTCCCCCACCCCACCGCACCCCACCCCACTGCAGAGCACTGGGAAGTGGAGGTCGGGATTCGACAGGGCGCTGTCTCACCAGCAGCTCTCTACACTAGACACAAGTTAAGAGGATCAGCGTTTTCTTTCTGGACTTCTGGCTACAGAAGGGACCACCCAGTGCCAATCCCTGGTTCCCCTGAGCCCTGAGGACGCTCTGAATTTCAACAGCCACCGCTAACAGGGTGTTCTAATGTCACCATGTGGCTCCTGCCGAAGTTTATCTGTGCTATCTCAGCCAAGGAAAACTGTTTCCCACGTGGTACGCGGGAAAGTGGGTGACGTGTTTCCTCCCCTACAGACCAGCGGTGTTTAGGGTGCGACAGAACCTCCGCGGGCTCTAGGATGCACAGGGTACACACACGCTAAGCTGCTGGCCCTCAGGTGCGGGTTCCATCGGCTCGGCCTCCCATCACTTGGTGGGTGCCTGGAAGCTCTGATAACTCCTGAACTCCTCGAGTTCAGTCTCCTTAGAGAATTGAAACAATTTTTTTTCTTTTTTGGTGACTCTTAAGACATGTAATGTACATGGAAGTGTAGGGTTTCACCCTGAAGTTTTTCTAGCTGAGCAGAGATCTACTAGTGCCCTGCCCACCATCTCAGGACCCCACTGTGCGCAGGTGATGTCCTCCAGGGAGACCTAGGGTAGGAAAATCCCCCTTGAGAAGCAATGAAATGTCAAGCCCTTTCGGTTTTCCCGACTACATTCTATCCATACAAAATTAAAAAGTCCTTCTTGCAAATGAAGTTGCATGGAAGCTCCTGCAGCTGCGAGCCTGGGCCTGGGACCTTTGGCTCGGAGGGGCCACCCTGGCCGCAGCGTCCCTCCAGCCTCCTTTCCAGGGCTGCAGCCCCGGCCTGCCAGAGCACACTGCTCCCTTCTCTGCACGGTCCAGACCCCACACACATTCGCTGGGTACATCTGACCCAGTTGTCAATTCATGATGAAGGGCTTTTGGACTAAAAATGTTTTTAAAAGCAGTTGTCCCAGAATGCATGTGGGTCTGGGTCCACAACTCTTCACACCAGCCAGTCAGGCCAGCCAGTGGCTGAGGTCGACATCACGAAGTCTTTTTTTTTTTTTGGTCCCCTTTAAAACAACAAAGAAAAAAAGCAAATAACCAGCGGGGGCGGCCAAGGCTGAGCGCGCCCGCGTTTCCGTAGGTCATGCTGCTAGGGAAGCGCAGACGGCTGGCCGGCATGCGAGCTCTGGTCTGGCGGCTACTGCGGCTCCATCGCCTCCTCACCCTGCGGCTGCGGCCGATGCGTGCGTGCGGCCCCCCAACTCTCGGTGCAGGGCCCACCTTTCAGGAGAGCGCTTCCTCCTCCTCCCCCGCGGGGGCAGGGGCGAGACCCTGCAGGCTGTCTTCGCTGCTTTGCTTCCTGCTCAGCGAACAGAAAACCAGCATTAAGGATCCCAGAAGGGGCGCCTGGACCCTGCTGCCTCTGCTTCCGGTGCCCTGCTCCCGTGCTTTGGGATGCGCTCTCGTTTTTGTTTTTGTTTTTTTGTGCCCACACGAATTTCTCCCTCCAGAAGACCATGCGTCCCCTCGGTCAACTGGAGCAGCGTTTGCGAAAACCAGTGGAACTGTGAGACACCTGGACCGGCAGGACCCTCGCGGGAAGGCGGGACTCTGCAGCTCGGCTTTCCTCCTCCTGTAGGGCGCGCTTGTAGGGCAGGAGGGTGACTGACGCCGCCCATCTGTGTCCCCAGTGAGCTCAGCGGGCAGCAGTGGCACACAGTGACCTCCGTCCGCAGCCCCCGCCCCAGCCTGGCCTGCTCAGGAAGTTCCCTGGGAGGGACAGGAAGCTGCAGCATGAGTCCCAGGGACCTCGCCAGTCACCACTTGATGGGATAGCTGTGGATGGGGCTCAGAAGGTGGGCAGGGGACTCTTGAAGGCGGGCGAGCCCCTGCCCAGCTCTGGCAGTCTGTCCTGGTGAGGGAGTGGCTGAGCCTGTCACCTGGCTACTGTCCACTGCTTCCCTGTCCCTATGCAGGGGCAGGGGAATCACAGAGCCCCAGGAAGAAACCCGTCTGAAAGCCACACTCAAGGAAAGGCCTGGAAGGGATGAGGGCTGTGCAGATGCTGGGTCAGGGGTGGCCTCCCTGCAGACAGCAGGCCTTGAGGCTGAGCCTCTGGGACTGACCAAGCTTTCTGATCCTAGTCCCAGGCGTCCTCCGGGCCATAAGAAGGTAACCCCAGTATTTCTGGGTATATAGACCTTGCAATTTTGATCTCATTGAAAAGAGAAACACATGGCAGGCCTGCCCTCAGTGGGGAGACAACCCGGCTGTGAGATCCTGACCGGGAGTGAAGAACAGACCCCTCCCAGGCTGGGGGAAGAAGAGTCCGCCTGGCCGCCTTGACACTTAGGCAGCCTGGAGCCCGGTCATCAGCTATTGAGCCAGGGTGGGGACCGGGCAGCTTCAGAGGCTGCTGAAGCCTGGACCCGAATGTTACTGCTGGTGGCTTCCTGCTCTGCTCCAGACAGCAGAGCTTCTCTCAAAAGCAAAAACAGTTCTCAAATGGGGGTTCCCAGATGGCCAAATCCGCCTCTGGCTCCTAGGAGAATGACTTTCCTCTCCTAAGCCAATCCCTAATGAATACAAATGGCTCCCACCTGTACGCAAATGTTCAGCACAGCACAATTCATTTGTGACAGCCAAAAAGCAAGAAGATATCGATCAGCAGATCGACAGACAAGGTGTAGCCTCCCTGCCCAGTGGAATATTACTCGGCTACAAAAAGGAACCAAGCACTGCTCCACGCAGCCGCAGGCTATGGGTGAGCCTAAAAACAACCGAGGACACAGCTCAGCAGCATAGCACCTGCCTGGCAAGCATGAGGTCATGAGTTCGATTTCCAATACAAGAAAAAAACCAAGAAACCCCTGCAAATGTGCCACTCAGTGAAAGGAGGAGGCACACAAGGCCACACCCCACATGGCTCCCATTTGCAGCAACATCTGGAGTGGGAAAATCCACGGGAAACTGAAAGTAGGTTGCTTGCGCATGGGGGAGCAGGGTAGGGAGAGCTCAGAGAGGCAGGGTTTCTCCCTCTGGGGGAAGAGTTTTAAAATTGACCGTGGTGCTGTCTGCCTAACTGTCAACACTAAAAGCCACTGAACTACACACTAAATGGGTGCTCTGTACCGTGTGTGAAGTGTTTCTCAGTACAGTTGATGGAGGGGTACTGTGGATTGAACCCAGGCCTCATGCATGCTGGGCAAATGCTCTATCACTGAGCTATACCACCAGCTCTCAATACAGCTTTTACAATTTCTGTTTAGTTACTTGGGTTTTTGAGACAAGGTCTCACAATGTAGTTCAGGCTGAGCTGAAACTCAAGGCGATCCTCCTTCCTCAGCCTCCCCAGTGCTAGGATTATAGGCACAAGGCACTATGCCCATAACACCTGTTTTTAACAACAGAAGAGACTGCCTGGAGCTCCCAGCTGCTAGTCTCGAGCTTACTTTCTAGCTCTGAAAGTAGGGCACCCTAAGAAAAAGGCACCGCGCGCACAGGCGCAGAGGACTGGCAGCCCTGAGGCCCGCGACCGAGCTGCGGCACCTCTGACGTGCACTGAGGCCGGGCGCCGGGTGGTCTGAAGCCCCGGGTGAGTTCACGGGCATTCCGGGTGGAGCGCCATGCACCGCAGCCCCAGCCCACATGCACGGTTGCCACCGGGCCCAGCCCCGACGCCCTGGTTCTGCCCGGGGCTGAGGCCGCCCCAGCTCCGCAGCGCCCGCCCCCAGCCCCGGCCGAGGCTAGCACAGGCAGGCAGGCGTTACCTTGGGCTCAGACAGGGGCTCCCACTCCCTGGGTGGCTTTTTGCTGGAATTGCCAGAGGGAGGGAAAAGGGAAGTGAGATAGGACCTGGGGGGTCCAGGCGTGCCCACCCCCCCAAAGCCAACAGACCCCAACTCCTGCTCCAGACCTGGCCCGGAGGCCCCTCTCCTAGCGCGGCTCACGGGGGGCAGGGCTCGCAGTCCCCGGTGCACGGGCTTCCGGACCAAAGCCCCCCTCAAGCGTGGTAAACTGGGGTTCGGGTCCCTTGCTCTCACAAGGTGCTGGGGGAACCCGAGCCTCAGGCCCGCCGACTCCTGTGTGCCTGAGAGAGCAGAGGAAACTCACGTGAGCAGGTTCCCGGGGGCCGACAGTGCGCGCTCCTCCCGCCGGCTGCCGTCGAACGGGTTCCCGAAGGAGCGCTTCCGGATCATGGTCTTCACCAGGATCTGCGGGTCAGGCCAGAAGACAGCTAATTGCGGGATTGCGGGACTCCCCATCTTCCTCCTCCCACCTGCCAGCTCCCAGGGCTGAGTCAAGCGCACGGCCTGACGGGAAAGCCTGCTGATGGGAGACCCCCTACCGAAGCTGCCACAGGTCTGGTGCCTGACCCCTACTCCCGGATGCCATGTGAGCCCCTTGCAGATGGACCCTCCTGTCCGTCCACAAGGCCTGGCTTCTCCTTTCAGTGAAAGCTGCCTGAGATCACTCCACCCAGAGGGGCAAATCTCTGCTTCCCCATGGGTATCAGGGCTTTTTAAAACAGGTAAGAACTGGGCAAGGTGGTGCACTCTTGTAATCCCAGCACTCAGGAGGATTTTTTTGTTTTTCTGGTGCTGGGGATTGAACTCAGGACCTTGTACTTGCCAGCAGACACTTAAGCCACTTAGCTATATCCCCAGCCCATGAGGCAGGAGGATTGTGTTAAGTTTGAGACTAACCTGGACTACAAAGTGAGCTCAAGGCCAGCCTGAATTGCATAGTGAGACCCTGTCTTAAAACAAACAAACAAAAAAAAACACACACACACACACCCCAAAAACTTGAGATAAAACTCATGTCCCATAAATTTACCCTCTACAGTACTAATCCAGACATTTTCTGCAAATGGAACCCTGCAATATGTGGCCTCTCATGCCTGGCTTCTTCCAAATCCCCATGTATCTGAGATTCATCCATGGGGTAAGATGTGCCAGCGCATCCTTTGTGGTCCAGTAATATTTCTCTGCGTGGTTGGTCCACACCATGCCTGGCCACTCTTCGGAAACCATTTGCTGGTTTCCAGTTTTCTGGAGATGTGAATGCTGCTGTGGAAACATTCACCCTCACATTTTCTAGCCAAATGATTTCATTTCTTTTGGGTGTATACTAGAAGCACTTTCGGGATTTTATGATCTCTCTACGGATACCATTCTGAGAAGCTACAGGGCTGTTCCCTGAGACATTATATAACTCCCTAGCAGAGGAAGAAGGGTAGTGTTATGGCTTGGGTCTAGATGTCCCCCCAAAGCCTCATGCGGTCACGGTGGGGCTTTTTCAGAAGTGTGGGATCTGGAGTGTGACGCTGGGAATTCATGGTGTGACGCCAGGATCCAGGGCGGAGGGTGTGAGTAGCCCGGGTAAGAGGGGCAGAGGAGCTGCGGCGGCCCCTTGCTGCTTTGCTGCCGCCTGCCTGCCATGGACCTTTTCTCCTCCGCAGTGCTGCCTTGCCTTGGGTCCAACCAAGTAGGCACCACAACCTCTACAAACTGTGAGCTAAAAAAACCTTCCTCCCTTAACTTTGGCACCAGGGATTGTCTCAGCAACAAAAGTAACTAAAAGACGCAGCAATTTCTCAGGGGCTGCATTTCAGCAGAGGCTGGGAAGCATCCCAGGGTGCTGAGCACAGGCAGTGCAAGGGCTGACAGGGGATGAGTGTGAGGATGTGGGAGGAGTGTGGGATGAGTTCCTAGAAGGTTCCTCCAAGTCTGAGCAGCACCAGGACCTGGCCTTCCCACTGGCTGGAGTGGAAACCTTCCAAGGCCCTGCCTCTCCCACTCTAGCTGGCTGGGCCCGGCGTGGTTGGGAAGCGAGCCTGAGGCACTCGGCCCCTGCCTGCCCATCAGCCACAGCTCCGCACCCTCCTCCCCCCAACCTGTTCCTTGGTCCTCTGAAACCCAGTCCTATCCCCTCATCCACAGGACTCTGGGACTCAGCGTTGCCAGCCAGGGAGCCCTGGAAAGTTCTGAAGCAATGGAGGAAACTACCACGGCCCTGCATCCTGTGAAGAAGTGTCAGAAGTGGGCCCCACTCGGAAGTCAGGCTCAGGCCCTTACTGTCGTCAGCCAGAGCACGCTGTCTCCTCAGATCGTTTCATGGACTGACTGGGCTTCTAATTTTTGAAAGGATTTACTGCTAAGAAGAGAAACAAATATTTAAAAAGCACTAATGTACCCATCTGTACTAACTGAAGAGCAGTTAATGAGTTAATGAGCAGAAAAATGAGGCCTATCCATTCAATTGAATATTACTCGGCCGTAAAAAGGAATGGAGTGCTGGAACCAGGCTACATGATAAACCTTAAAGACACAAAGGCCACACGGTTGTATGATTCTACTAATATGAAGTGTTCAGAGCAAGAACGCTTTAGAGACAGAAGACGAGAAAAGAGGAAGGGGAAGGATCACTCATGAGCCAGGTGGTTTTTAGCGTCTTCCTTTCCTTTCTTCGTGTGTGTGTGTGTAAGTGTGTGTGTGACTTCTAATTGAACCCAACTGTTGCACTGAGCTACTCTCAGCCCATTTTTTGAGACAAGGTCACCAAGTTGCCCAAACTTGCAGCCCTCCTGCTTCAGCCTCCTGTGTGGCTAGGATTTACAGGCATGGGCCACTGCACCCAACATGTGGTTTCTCTTGAGGTGAGAAAAATGTTTGAGAACCATCAAGGTGATAAGTGCGTAAAAACATAAATGTCCTAAATACCATGGAAGTTCACCAGAATGGCTCCTTCCACAGAGCCTGCATTCTACCGCCATCAAGAGGAAAGGCGTCACTTGGAGACCAAAGGCTGCATCATCACCAGGGAGGCTTTCGAAGTGACAGCCAGCTCTCAGCCTGCAGATGCCCAGCAGGTCCCATGTCACACCAGCCCTGCCCCATGCACTGGGTAGTGCTGTCCCTTGAGACACCTGGTCTCCTCCTCCTCTCTACCCCGAGCCTGGCACAGGAGGGGCCTCAGCCAGCACTGGCTGCAGGCAAAGTCACCAAACCCAGAGGGGGCTGGGCCTGGTCAGCCAAGACGAGGACTGTCTGGCCCTCCCTGCCCTAGCCGTACTGCGTGAGGATGCCTGCTCTGCTCTGGACTGAGATTTAAATCTGGGCTGCCCCTCCCTCCCCTGACTCAGTGGTCCTGGCTTTCTGGAAGCTTCTGCTGGCCAAGCTCCCTCCCACTGTAGGACACTGCCTCTGCTGCCCACTGTGCAGGTTGGCTGGTACCCCACCACTGCCCGGTGCACAGGGCCTAATGCCAGGAAGCCACCCCGACCGCATGCCTGCCTGAGCCACACTGTGTTGTAGTGTTCCAACATGACAGATGCCACTCTGCTTCCCCAGGGAACTTCAGGGGAGGGGATGGATCAGTGACGGGAGATGGGTACAGACTCTGACACCCCTGCCACCCCACCTCGGGCACACGACGGGTGGGGCGACTGTCACAGAGGCCTGATGGGGAGGGAAAGGCCTGGGTCGGTGCCCACCAGGCTCAGGTTCTGGAAGAGAGGAGTGTGCGAAGCAGGCGGGGAGCACGAAGCGGGAGAAGTGGCCAGCCAGCGTGGGCTCCCCAAGCCCCTGAGGCCGGCCACTGTCTTGCAGGTTCTCTCGGGCACCTCAGGGCCCAGTGCCCACCTGCCTGCCCCTGTAGCTGATGCTGGTCAGACGCAACTGAGACCTTAAAGGTGGCCACAGTGGGCAGCAGCCTGGACCCCGGGCCCCTTCTGGAGCCAGGCACCCTCTCATCAAAGCCCAGTCTCCAAGACAGACCTGGTTCTCCATATTCTGATTCCTTCTTCTTGGTGTGGGACCCAAATTCAAGGCTAAATGGGTGTCCCACTGGTTCCTGAGGCGAAAATCACTTTCAGGCATCAGGAGAAACCTGTCTTGTGTCAGGTGGGAGCCCTTGCCCAGCCCGCTGAGCACCCCCGAAGCAGACATGACATAATGCCATCTGCTTAGGGATGAAGATCCAGGCCCCTGGAAGGTCCATCTGGGCAGCCCCCATGTCCTGCCTGATCTTTCTTCTCCCGGATGCTCTTCCTGGACCTGCCCTGGATGCAGGGATCCCAGAAGGGGCAGCACAGTCCTCACAGGGGCCCCTCTCTAGGAACACATGGCAGTCACGGGGTCCATCATGCCTGAGCCATGACCAAGGCCCAGGGCCAGTGGCTGGGGTGAGGGCAGCCCCAGCCCTTTCCTGAAGCTCAGGCCTGTAGGCTTTGTCTGTCCTCGCTGGGCCTGCTGCAGGCTCTCTCTGTCCCTGCTCTTGGTCAGTGTCATCCGCCTTACCACGGTCGCCAGGCTGGGGATGTGTTTGACCGAATTCTCGACCTCCTCTTCGGTCACCTCGACCAGCGTGCAGTTCTCGTCCTCCGATGGCAATGGCTCGGCCCCGTGCCTCGTGACCCAGGGGTGCAGCTTCAATGAACGACAGGAGGGGTGAGGGGCAGGCACAGCTGACTCCCAGGGGCATGCGGGAGAGTGTGTCCGGGCATGCAGGGGAGCTGGCGGCCAGGCAGAGGCAGGAGTGATGGAAGGAGGTGTGCAGAAGCCAGAGGACAGAACGGGAGCAGTGACGGGGTGAGATGTGTGCAGGCCCAGTCCTCCACTGGCCCGCATCTTGGCAGAAGCCACCAAAACTTGGCATCAGCCTTGCCCAGCTGCCCACGGGGCACCTATCACCCTTCAGCAACTTCCTGACACCCAGAAGCCTCAGCTTAGAGCAGGTGCCACTGTCCCCGGGTCAGACGGGACACAGCAGCCCAGGGACACAGTGAGACCAGCAAGAAGGACACAGTCAGGACAGGACCCAGGCCAGCACCTGTCCCCCTTCCCGGGTCCAGGGCCCCATCTGTGGGGACTCCCTCCCAGGGCCTAGGAGGACCCTGACACCTCTTGAGATTCTTCAAGGTGCCATAAATGCACGTGTGGGCTTGGGGACAGGGGTCTCTCCAAACACTGCTTCCTGCAACAGGGCAGCCCCAGCAGGCTGGGGGGCACTGAGATGCTGCACCTCTTCTCAAGTTTGCTGTGGTTTCCTCGGGGCTGCACCTCTAACAGTCAGGGCAAGGGGAGGACCTCACCCAGAATGGCCCACGCGGTGAGTGGGGGCTGTGAGGGACCGATCCTGGACCCCGTTGCCCCATGCCAGGAGTTGCAACCCCAAATCCCCTTCCCCAGCAGTCAGAGGCCCCAGCAGGGCTGTGTGCTGTGGACGGGGCGGGCCTGGCTGAGGCAGGGTTGAACCAAACAATCCTAGCACAAGATGCAGCCTCTGTGGCCAACAGCAGCCCCCAGTACCTTGATTTCTGGCACCACAATTCTCGACTCGGGGTTCTTGTCTAGCATACGGGTGATCAGGTCTTTCAAGTCCTCAGCAATGTCAGGTCTGGGGGAAGGAGACAGGGCATGAGAGGGAGCGGGATGCAGGGAAGGCAAGGGCGGGGCAGGGTGGCCGGGCAGGACTCACTGGTCTGGGAACTCCAAGGCCTGACTCTTGATCTTGCTGTGCAGGCACATGATCCGCTCATCCATGAACGGACACTGGGGAGACAAGAGCAGGGGCCACAGCTGCCACACCGTAGGCCACTGTGCCGTGCCATTCTGTGTGGGCACTCGCAGAGACGCTGACAACCCTAACCCATCTGAACAGGAAGTGGGACCCACCCCTCAAAGTTCTAGAAGGACCAGGAAGGTTCTAGAAGGCCTGGAAAACTTCCCAATGACGACACTGTAAGTTGCAATTTACAGAAAAGCAAACAGCTTTCTCCACCAACCTGCCAGGGACCCACAAAAACACCAAGGTTGAGGTTCAAGGCCTCGAGCAGGGGCAATGATACCAAGGGTGCTACACAGTGGCTTTCTGTGACCAAGGTGTCCGCCCGGCCCCTCCCCCAGAACAATCCTCCTGCCCAAGTGTGCGAGGCTGTCCTCTCGGGCAGGCAGCGATGACCAAAGCTCTAGTGGGGAAGGGTCCCATCCTGCCCCCACATCACTGCCCATCACGGCAATGGCTGTGGCCCCGGTGAGGACAGGAGCTCCCCAACTTTGCTGTCGTCTTTGTCATCCTCCGCTGTTCCTCTCTGAGGACTCCAGGGTCTGGAAATACTCCCAACACAAGGGGTCAGTAACCAGCTGATGACAGTATGAACTATCTCTGTGCATCCCCTCAGAAGCCTCGAGGACAGCAGACCAGGACTCAGGATCAGGGATGGGGCTCAGGACAGAGCGTGCCTTAGCATGCACAAGGCCCCCAGCCCCGACCCCACCCCACCCCATCCCTACACTGGCACCAAAAGAAAATAGAAAAAACCCAGCGTTGTTCTCATCCTGCTGGAGAGAAGAAATCAATTCAGGGAGGCAACACGTCCTGGGGAGGACAGGCAGGATTTACGCCTCGACACGGCGGACTCTGAAGCCTCCCGGGTGACAAAGTGACTTGATGGCCACAGGCCTGACCTGGAAGGACTTGGACCACGTGTGTGGGGGAAAAGGAAGTCAGGCAGGAGTCAGGCAGGCAGCAGAGGAGGCGGCCAAGGGGGCAGAAAGCCACCCGCTGTTCCTCTCCTATCCAAGGACAGTGACCAGCAGGGGCTTGAGTTTTGGTGTCCCAAGAGTGATGACCACCAGCTAGAGCTCATTTGGAAAACAACTCCTAAGAGCTACACATCTCACTGTGCGCAAACTTAACCCCAAAAGGAACAAAATGGACCACAGATAAATACTGAATTTGAGCTAATGCGTACTACACTCTAAAGCCCTGGATGAGTAAAGATGTCGGCAACTTACTCTGTAATCCATTAAAAAATTAGATGGCTGGGAGATGGAGACCCCCCAGGAAAAAGGGTGACCCTGTGAAACATTTGGTAGAGTCCAGCTGGCAGGGTCATGAGTTTTACACACAATTCCTTCAGCTGTGTTGTATGACTGGAGAATATTCTCAACAAATGTTGAAATAGTTACGGACTCTTTATTTTATTTTGGAGGAAATGAGAATTGTACCCAGCGCCTTTACACTAGACTATCTCCCCACAGCGCTTTTTAACATGTTTTACTTTGAAGCTGGCATGGTGGTGCACACCTGTACCCCCAGTGCTGGGAAGGCTGAGGCAGGAGGATCACCATGCTCACTGCTCATTAGCTGCACAGTGAGTTCAAGGCCAGCCTGACCCACACAGCAAGACCCTGTCTCAAAAAAAAAAAAAAAAAAAAAAAAAATTGAAGCATGGTCCCACAGAGTCTCTAAATTACCTGGTTCTGGCTTGATTCTGTAATCCTCCTGCTTCAGCCTCTCAAGAGCATGGGATGAAAGGCATGTGTTACCATCCCTGGCCAGACTCCCTTACTTAGGTCTGCAGCCTCATTCCCGAATTTTCTCAGTAGAAATGCAAACTTATAAAAAGGGAAAAATCCACGTTTGCTGCTTGCAGAATCAAAGTGAACATCACAGTTAAAAAGAGAAGACCCTGAACCAGGGATTTAGCTCAGTGGATTAAGCGCCTGCCTGCCAAGCACATGGTCAGCAGTTCCATCCCCAGTACAAAAAAAGGGAGAGAGAGAAAGGACCCTGGGCAGGCACAGTCGCAAATGCCCACAATCCCATCTACTGGAGGATCACTAGTGTGAGGTCAGCTTGGACAATTCAGCAAGAGCTTATCCCAAATAAAAACATTAAAAGGGCTAGGGATGTGGCTCTGTGGTCCCTGGGCTCAATCCCCAGGATCATTAGAGAGAGACAGAGACCCATAAACAACAATATTGAAACAGCAACAGCAAAATAACTGCAACACAATAGCAGAAAAGCACTCCCCAAGTCAATGATACCAAATGGACTTTAATTCCCAGTCCAACTGCATCCCTGACAGCACCCAGAAACACTTGAAAATAACATCAGGCTGCGCTGGACTCAGTTATTGATTAGTGATGTCTGTCTGGAGCTCAGTAGGACAGTGCACCTATTGATTAGTGATGTCTGTTTTGGACTCAGAAATGCAGAGAATGGCACATTTATTGCCTTTGCCCTCAACTTACTGTCTAAATACTCTGGACTCTGCCAATCTGTCTGTTTCATCAGAACTTTAAAAAAATATTTTCTTTTGAGACAGACACTCACTATATAGTTTAGGCTGTCCTTGAATTCACTATGTAGCTCAGGCTGGCCTCAAACTCAAGGCAATCCTCCTGCCTCAGCCTCCCAGTGCCACCACACCTGGCCTCATCAGATCTTTTTTCAGATAAAAATATTATACACAGATATGTACATTTCGGGAGGAAATACAACACAATCTGGAACTTACAAATGCGTAAGTACCATCTGCCAACATTACCCCAGGAGGTCACCTAGGAGTCAGCACACCCCACTCTTACCTGACCAAAGACAAAGCAGTACAGTGTCACACCCATTGCCCAGACATCTAAGGCCTGCAGGAAAAAGAGAGCTTACTTAGCATGACAGGCAGGAGCAGGGAAGGGCATCTCTAGCCTCCCTCTGGGACCTCTTCTTGACTCCCAAGCCATGCAGTCAGGTGGGGCTGCTTCTGTCCCTTAGCATCATTGGTGGGCACATAATGTAGGCCTGGCCAAGGAGAGCACCATCTTCCCCAGCCACAGGGATTGGTCCCAGGACGGGCACATGAACCCGGCTAGGCACCTTCAGCCAGCACCTTCAGCCCTAAGGTTTTGGCACTGCTTTTCAGAGGGTTGCTCACACTCAGTGAGGTGGTCTGTAAACTGGCAGAAGGTAGCCTGGAGGCTACTATCTAAGGAAGTCGATTCAGGAAAACAGCTGAGAAGGGGGGATGGACAAGGGGAGAAACAGATCCCTGTTTGGGTCCGCATATCCAGCCACACCAGAGGTCAAGCGCACCCACTGCCCGGCTACTGGACCTTGTGGGTTTTCTGCGTAAGCCTGGAGTTGGAGTTGGGTGTTTGCTGCCCTAACACAGGCAGAACCCAGCAGCTCAGGGGGTCCAAACCCACCTTCCCAGAGAAGATCTTGCGGGTCTCCGAGAGTGACTCAGGCGCCATGAAGGCGGGCGTGCCCACAGTGTTGGACAGGAGGGCGTCGCTGCCCTTGAACTCGTTGCTGACACCAAAGTCGGCAATCTTGATGTGGCCATCATCTCCCACCAGCAGGTTGGAAGGCTTGATGTCTCGGTGGATGATCTTCTGGAAGTGCACTGTGGTGGGGCGGCCACCGGAGAAAGAGATAGGCGGGGAAATGCTGTGAGATTCCCCACGGCAGGCGGCCCAGAGATAGCCTGGTGCCCCAGACCACTGATCCCCCAGTCCCCCGCCAGCACCCCTCTGGCCCCGCCTACCCCTGCCAGGCACTGCTCATTTGGAAGTTCACCCCATTCCACAAACACCAACTTTCTGCAGGGCTTTGCCTGGTTCAGCTAAGTCATGAGTGACAGTGCCGGCAGTCTTTACGGAGCTATTCTCCAGCTAGGGGCCTGGCACTGTCAAACCTGGTTCCATTTGCTAACGGCCAATACTCATCTTGTCCACCGAACCAACAGTGTTCAAGAGTGGGGGATCAGGATGTGACCTACAAACAGAACCTGGCACGGCTGCCCTTCGGGCTGGATGTCAGCCGACAGCGGTGGGTGACACGGTGCTCGGGAAGCCTCAGCTGTGTATGGGGCGATGATGAGGCAGAGGACAGCATCACTACTAGGAATGGTGGCTGAGTCCCCCGGGGCCTAGAACTGTGTGAAGCATCTCACATTTGTCCCAAAATCCCACGCTGATCCATAGCAAAGACAAGGATCCAAGTCGGGCTTCCTGACAATGCCTGCCAGGCCTCAGCCTGGTGAGATGCCCTCCTGCTACAGGAGGTTAATGGGATCCCCACCAAGTGGGGGTCTGTGTGGCACCTGGTTTCCACTGTGCTGCTGCCCCTCATTCCTCTGCAGCAGGAGGGAAGATTTCCCTTTGCCAAGGGCACCTCCTCTGGTTCCCTGGCTTGCACCCCAGCTCCAATGCTAAGAGGTCCCCTAGCCCCACTTACGGTACTCAATGCCTTTGATCAGATCCTGGAAGTAGAAGCGGGCCTGGTCCTCAGAGAGCGGCTTGAGGGTGGGCACTTCCATCACAGGCCTACAAGGGGACGTCCATGAGGCCCTGGCCTCCCCCGACATGGCCCACCCCATTCCTCTGCCCCATCACACTTACCCCTGGTTGACCAGTTCAAACACTGCAGAGAGAGAGGGGAAACGGTTACACCAGGAAACTGCAAAGCCACCTCCTCCCATCCTGCCCAGCTCCCAGCCACCTGGAGAAACCAAGCAGCTTGCAAAGGACGGTGTTCCATGAGCCAGAGAGGCCCTCAGGGCCAAGTTCCCTTCGGGGGAAGGACCAGAGATCGCAGACCCCAGCCTGGCTGCGCCTCTAGGGCTCAGAACAGCTCAGGACCCAGCAGTCAGGGAGAACCAGGCAGAGGAGGAAGGCAGCAGGGGGGCTGACCTCACTCCCCACCTGTGCCGTGGGCAGCCACTCCTCAGGCACCATGTCCTCGAGTTAGGGCAGAGCTGCTCCGGCCTCTGCAGGCTCTCCTGCCTCGGGTACTCACAGCAGGAATCCCTGCACTTCCCACTTCCTCCCACCTGCTAGGAACCTCAAGCCCACCGGCTGGCCAGGAAGCTTGGGCCAGTTCGGATGCTCCTGGGGTTGAGTGTGGTGGGAATGTTTGTTCTGTCACTGAGCTACATCTCCACTTCATCTGTTTTTGAGTCAGGGTCTCTATAATTGCTAAATTGCTCAGGCGGTGCTGGAACATGTAATCCTCCTACCTCAGCCTCACAGAGTTCTGGGATTACAGGCATACACAACACCAGCTGAGTGTTTTTAGGTTCTAGAAATACAGATGGCGCTTTCTTCCCCATAAGGGTCAGGCCTGGGGTTCAAGGCCTTTTTGCTATCTGCCACCTCACCTGTGTGTCATCAGCACACCAGGGTGTGGCTAGAAAGTGACAAATGACGATAGGCAGCCTCCGGCAGGCCAGGACCAGCTGCCCCAGGGGAGAGACAAGGGCTAGGAAGAAGCTGGGCTCCAACAGCTGGGAAATTCTTCCCGGATGCTTCAACCACTCCTGAGGCCAGAACTCCCAGGATGGCTCCCATCTGGCTCCAAGTCAGAGCCACATTCTGCAAGAGTGTAAAATGTCCTCTGCCACCAGGTCCCCAGCCTGCGAAGCATCACCTAGTGAGACATCCAGAGAAGCTGCACACTTCCCTGTCCACCCTGCCGGGCACTCTCGGCCTCAGGCTCCACTGGAGGTCACTTGAGTTCCCAGGAAAGCTGTCCCCTTAGAACTGCGGTAACAACCCTGAGGACAGGTACTCAACACAGACAAGTGGCCTCCTCAGGGACAGCCCGTGGCCTTTGGGCTGAGAGCTAGGGCCACACTGGGCTGCCGAGCTGGGCCAATATGATTCCAGCGCACTTCAGGGGTCTTCAGCGGCCGCCGTCAGGCTCATACCCTGTCTGTACTTATATACCATGGAAATTATTTCTTCTTCTTTTTTTTTTTTTTTTGCGGTACTGGGGTTTGAACCTAGGACCTCACACACTACCTCCCTCTTTGCTTTTAAATTTTGAGACCAGGAGCTGGGGATTTAGCTCAGCGGCATATGCGCCTGCCTTGCAAGCAGACAGTCGTGAGTTCAATCCCTGGTACCAATAAAAAAGAAAAAGACAAAAAAAGAAGTGAAAAAAAAATTTTTTTGAGACCAGGTGTTTCTTGAAAAGTTGCCCAGGTTGAATTTTGATTTCTGACCCTCCTGCCTCAGTCTCCCAAGGAGCCAGGATGACAAGAGTGCACCACCACAATCGACTTCAATTTCTAGTTCTTTAGCCTCGTCACAGGTCACGACAGACATGGATGAGTTTAGACACTGGCTGTAGTTTTTCTATGCAATGTTACCACTCCAATTATCTCATATACAAGGGTGACAGCAGTCCTGCGTTTTGAGAAATACTGAGAAAGCATGGTGTCCATATTTTCATAAATCTTCCTCATAATTTTGTCATAAATTCCTAATTTTTATTTGTGACTAATCACTTTAATTAATTTTGTAGTGCTGGGAATTAAACCAAGGGCCTTGCACATGCTTGACAAGCACTCAACACACCACTGAGCCACATCCCCAACCCTTCTCCTAATTACTTAAAGTAATCTAGCCAGCCGAGCATGGTGCACCCTCGTAATCCCAGCACTCAGGAGGCTGAGGCAGGAGGATCACCACAAATTCAAGGCCAGCCTGGGCTTCATACTGAGACCTTGTCTCAAAAATACATAAATAGTAATACAGCTCATGTTATCTATAACATAAGATCTAAACTGTTTCTAAGGGAAGTTTTAAAAATTAATAAAATTCAAGTCTAGATGGTGATACACACCTGTAATCCAAGCACTCAGAAGGCTGAGGCAAGAGGATCGCTGTAAATTTGAGGCCAGCCAGGGCTACGTAGTAAGTTTAAGGCCAGCCTTAACTATATTTGTATTTTAAAAGCAAAAAATAAAAAGAAAATAAAAAGAAAACTAAGTGTAAAATTCGATGGGACTATATTAGGTGCTCTGAAGAAACTGACAGTAACATTTCTAGTGATGTTCCTGAGCTCAGGTAGGAGGAGGTACTTATTGTGGGATGCACACAGAAGGAGTTGGAGGGCTGCAGTCTCCAGATATCTGCTATTTTAACTTCAAATGTTTTGGCAAAACCAAGAAACGGGTGGACAACAGCAAGAAGGATAAAACCAGGAGTCAGCTGCAGAGGCCAGGGTCCGATTCAGGACACCCGCTGCTCTGCCACCCGCCGCCTCTGCTGCAGATGCCGGATCTTCGTGCTCAGGGAGAATGAGTGGAAACACGCAGCCCAAGTGTCCCTCAGCAGCAACGTGTCCCTGGACCCGGGGCTGCAGCTACTGCAGGAGCCAACTGGAGCCACAAAGCGCACCCTGTTGTGGGACAGGGGTGCCCGCACCCATATGGCCTTGCATCTCCCAGGTCCCCATCCCAGCGTCCTCTGGGGCAGCTCACGAGGATCAGGCTCCTCAGAGCGCCACTCGAGCAGATGTCCTGCATATGATGGCAGCACTGTCCCATGTCCTCTGCAGTGCTTAGGACAAGGTCTCAAGGGATACATTTGAGTCTCCTCTTTCCACGTGCAATGCCCAGATCTTCCGGTGGCCCTGGAGCCTCCAAATACCAGCCACAGCCCGGAACCCCCCTGCCCTCCCTGCCTTACGTGGTGCTGGCTGCATGTGTTCAAACATGCAAAGCTCTAGCTGACCTCAGGACCTTTGCACTGCTCTTCCCTTCCATACATGGGCCAGGGCTGTGTCCTTCACATTCAGGTGCCAAAAGGTTCCCTCCTGTCTGAAGTGGTCCAGCCACCCTTTGTGTAATCTTGTGTAATCACCTTTGTGTAATCTCTTGTGTAATCACCTTTGTGTAATCTTGGCAAAGTCTCTTCAAGTTCTCTGGTTTAGTTGTTGGCGCTGATTTGCCTTCTTTTTTTTGAGGCAGAGTCTCCCTCTGCAGTACAGACTGGCCTTAAACTTGCTTGTGTAGCCCTGGCTGGCCTCACACTCAGAGATCTTCCTGCCTCAGGCTCCTGAGTGCTAGGATTACAAGCATGCACAACCATACCCAGCTGGCTCTCCATATGAAAACCCAACTTCCTACCAGCAGGCTTCTCCTTTTCCTCCTCCTCCACAGGCCCTCAGTCCCTCACACAGCACTCAGCTTACAGTAGGCGCAGCGCACAGGGACCAGGAGACCCCGGGTTTAAATCCCAGTAGGAACTCCCTTCCATTCCTGCTGTCTGCCCAGGGCTGCGACCCAGCAGGGGAGCTGTGGGCAGTGGCTGTGTGTGGGCCCAGGCAGGGAAAGGGTGCTCTTACCCATGTATAGGTGGTCTTCATTGGGGTCGTCCAGGACCTGCAGGTGAGGTCACCCAGGGCAGCCAGGAGGAGCGAGGGAGAGAAGAGAGGTCAATGTGAGAGGAGTGGGCGCTGTGCCCAAGGGGCGCGCCTGTCCCACCCACTTCCAGGTCACAATGGACGGCAGGGAGCAATGGGGACACCTGTGGGCTCCAGGAAAGGACCTGGGTGGGTGGCCACTCCGAGCCCTGCTACCTGACCCCGTCTGCTGCACACAGGTGCTTCTGCTGCTCCTTCCTCTCCATGTTCCCCACTGGGCACAGCCAGGGCCGTCGTGCTCACATCCCGAAAACCCCTGCTGCACCCTCTCTATGCCCCCCACACACACTGCTGAGCCCTCATCACCCAACCTGGCGGGCAGCAGACAGGGGCCCTCTGCAGTCCCTGGAGCGCTTCTAGAAGTCTGCTAGGAGAAGCTGTGTTCACTTCATCTCAGGTTCTGTTTGTCTGTTGTTAGGTTCCTGAGACAGCCTCTCTCACCACGGAGCCCAGGTTGGCTTCAAACCCACAGCGACTTTGCTGGGGATGGCTCCCCCTGAACGCCCCGTTTCCCCAAGTCCTCTGCTGCTCGGTGTACATCCCAGCGTGCTGCCTAGGAGGAGCCATAACCCACCCCAGCAAGAACACTGTGAGTCCTTTGAGAATCTTCACAGGCTCTAAGGGTCAGAGCTGCTGACCAGGGCAGGGGTTGGCAAATTGCAGCGGTTGGCCACCCCCGCTTTCCATGTTTTAAATAACGTTTTAACTGTCTGCCTATTTCCATACCCTGTGTGGCTGGTTGGGGTGGGGATGAGGGGTATGCCTCAGGGGTCCCTGGCCTCAGTGTCTCCATCTGTACATGGGGACACATCCACAAGATGAGCAGTAAGTCATCTAAGGCAGGGTGACCAGTGTGACACTGTAGTGGCCAGAGACTCTGCAGCCCCAGGTCCCTGGCCTGGAAGTAGCCGGCGGGAACCACAGACACCCTGCTTACCTCCACCAGCTTCACCACGTTGGGGTGGTCCAGCTTCTTGAGGATTGCAATTTCCTGGTACACCTGCTCAATGGGGCCCCGGGGCTGGATGCAGCCCCCAGGGGCTGGGCGCATGCCCCGAGGTGGAGGGCGACCTGGAGAAGACACAGGGGACCCGGGGTCAGAGCAGAGACACCCCTGCAGACACAGTGCAGTGGGACAGCAGTGGGACTGGGGGAGCTGGGCCTCGGTCGGTCCTGTCTTCACCTGACTGCACTACTGCCAGTGAGGCGGGAGCCCTGCCCCCTTCTCAGCCCTGCTGTTAGTTTCTCGCCTTCTGTCATGTGCTCTAGTCCAAGAAGACGGGTAGGACTTTAGCAGGGGGCAGTGGTGGAGCACACCTGTCAATGCCAGGAATCCCAGCACTCTGGAGGCTGAGACAGGAGGACTGCAAGTTCAAGCCCCCCTTGGGCACCTTAAGGAGACCCTGTCTCAAAGTAAAACAAAAAAAAACAAAAAAGAGCACTAGGCGAGAAGGGCTCTTTCTGAAAACTTTTCAAGAAGGCCCTGGGTTCAATCCCCAATATTAAAAAAACCCAAAAAACCAAGGGCTGGGGATTTAGCTCAGTGGCATAAGTGCCTGTCTGGCAAGCTCAAGGTCGTGAGCTCAATCACTGGTACCAGCAAAACAAAACAACCATAACCTGGTAAATCAATTAATAGCAACACTAAGATATTACCTGCCCAGAGTTCCAACCAGCAGGCTAAACCAGAGCTCCAGTATAAGGAGGCTTAAGTTTTCTCTCAAATAACTGCTCCTTTTGGTCCTAGCCAATATCCTGCCCAATACTGCTGGCAGGGGGCTTATGTTAGCACAGCCTCTGCTGTGCCCACCTGCAGGTCTAACTTTGTTCCTCTTCATGACCGGGTAATATTCTAGTGAGTACACATACATCTTGGTCACTCATCTGTTGATGGGCACATTGGGTTGCTTCCACTTTCTGGACATTGTGAACAGAGTTGCTATAAACTTGTGTCCTGTTTTGCATGGACATACATAATAGGTGATCAAAATATACAGTGAGGGGCTGGGGATTTAGCTCAGCGCAATCGTCTGCCTTGCAAGCAGGCAGTCATGAGTTCGATCCCTGGTACCAATAAAAACAAAAAAGACAAAAAAAAATATACAGTGAATTTTTTTTATAAAAGTTTGTTATAAAAGTTATTATAGTTAAAGACACATTGATATTAATCCCCCTCAAAATACAGGTCATCTCCTTCACTTCAAATCCACCTATCACATTACTTCCTGCTTTCTGGAACCGTTCTAGAAATCCTCTTTCACGTCTTTATGAGGAGCAGTGAGCTCGGCTGCCAGTGGCCTGCGGCATAAAGTGGGGCCGCGGTCAGCCCCATCCACCGTGTTCCCGGGACCTGGCACCACACGACCACCGACTCCTGAACAGTCAGCGCTGTGAACTTAGAAAGGACACGGAAGCCGCGGCGATGGCACCCCCGGAGACGCTCGGGAGAGGCCTCGGGCGCTGCGCAGGGGTGGAGAGGTGATGGGAGAGTGTGTTCCCACTCTGCAGAGCCACTGCCCTCGCTCTTCACTTCTACATTTTCAAATAAATTTCGTTGCCATTTTTAAAAAAGCAAGAATGAGTATTTTGAGAGGGATTAAAGGCAGCTTTCTTTCTTTCGTTATGCCAACTGAACTCACTGCATACTCCAGGTTGGCCTCGAGGGCACAACCATCCTCCTGTCTCAGCCTCCCCATTTGTTTCAGGATTATAGGTGTGTATCACCTGGTAATAAACTCTTAAAGGATGCCAGGAGTGGGGTTTCCAGGGCACCCTCTGCAGGGGCAGTACGGCCAGCCCTGCCCTGTGCAGCCCACCCCGCACTCACGCGGGAAGCCGGCCTGCCGGATCAGCTTCTTCTTGGACAGCACCTTCATGGCCTGGGGAAGATAAAACCCACATCCGCTTAGAGTGGGACACAGACAGGGCGTGAGAGGGGTCCCACCCCGAGGCCTGGCCAGGCCTTGGGCACCCTGAACCTCAGGACCATGCAGGGCAGCTCCGGGCTGTGTGGAGCCTGCAGGAGTCACCCCCAGGGACATTTCTGGGGTTCCCAGTCAGCAACCCCAGTGGGGACACCAACAGAGTTTCAGGGATGGGCAAGGGCAGGGCTGACTGGCTGAGTCTCCCGTGGGGAAACTGAGGCCAGCTGGTGTACACCTGGCTCATACCACTTGCCGAAGGCTGTGCCCTGGAGGCATGGAAGAGCCACGCTCTGAACCTGCACAGGCTTTGAACTGCAATCGTCTGAGACTGCACGGCGCTCCAGGCTCTCCCCACCCCCACCCCCGCCTCCCCACCCAGAGAGGGGTGCGATGCTTCCTTCCGGTGGCGAGGCGACCAGGCTACGCGCAGGAAGGGCACTGTGCCAAGGAGGGGCTGGACACTCACGTAATAGGTGTTGTCGTTCTCGTTGTAGGCCAGCTTGACCACCCCATAGGAGCCCTGCATGGAGAAAGACGCCAGTGACGCCTGGGCCCCAAGGGAGCTCCACGAGGTGGGACCCTGCTGTTGAACTGGCAGAGGAGGCCCCTAGCTCGGGCGGCCCTTCTCTGCGGCCGGCCACGTCTACAAGGCTTGAATTAGTTACCAACAATTAAAGAGAAGGACCTGGCACAGAACTCCACATTTCTAGCTGCTTTAAAAAAAAAAAAAAATCAGACCTAGTTTTGGGAGACCTGATTTCCAAACATTACAGGTTAGAGAGCCCTGGCTCCTCCCTCCACTCACACCTGGACACCTGCCCGCTGCTGCCTCCTAAACCGCCTTCACCCTCCACCTCACCTCTTACACTGCTCACTTCCCAGCTTTTCTATTTCTATTTTTTTGGTTCTGAGAGACAGGATCTCGCTATGTAGCTCACGCCGGCCTCAAACTCATGGTGACCCTCCTGCCTCAGCCTCCCCCGTGCTAGAGGTGGCCTGTGCCTCCAGAATTTGAGGTTTTGTTCCCTGCTCCTTGCCTGAAACCAGAGAAACAGATGTGAGAGCAGCTTAGCTGGAGGCCCACTCCGGTGGGCCTCCGGTGGGACAACCACTGCGACATGGGGTTTCTCTGGAAGCTTCCCAGCTTTTGTAGAAACATTTAATTTTAAAATATAAACCCTCTCTCTAAAAAACAGAAGGAAAAAAATGGAAACAAAGCTTCTGTAAATAAGGAAAAGGGGGGGGGATGGGAAAAAAGCAATAGCAACTAAATCACATACGGATACGAATTCCTTATGATGAGTGCGATCATTGTGTATATTTAAAGCATACAAACAGGATTTTTAAAAACTCAAAAAAACCAAAACACAACACTAGACCATTAATAACAAAACCTAAACCGGGTGTGGTGGTGCACACCTGTAACCCCAGCACTCAGGAGGCTGAGGCAGGAGGATCGCTGCAAGTTCAAGGCCTGCTTGGGCTACACAGCAAGTCCCTGTCTCAAAAAAAAAAAAAAAACACCTCCCCCAAAGTGCCCCGGCCCATCCTCTCCTCCTGGCCAGCCCTGCAGTGCTCACCTTTCCAATCTCATCCTTGAGTGTGTACTGATTCAGCTGCACGCAGTCCTGGGAAGCAAGGAGAGGCAGGCGGGAAGTGAGGATGATAGGGATCTCTCTATCCAGGAACCTCCCCGCTCCCAGAGCCCCTGCCAGCCAGCTCCCTCAGGATGACAGAGACCCTGACTTCCCCCAGCACAGACTTCACCTCTGAGCCGACTCTGTGGAACTGTCTCGTCCAGGCCTGGGTGGGGAGGGTACGAGGAACATGCTTGTGACACAGACCGTGGATTTACTCTCCAGCATCAGAGGGGAAAAATGTAATCAAATGGTATGTACTCTTGATAGCCATTTTGAAAATGTTCCCACTATCCAAAAGGAAAACTTAGCTGGGCCTGGTGGCGCATGCCTGTGATCCCAGCATCGTGGGAGGCCAAGACAGGAGGATCGCAAATTCAAGTCCACCCTGTGCAACTTACTTAGTGAGACCTTTGTCTTGAAATAAATAACACAAAACAAAATAAAATAAGGGCTGGGATACGGCTCAGTCAATGCAGAGGCCTGGGGTTTAATCCTCAGTACTGGAGTCGGGGGAAGACACTCTCCTGTAAAAATGTAAAGTGATGCAAGAGGAGAAAATCCATGCACCCTTGGGGTAGAGAAAGGCGTCCCGGATAACACAAAAATACACAGCACAAACGAGCCCATACAACTCCGCAAGAAATCTACCAACTCAGTTAAAAACTGGGTGAAAGACTGGAACGGAAATGTCTTCAAGCAGTCAGCCAAGTGGTCAGCGAGCACTGGACAAGGCCTTCAGTCACAGGGAACTGGACGTTAAAGCCAGCCTTGCGCTGCTCAAACCCGAAGACTGAGCAGACCGTGTGCTGGCGGGACTTGGGCACACAGCGGGGCTGCACCATGCTGAACACTCCCCTCGTGAGAAACCAGGGCCAGGCTCCCAATCCCACCTCCCAATGACTCAGCCACTCTGCTGCCAGGGATTTACCACGAGAAATGCACACACATTTACACAGACCTTGATACAAATATCCATGACTGCGCCATATGTGTAACTTTTGTTTTTTGAGGCAGGGTCTCCTTATATAGCCTGCAACTCATGGTGATACTCCTGCCTCAGCCTCCCGAGTACTGGGATGACAGGCACACTGTGCTATATAAAATAGGAAAACCCAGCAGGTGTGGTGGCCTATGCCTGCCATTCCAGCACTCGGAGGCTGAAACAGGAGGATCACTTTGAGTTCAAGGCCAGCCTGAACTATAGAGCGAGACCCTGTCTCAAAACACACACACACACAAAAAGAAGCAGTAAGAAAAAATTAGAGATGGTCCACACGTCCACCAACAGGAGATAGGGACACAGACTGTGGCCACTGCAGAGTCTGGAGCAATGTTGAAAAAGAACCACGGCTGGTCCCAGGTCCCTCCGTGTCCGCAGGGATGGGCTCCAGGACCTCAAGACACCAAGACCTGCCCCAGTCCTTCCCTGAGGTGACACAGAGCCCACACACAACCTCTAAGGAGCCTGCACTGCACCTTAAGCCATGTCCGCGCTGCTTAGGCACTTAGCACAACGCAGATGCCATGTAAGGCGTGGCTCCCCATGTGGGTAGGGGATCGTCATGGAGAAACAGGTCAACCACACAGGTGCAGTTTGTCTCTTTGGATATTTTCAGCCCTGGTTGGCCTGATCCACGGACACAGTGTGGCTAAATCACAAAATCAGGCTGCTGTGAGAAAAACTACCCTAAAAAAGGACCACACACTAAGTGATCCCACTTAGAACAATTCTAGAATTTACAAACTAATCTGTAATGCTTTTTTTGTTGGTGGTGAGTCAGGTTCTCACTATGCAGTTCAGGCTGGCTTTGAGCTCACTTGGTAGCCTGGGTTGGCCCTGAACTCACAATGATCCTCCTGCCTCAGCCTCCCAAATGCTGGTATTATGTGATGATTAAAAAAAAAAAGTACCAAAATTTTTTTCTTTAAATAAAAAAAAAAAAGCTGATGCACACCTGTAATACCAAGACTCTGGAGGCTGAGGCAGGAGGACTGCTGTGATTCAAGACCAGTCTGGGCTCCAGAGTGAGTTCAAAGGCAGCAAAGGTTTGACAGAGAGATGCTGTCTCAAAAACAAAATAAAACAAAACACAGGGCCAGCAGCTCCCTGGGAAGAGGGGCAGAGGCAGCAGGGGCTGCAGGCTGGGAAAGTCTCCACTGTCTTATTGTGAGCTGTCATGGGGCAGTCAGCTAAGCAGAACGTATGCACATCTGAAATATGCAGGTTTTCAAAACCGTCAGCTGCACTCCAGTGCAGGGGTGAAGGGGAAAGTGCTCAGTGGCCTAAGAAGCCAAAGCGGGAAAGGGACAGAACGGAAAAGCAGCCTCTGTGTCGGACATGACCCTCTGTCGCAGCACGGCCTGGCACCGCCTACTATGTGTTCAGGGCCAAACAATGCTCCCGGGATGGCACCCTGGCCTGTTTGGTGTCCCACAAAACAAAACTCCCTCTCCCCCTCAGCGGTGTCCCAGAGACAGTCCCTTGGTCAGCCTGGACACCACACAGGCAGAGGGGCCCACGCAGCCACCCCCTCCCAGCCCCACACTTCTGCTTCAGTTTCTGAGAGTCCACTGCAGCCTGGTCCCCACAGCCTGGCCTCCACAGCCTGCCCTTGCTGGTCACCTAGTCACCCACAAAGCCCCAGTCTCCCTTTCTTCCTTACAAACAGAAGTCCAGGCAGCAGCGTCCTACCTGGCTAACTTCAGCCTGTCTCACGGCTCAAGGTGGCCATGTGGCTGTGTTCTGGCCACGGGAGGCAGGCTGAAGTTGTTGGGTAGAGCTTCTAGAAAAGGGGACTAACTTAGAAAGCCTTTCTTCTCCCCTGCTCCTTCTTCCTACCTGGAATGGAGCGGTGAAGGCTGGGGCCACAGCAACCAAAATATCACACAACTATCAATCCAGTCCCAGCATGCTTAGCTCTGATGTAATTTGCATGGTTAATAAATCCTACTGCATTAAAGCCACTGTTGGAGGGGGGGCTGATCTCTCAGATGATTTGACTCTGTTATAAACCCAAACTACCCTCTAGCCCCATCACTACCAGGCTTCATTATGGCCCTATTCCAGCTAAATGAACTCTTTCCTCATGGTCCCGTGTCTGCCACAGGGCCTTTGCTCATGCATGCTCGGCCTGGCCTTCAGAATGTAGCCCTATAGGCACACAGCCCCTTCAGGATGGCTGACACCTACTCTTCAAACATTCCTTTAGACACTTTCAAGTGCCTACTGTATGCTGACTCTGAGGTGCTGGGGACATACAGGAGGCGCTGGTTGAGTGAGGCTCATGTTCTGGCTTTGGGGAGGACCTGCACCCAGATGCTGGAGGCCAAGGGTACCGATGAGACAGCAACGGGGCCACTGGGTGGGGAGGAGCTGCTTTGGCGAGACAGGCACTGGAGGCCGATGCGGGGGAGGAAGCCGCCTCACAGGGTTGGGGACAGGGAGTCCTTGGGCGGGAGGGTCAGCAAGACCAAAGGCCAGGAGGCAGCATGGAGCCAGGTCCACAGTTGGAGGCAGGAGGCGGGGCCTGCGAGGGCTGCAGGGATACTGCGCAGGCGCATGCGAGACGTGCGGTGTGGGGGCTGCCAGGGGTCTGCCTGGGCTCTCGGCCCCACCGCAGGCGTCTGCTGTGCTGACCACACCAGCAGCAGCAGCAGCAGCAGCATGGTCTGGGGTCACCTGCAACTCCCCAGCTGCACTCAACCTGGGCTGACATGAGACCCCTGCCCGACCAGCCAGGCCCACGCACCTGCAGGCCCGTGATGGATACATGGTGCGACTCCACCGTGGGCCGCCGTGGCAGGCGTGGCGACAACTGCGGGGACCCGACAGGCGAACAGGGCAGGGCCGGGTGGATGCAGTGTCCGTCTGTCTCTGGGCTGCTGCCAACTACTGGCGCTCCCGAGGACCGCTCCTGCAGGGACAGCTTGCGGCCTGAGAGGTGGGACCGGGAGGCATCCAGGGGGTGGTCCCTGGCCAGGCTGAGGTCCCCGGCGTGGTTCGGCTCACACTCAGTGACCACGATGAAGGACTCCATGCCCAGGCGGAGACTCAGCGATGAGAGGCCCTGCAGGGCCTCGCAGGGCTTTGGGCCTTCGTGGCTGCCATCCTGGGGTGTGGCCCGGTCGCTGCTGGGCTGGCTAGAGACGCATGATGACATCGTGCGTGGGGTGACGTCATCCGCCACGCTGGGGCTCTACCCTGGGCCGTGGGCCACCTGCAGAGAGGCCGCAGAGGGAGGCGGGTCAGAGGCAGGGCCAGGCAGCCCACAGCTCTCCTCCATCTGGCCCAGCCCGCGCAGAGTTCCTGCCTCAGAACATCCTCCTTGGGATGCTGAGGCAGAGGGCTGGAAGCTGAAGCCTAACCTGGACAACCAGTGAGACTCAGCCTGCAATTAAAACACAATCACACAGGCCAGGGATGCAGCTTGAGCTGGGCAGGAGAGCGCCTGTGGCCACGCATGGCGAGGCACTGCTTCACTGGCCAGCACTGCCCCAAACCAAAAAACGATAACCTGCATCCTGTGTGAGCACCTGCTCCATTTTGGAGAGAGACTGGAGTGCTCCCTCGGCTGCCAGCGGCTCCCGGCCTGAATGGAACATTAACCTTCTGTTCATGTTTGACAAAGGCTGCTGGACAAATGTCACAGGAGCCCTGGAACTCGACAGTCACCCTGATTCACAGATGGGGGGCCCTTCCTCACCGATCGTGTGCTCATGGAGGGGTCACTGGAAGCCAGGAAGACAGCAGGCTTTCAGGAGAGCAAGTAGGGTGACACCTCTTGGTGACACCGTAAGGGAGGCACAGTGAGATAAAGAGGGAGAGCCAGAGAGCCAGAGCTCACTGGAAACCCAGCTGCAAGGAAAGAATGTCCCCCACCATCTCAGAACAGTTCCCCCACCAAGGCTGACGATTAACTTAGAGACAGGGTCTCGCTATGCAGTTCAGGTTGGCCTCAAACTCATTCTGTAGCCCAGGCTGGTCTTGAACTCACATGGATCCTCCTGCTTCAGCCTCCCTAGTACTGGATTATAGGTGTGCACCACCACGCCCAGCCTTCCACCAGGACTCATGGAATTAATATGCCAGGCAATATGGCAGGAGAAGTCCAGTGGGAAAAGCACACAGGAAGTAACCACATCCCAGCCCTGCCCTGGGCCCACTGTGTAAACAAGGTCCCTGGTAAAGGAGCCATGGAGCCCAGCCCAACCACGTGACAACTTGCTCAGCCTTGTTAGTAGTAGGCAAGGTGCAGATTCAAACTACAATGCAACAGCTGGGCACTCCTTCAAAAGGTTAAAGGTGTTTCTATTTTATGAGACAGGGTCTCACATGTAGCCCAGGCTGGCCTTGAACTCATGATAATCCTCCCACCTCAGCCTCCTGAGTGCTGGGATTACAGGTGTGTGCCACCACATCCAGCCAGAATGTTAAAAGCAGAACTATGCTCAGGTCAGCAATTCCTCTCCTAGGAATACACACAAGAATACTAAGCAGAAACTCAAACAGCTACTTGGAAGTCCACATTCACAGCGTGCTGTTCCCACTCAGTAAACGGTGGAAAGGACCCAGTGCCCACGAGTGGGCGGAGGGATAAACAATGCAGCAGAGCACATAGGGGCCAGGAGCGGGGGATTGTCCTTGTGACATAGGGTGGAAGGACCACAAAGATATCACTCAGGCGACACAAGCCAGACACCCAGGGATGGCTACCACAGAGCCACCTACACCAGTCAACTCCCCAGACAGAGAGGAGAGGAGGGGCCCAGGTTTACAGGGAGAGGACGGAAGGGCTGCTGCTTCCAGGGCTCAGGTTTCCTTCTGAGGAGGTGAAAAGACCCGAAAACAGACAATGTGACAGCTACACAGCATGGGGCACCCTGACGCCAATAATTACGCACTGAAAACAGCTAAGACAGTAAAGTTCACACTGGGGAGCATTTACAAGAATGAAGACTTGTTGGGAGCCGCAGCCCCGAGCCCGGTCGCCTCACTTGGCGGACGTGAGGCCTGTAGTAAAGAGTAAAGCCTGAGGTAGATTACCCCTCCCATCGAGCACGTTAGTTTCCTGCTTACCGCGTAAGCAACCCGCTCAACAATATAGTCTGCCTGGCAACTGATGATGTTAGCCAATCAGCTTGCCTTGCTTACTTTAACATGATTGGACACTGTATCCGTATATATACTGGTGCCACCCCTGGGGGAGAAGAAGAAGCCCGGAAGTAGAAGCCCAGAAGGAGCCGCGGGGAGCGGACCAAAGGAGGCTTCGGCTGGGAGCGATCCCAGGGCAGGCTGTACGGAGAAGGAAAATAAAAGAAAAGGTTGTCCACTGCCAGACTTTGTCGTGTGTCCTTCCTGCCGGCCGGGAGCGACATCGACATTTGGAGGCCCGCACGGGGACTGATCACCCCCGAGACGTGACAGCGGACAACGCTCCAGTACAGAGCTGTGAGACAGGTGAGTTGGGGATAAGCCTGGGCTCTGGGTGGCGCGCACCTACAGGGCTTTTAGACTCCCCTCAGGCTCACGCGTAAGTGGCGGATTCCTTGGGCCTCACGCGGTGAGTAACATATTAAAAAATGGGAAACATGCTAGGTAGTAACATTAAGAGCGAGGGTGGTTGTGGAGAAAGCTCTCAAGAGCTTACAAAAGTATGCAGGGTATTTGAGCAGGCCCAGTCAGGGAGCTCCCGAGAGGGGCCCGTCAAGGGGAACAAAGATGCTAAGGAGAAGGACGGGGCTCTAGCCTCGGAGTCGTCTGACTCCGAGGACGAGGGAAAGTTGAATGGCAAGGAGGCCAAAGAGACCAGCTGTCAGGAGCCTAAGTCGCTCGATAAGGAGTCGCAGGGTTCTTTCCCAGTAATTCAGGGTACCACAGAGCCATTTGTTGACTTTGTGGCCCGAATGCAAGATGCTGCCGATAAGATATTTTCTGATCCGGGAGTGGCTCGACCGCTGGTAAGGCAGCTGATTTTTGAGCAATGTACAAAGGAGTGCAAGGCAGCGATAGCTCCTCATAAGAACAAGGACCTCAACGCCTGGATTAGGATATGTAGAGAGATAGGGGGGCCGCTCTTCAATTCGGGAGTGGCTGCTCTCCTGGCCGCGGCTGTACAGCAGAGGGGACCTCGCGGGTTAGAAGGGGAATGTAAGGCTAAAGGGTGTTTTGCCTGCGGGGAGCCAGGACACATTAAACGTCATTGCCCAAACAATGCAGATGCTAGGCCTCGCCCTAGGAATGAAGAACCATATGTTTGTGGGCGATGCAAGAGGGGATCACACAAAGCTGAGGAGTGTAGGTCGGTCTTTGATGCTCAGGGCAACCGTATTTGTGGACGAGATGCTAGAGAGCCAAAAAACGGCCAGAGGGGGCCCCCTTCACAGGCGGGCCCCCGCCCCAGAGACAGGACAGCTCAGGATGGCAGCCTTCAACAAGGGCCACCCCTGGGTCAGCAGGTGTGGACCTCAGTGTCGCCTCCAGACTTATATTAGTGCCTGATATGGGTGTCCAAGTGGTTGAAACCACCTTTAAGGGACCGTTACCCGAAAATTCCGTGGGTCTGGTGATCGGGAGATCCTCCACGGCCCTTCGGGGTCTCACAGTAGTCCCGGGGGTCATAGACTCAGACTACACAGGACACATTAAAATTATGGTTCAATCTCTTGTGGGTACTATGGTAATCAATAAAGGAGACAAGATAGCGCAGCTCTTGCTGCTCCCCAGTCTCCACAAGAGATTCCCCTCAAAGCAGAAAATTAGAGAAAGTCAAGGTTTCGGTTCCTCAGGGGAAGTCTTCGAGGGACTCCATATAATACTTGATAAAAGGCCCATGCTCTCACTTAAGGTCAATGGCAAGAATATAACAGGGCTCCTAGACACAGGAGCTGACCGTTCCATCATCTCTAGAAAGGATTGGCCCTCCAACTGGCCCACCAACACTGCAGATAACACGCTGCAGGGCCTGGGGATGGTGTCAGCTCCTCAGGTTAGTGCTTCAACCCTGCTCTGGTGCGATGAGGAGGGTCATCAGGGCCATTTCCAACCATTTGTGTTGCAGTTGCCAGTGTCTCTATGGGGAAGGGACATCCTCACTCAGATGGATGTCACGCTTATGTCAAACTGCTCCCCCCAGGCTAAGGATATACTCAGGAACCAGGGATATACCCCGGCAAAGGCTTGGGCAATGCCCTACAGGGTCGGACATCCCCAATACCAGTAGAGAACAAAAAAGGTAGGCAAGGGCTGGGTTTTTCTTAGGGGCCGCTGAAGAAGCTCTCCTACCCACTTCGATCAAAATCACCTGGAGGTCAAATGATCCGGTTTGGGTACCTCAGTGGCCCCTGCCTAAGGAGAAGCTATTAGCCTTGTCAGAAATAGTCAGTACACAACTTAGATTAGGACACATTAAGCCGTCAACCTCCCCATGGAACACCCCCATTTTTATAATTAAGAAAAGGTCTGGCAAATGGAGGCTGCTCCATGATCTAAGGGCGGTCAACGCGCAGATGCAGTCCCTGGGGGCGGTCCAGAGGGGGCTGCCAGCTCTCTCAGCCATCCCTCAGTCCTGGCCAGTTTATGTTATAGATCTTAGAGACTGTTTCTTCTCAATCCCCCTGCATCCAGAGGACACTCATAGGTTCGCCTTTACTTTACCCACCATTAACCAAGAAAGCCCTGATCTCAGATACGAGTGGATAACGCTGCCCCAAGGTATGGCCAACAGTCCCACTATGTGTCAGATTTACCTTGATTCCCTACTGGCCCCCCTACGGAAATCCTTTCCCAAGATAAGATGTGTGCATTACATGGACGACCTTTTGCTCAGCGGCAGGGACCCAGACATGCTAAATAATATGCTCGGCCAGTTGGTCGAGGCCCTGAGACAAGCTAATCTGCATGTTGCCCCCGACAAGATTCAGGGAGGAGAAATGGTGACCTACTTAGGCGCGAAAATCTCCCCTATGCTAGTCTCTCCACAGAAGGTCACCATTAGGACGGATGGCGTTAGGACCCTAAATGACATGCAAAAGCTATTGGGAGACATTAATTGGATTAGGCCATATTTACATATACCAAATTCAGATCTCAAACCCCTGTTCGACCTTCTAAAGGGAGACCCAGATATAGCCTCCCACAGGAGGCTCACTCCTGAGGCAAGAGCTGCCTTACAGAGAGTGGAAAAAGCCTTAGGTGGGGCTACCTTACACAGAATTGAAC